AATAAAAGAATAGGCAGCAAGTCCAAGGACGGCGAGGTACTTTTTTTTCATTGGAGTGAGTAGGGTACTCTTTTGGTGAATGTCTGCTTTGGGAGTTCCACAGCTTCACTGGTTCTTCATATCCTGGCAACCCTGGGGTTTCCTCAGCCTCGCTGTTCACGTCGACAAGGCAACCAAGTCATGAGGATAAATGGTAATACACGTTCGCGTTGAGTGCCTGAAAGAACCTAAGGAACGACAAGTGTGCGATAGTGCGAAATCACATACAACTACGCGGTGTGGTTTGCCATGCAACGGGGTGGGGGTGATCATGTAGGTTGTCGCATTGCAGCAAGTCCCATGGAGTCTTTGTTCCCAATGGCATTGCACGATCGATCTCAAGGGTGCACCTAGCTTGTGGTTACAGTTCGGATGGCTAGTTGGGGTTTGGGTGTAGATCGGTCGTGTTCAAATGCAAAGGTACTCATTCTTGATCCGGCCATTCACTGATGCTGCCTTGTAGTTACTGTTCGGCTGGCTGCAAGTCTCCCTTGGTTACACCTTTCGTATTGCTGTGAAAGCAATCCTCACCTTTTGGAATCAGATGTCTTCCACCTTCTCGTTGGTTGGTCCTGTTAATTGGTGTAATAGCATTCGCTTTGCCTCAAGAACTGAGAGAAGACTTGTATTATAAATATAATAAATTCTACCTGTTTTACCTTATAAATGGATGGGATTATGAATTATGGGCATGATATTAGGTCGATGTTTCATTTCGTATCCTTATTGGAGGCAACAAGAATATAGGAGGGATATGCTGGATCTTGCTTAAGAGAATGATCTGTATGGATACATTGTATGTTTGTAATCAACAAGGAGTGGAAAAGAAATGATACATTGAGAATACAACACACATATGGGCCATGCACGCTAAACTTCAAAAGTCAACACCCAATACTCGGTGGAACAGTTTGACTTTGGGTGATTGTCGAAATTGGCACGCGGTGGTTACACAACACATCGTTGACAGGTTGCTGCACAAATGCATGATGATGACGATTGCCTTTGTGAAGGTACGTAAGTGAAACAACATCCCACAATGAAGGTGTTTCAAGGTACGTGTATGACAATAGTGGTTCCATATCACGTTTGCATGTAGGAGAAAGTCGAGCTGCATAAACCAATTGTATATGTAAACCCACGCACCAGATCCTGAAACTCAATGGAGGGATCGATCCCACTCCTCCTTATTGTATCACAAAAGCCGTATCCTTCTTGCATTACCGATAACCGGAACCACCTTTATTATTCCATCTTCGAAGCAATAGTATGTAATCCACAAGCTAGCAACCTCCAACAAGCGTGTAATAAATAAACAATGCTCTATTTCATCTAACTATCTTGCTACTGTACATTGCCACCACCATCGTCGTAGTCGTCCTCCGTCATCATTCCTACTCGTACTCGTACTCGTCAGCAGTCGTCAATATCCTCGTCACCCAATATCCAAAGCACACAAGTAGAAAAGAATGTGACCTTGCAGGTTTCCTTGTGACTCTCGTTGTCGCTGTAGTCATTGCCATCATCGTGAATGTGGTAATCATCGTAATCGTCATTGTTGTGAATGTCGTAATCATCGTAATGGTCGTCTCTATAAATAAAAAGCAGCCAAGTTAGCAAGGAAGCACATCACTTACGTAGAGTCCAGGCTCATAGTTGTCCTCATTTATCCTCTCCAAAGAAAGAATGATCCCCAATCCAATCCTTCCAATCATTTCCCACCTCATGAAAAGAAATCCTCAAGGGAAAGAACGAGCCTATCACGAGAATAGCGTGTTGGTTCAACACATTCACGAGCTGTTGCAAATCCCCTTTTACCTCAACACGGTGACCATGCTCTTCCAAAAAACCATCGTCGTCGACCCATCAACTCAAACGCAGGCCTATAGAGCCCCGGACGCGTTCCAAGAAGCTTTTCCAACAACTGGTCACTTGATCCAGGCTGGGACTTGAACCAAAGAGATGATGATGATGCCCCCAAGTGGCATTGCCTGACCAAAGAAACCTATTCAATTCATTATTAGCACACACTCACACACACAATAAACACCCTTTTCATTGTTTGTTTCATTGTACTTGCCTTTTCCATATACACAAAAGACCCCTTTGTTGTTGGTTACTGGAAACCGAAAGCCATGGTGTAGTGGTGTAGTTGAGCCGAAACAAAACCAGCCAACGTCTTGACACTAAACTTGCCCTCTATACAAGCTAACACGTCAATGGGACCAGTTCGGCTGCAACATTCGACTCTGAATGTACCTGTTGACACCAAGCGTAAGGCGGGAATAGCAACGAACAAGAGGAAGCAACCGTATCGCCATGGCAATAGCCAACCCACACACCACGCTCATTCCTCGGCACTTGGACACACTCTCGCTCCCTGACAATGCATGTTACCTCACAGTCAAAAAGAGCACTCTTTGATAACACATTACCTACCTTGATTGGAATGTCGTGAAGGCGATAAAACCAGACGAGCGACAAAGAGAAAGAGAAGCGTTGTCTCAAGTCGTGGAGCCACCGTCCCCAAGTTTAAATCCCCTTACTGCTATTACACTGAGGCCACTCAATTACCCTACACACACCATCCACCCAAACACACAGCTCACCCATCGTCATCCATCATCACCCTCGCGATAGGCAATAGGCACGCGTAAATAAAAGAAATCGTATAGCAAAAGGATGTGTGTCATTTTACACTTTACATGATAATGATGATCCAACAACACCCATTGTTGCCATGCTACCATGTCACCTCGAATCAAGAAACTTGTATGATGGGCATACTGGGCTGGAGCAAGACAATCATTCATATGCTTTGGATTGGGCAACAAAGATGATTGGGAGGACTGGGTTATTTATTAGCTGGCATTTTAGAAACTACTCCTAAATAGTGTACAAGTATCATGCATCGCCTATGCTGACTGACTCAAGTTACACAACACGTCCCTCTGCATCTTTGGCTCTATTGTACTTATACTACTTTACAATGAACAAAGAACTCTTTTCATATAGCATCACGCTTACAGCATATGTAAAACGTAAAGCTGCCTGTATCTCTAAACTTTGCAATGAAACGAGGGGTCTTTAATAGAACCATGTTGCTCGGCGGGGTGAAAGCGATCTTGTGTCAAACTATGAAGTTCATCGCGGCCAATCCCAGATTTCGCAATGTCGCCACCAGCCAAACTGGATCTGGGGGTCGACCTCTTCGACAACGACGACCAAAAATATTTTTTGGGCTGTTTGCGACATTGAACGCGAAACTTTCACACAAGGTGCTGTTGGCCAAGCCGAGCCCATTGCTCTATTCAAAACCCCACGTTTCATTGTAAAGTTTGGAGATATGGGCGTCTTTATGTTTGTAAGCGTGATGCTATATGAAGAGTGGTCTTTGTTTAATGTAAAGTAGCTAGACCCTGACAGAGCAAAAGATGCAGAGGGTCGTGTTGTGTAACACAGCTACATTTGCATGAATGAAAGGGTCAATGTATAATTACTTTATGGATCATCTACGAACAGGCATGTATTGCCAGCTAACGGCCACTTTTATCCAATCATCATTGTTGCGAGGTCCATTGCATGGGAACGATGCCCCTGCTCCAGACATTCATTTCCATGATTCAATTATCTTGATCCGAGCTGATTTGGCTGAGCTACGGTCAAAGAGAGATTACATCAATCCATACATCAGCATACGTGCGAATGTCTCAGCTGATTAATCCTTGTTCGACCGTAACTCAACCAAATCAACTCGGATCAACCTACTTTAATCATGGAAATGAATGTCTAGAGCAGGAGCATCGTCCACCTACAATAGAATGCACAAAAAGTTGTGGATGCACAAAAGTGGCTATTAGCTGCCAATGTATGACATAAAAGTGAGTGTTGCGTACCTGTCATGCATGGTCCCTGAAGTCCAAACTTTTTAACCCAGTTACACAAACACGTCCCTCTGCATCTTTTGCTCTGCCAGGGTCCAGCTACTTCACAATGAACAAAGACCACTCTTCATATAGCATCACGCTTACAAACATAAAGGTGCCCATATCTCCAAACTTTACAATGAAACATGGGGTTTTTACTAGAGCAATGGGCTCGGCTTGGCCAACAGCACCTTGTGTGAAAGTTTCACGTTCAATGTCGCAAACAGCCCAAAAAATATTTTTTGGTCGTCGTCGTCGAAGAGGTCGACCCCCAGATCCAGTTTGGCTGGTAGCGACATTTGCGAAATCTGGGATTGGCCACGATGGACTTCATAGTTTGGCACAAGATCGCTTTCACCCCGCCGAGCAGCAAGGTTCTAGTAAAAACCCCATGTTTCATTGTAAAGTTTGGAGATATGGGCACCTTTATGTTTGTAAGCGTGATGCTATATGACAAGTGGTCTTTGTTCATTGTGAAGTAGCTGGACCCTGGCAGAGCAAAAGATGCAGAGGGACGTGTTTGTGTAACTGGGTTAAAAAGTTTGGACTTCAGGGACCATGCATGACAGGTACGCAACACTCACCTTTATGTCATACATTGGCAGCTAATAGCCACTTTTGTGCATTCTATTGTAGGTGGACGATGCTCCTGCTCTAGACATTCATTTCCATGATTAAAGTAGGTTGATCCGAGTTGATTTGGTTGAGTTACGGTCGAACAAGGATTAATCAGCTGAGACATTCGCACGTATGCTGATGTATGGATTGATGTAATCTCTCTTTGACCGTAGCTCAGCCAAATCAGCTCGGATCAAGATAATTGAATCATGGAAATGAATGTCTGGAGCAGGGGCATCGTTCCCATGCAATGGACCTCGCAACAATGATGATTGGATAAAAGTGGCCGTTAGCTGGCAATACATGCCTGTTCGTAGATGATCCATAAAGTAATTATACATTGACCCTTTCATTCATGCAAATGTAGCTGTGTTACACAACACGACCCTCTGCATCTTTTGCTCTGCCAGGGTCCAGCTACTTCACAATGAACAAAGACCACTCTTCATATAGCATCACGCTTACAAACATAAAGGTGCCCATATCTCCAAACTTTACAATGAAACGTGGGGTTTTGAATAGAGCAATGGGCTCGGCTTGGCCAACAGCACCTTGTGTGAAAGTTTCGCGTTCAATGTCGCAAACAGCCCAAAAAATATTTTTTGGTCGTCGTTGTCGAAGAGGTCGACCCCCAGATCCAGTTTGGCTGGTGGCGACATTGCGAAATCTGGGATTGGCCACGATGGACTTCATAGTTTGACACAAGATCGCTTTCACCCCGCCGAGCAACATGGTTCTATTAAAGACCCCACGTTTCATTGTAAAGTTTGGAGATACAGGCACCTTTATGTTTTACATATGCTGTAAGCGTGATGCTATATGAAAAGAGTTCTTTGTTCATTGTAAAGTAGTATAAGTACAATAGAGCCAAAGATGCAGAGGGACGTGTTGTGTCACTTGAGTGAGTCAGCACAGGCCAATGCATGATACTTGTACACTATTTAGGAGTAGTTCCTCTAAAATGCCAGCTAATAAATAACCCAGTCCTCCCAATCATCTTTGTTGCCCAATCCAATGCATGTGAACGATTGTCCTGCTCCAGCCCAGTATGCCCATCATTCAAGTTTCTTGATCCGAGAGGATTTGACTGAAAAATGCTCAAACACAGAAAGTATCATCCAAAATGAGAAAAATTTATCTGGTTAGTTATACGTAAACTGCCACTTGATAGCCCACTCCTCCCAATCATCTTTGTTTCCCAATCCAATGCATGTGAACGATTGTCCTTCTCCAGCCCAGCATGCCCATCCTTCAACTTTCTTGATCCGAGAGGATTTGGTTGAGTTACGCTCAAACACAAAACACCATCCGATTTCACAGAAATCATTTTGTAACGTTATTTGTAAACTGCCACTTGATAGTCCATTCCTCCCAACCACCTTTGTTGCCTAATCCAATGCATGTGAACGATTGTCCTGCTCCAGCCTATCATTCCCATCATTGAACTTTCTTGATCAGAGTGGATTTGATAACACACTCTCTTGCTCACTCCTCTGCAAAGAAATAAAGTTCGTGAACAGGTCAACCTACTTAATTTCCTGCTCTTCCACCTCCTGCTCATTGTCTCTTTCTCCCATTCACAACTGTTACCCCATTCAAGTACAACTGTCGCCTGCGAACGATCGACCTGCTTCAACCCATCATGTCAAGCCTACAATTGCTTTGATTCGAAAGGCTTTGACTGAATGGCAAGTCCATAGCGTGTACACCCCATTACAGCACCCGCGTGTCTTGACACTTCACGTTCTCTTGTACAATCCTCGACCACAATCAGTGGTAGCAGCGTTCATTGCAGCAATTGCTATTAGCGAGGTCTCTACTACTTCGTCTCAAACAGAATGCACAACCTTGTCTTTCTACTACAACACACGAGTCTCTTGACACTACACACACTCCTGCGCCTCTGTCTGCCACAACCAAACGGAGCAATAGATGCTATTGTCTCAAGCAGTGTTATGTACTTGGAGCCTTTTTCAAGCGAACAGCAGATAGTCATTATATAGGAGCAGCTTTATTTACGTGTTGCAACTTGCTTTCAATACACACGACTTCGTCTGGATATGGATATGGATCTGAACATTGTTGTGGTGCATGGGATGAAAGGGTTTGGGTATATTGACCAGGCTGGCTCCTTTGGCCCATTTAGTTTGGATGATGTCATACCATCTATCAAGCAATACAAGTGATATCCACCTGGTTGAGCTGCTATGGAGAATGGCTAAGAAAGAGGTAGAGCAATAACAGGATGGGGAAGGAATTACATTATCAGCGAAGGTCACATGGACCTTTTCAACCAACATGTTAGCTATGATGGATGGATGGAATCAAGTGCAATGATGGTAAATATTGGGATGTTGCTTTGGTTGCTTGGGGCATCGTCAGCAAGAAGGAAGAATCGTATCATATGATAATTGAGGATGTTGATGGATTGGATGGGATTGAGTAAAGGATTCGTGTCTTTGAGGAAAGGTGTTTTATACAGCCATGGATAGGATTGGATCACTCCTCGAGTAAATGCATGCCGCAGCTGTTTTACAATCAAGGATACGATGGCGCAAAGGCAGTTACATTGCTTACCCTAATGGCGGTGAGCTGACACGGACAATGAATCGCTTCTTTACATCCATCCATTTTTGTAAAGATGCCAAATTGGTGATTGACTAGGTGCTGCGCCACATAAGCTATTTAACTCATTCATACTCCAAATACTCTTTCATCTTCGTTCTTTTTCCCCATCACTTTTTATACACTATACCATGCTTATGCCTTGTATTGAAAACCCTTCCCAAAAAGAAGACCACTTTTCAATCCTTCCACTGGAAATCATTACATGCATATTCAAATTTCTTACTATACGAGATTGCGGAGAGTGCATGCGCGTATGCCATCAATGGCGTGACAACATGATCCTCTTGACAGCAGATCAACCACGAGCTCTTCGGCTTAGCAATTATCAATTGCACTTGATACGCAAACCATTGTTGCATTTTGGATTTTTGGTACATGGCATCGAAGTCCATACTTCGAATATCTCACTCTTGGATGTGATTAAGAATTTGGCTCATTTACAACTTCCTCGTCTAAAGTCACTTTGTAAGCCTGAAACCATTACCGTGTCACACATTGCTTACATGTAACAACATTCACCACCCGTTATAGCCATTGCCATTGGCTTGTCAAGTTTATCTCACTCTCTGGCAACGCCTTCCTTAAGTTACTTGGGGAGAACGGTGACACGCTTGGAAATCAAAGGGAATACATTTTCAGAGGCCCTTGTCACCATTCTCATTTCTTGTCCGCACCTCACCCACCTCTGCTATCGAGATAACTGGATGCGGCGTTCTGCAACAACCACCGCCCTCGATGAATCTGTCACATTTCCCAAGCTGCGATTTCTTGCTATAGAGAGCCCGAATAGCGATTGTACTCTTGTCGTAAGCCGATCACCTCATCTACGATATCTGCAATATCGAAACACCGCCAAAGTATCCATTTCTCTCGCGTCGATTTTGGAAGCGTGTCCTACGTTGGAGTGCATAAAGTATTCGAATCAAGATACACCGTTGCTGTCTACGCAAGATCCATTATGGTGGCACGATGAGCAAATGAAATCGGATCAAGTTACAGGGCTACACAAGCTCCAAGTAGCAATCACGCAAACGCCCTTGTTACACGATTATTGGATGGCCGTGGATCAGCATTACAAGACGCTTCGTTGCTTGCATATGCGTCTGTCGAGAGAGTGTGTTTTCAATGACACCATTTCATTCCCTACCATGGCATCATGGCGGATACCAGAACAGCTACAAGAAGTTACTTACCATTATACAAAGACTGGAATCCCACAAGAACACTCTGAGTTCGCAAAGCGGTTTTTGTTGCCTATACTCAAAGGATGCCATCAACTGACTCATGTCAGTATATCCCTTATCAATCAGCCGTTACCATCGGATGCATGGAGCTTGCTTGTAGACCTTCAGCATTTAACGCATCTATGCATCAAGAGTCAACACGATAGCAACAAGGAAATAGTGACTTTATTGAGGGAGATCAGCACACGATGCATTCCACTACAAGAGTTTGCATATCAAGGAAACTGGTTCAACTATGCAAGGGCTACGGAATCGCCACTACCACCCACCATTTTTGGTATACTGACCACGATCCCCACGCTACGTCACATCACCATCAATGCCGAGTGCGAAGGCGATATTGATAAGATCATCATGTCTCGGTGTTTCAAGCATTTGAAGCGATTACCAAACTTGGCATCATTGTCATTTGAATGCTTGTGGGGCTTTACAAGCGAACAAGTATTTCGATCACTAAGAAATCTACCAAAGCTTCACGAGGTGTCATTTTACAATTGCGGCTTTCTTATAGAGAAGGGAATGCTTTTGCTTATTGACCGACAACCTAAATTAAACAAGCTATCTGTAGAGCGGTGTACCATTGACCAGGCTGCTCTTGTCGTTTCTTGGGAAAAGTATGCTCGATCCATCATACCCCATGTAGTTACTTGTAGCAATAACATCCAAGGATGAATACCAATAAAACTCGTTTCAGTCGTATACCATCAAATGCTGACGTTGCAGAAGATGGGGAAAAAGACATGTCAACCATTTTACTCGTAGCGTTTTGACCTTGCTTGTGATGATTAAACAATGCTAGTGATTGACAACAAAAAAGGTACGTCGCTATGCCAACATAGCCAAAAAGGGCAATTGCCTAGCAACTCAGTTGACACCATGATACCACTATCCTCCTCCCACTCTTGTTATCCAATGTGGATTTGATCAATGGGGGTTTATTACTGGGTGCAATCAAAATGTTATTAAGTGTGTTGTTGTAGAAAAAGATAAATGCTACGCGATGTGGTGATTGGATGGTAATAAGAAAAAGTATGGTTGGGTGCAGAAGAAAGATGAAGGAGATGCAATTTGCGTGCGGTATGTACATGTATCCGGTGCCGTGTAGATATGTAGAATATGTGTGTTGCATTAATTAACATGCTGCTGCTGCTGCTGCTCCTCCACTGTGTCCTTTTTTTGTTGTTGTTGATCCTTGTTGGGTTTGGTGAAAAGAGGATTCTTGCTAAAAGACAAGCGTATACCACCTTTGATGGAATTGGATAAACAATAGCCTTGAAGCTCATTCATTGCTTGCGTCGCATAAACAACATCCTCAAATTCGACAAAACACATGGGACCTTGAGCCTTGTTGCGGAATGACATGCGCTTGAATGCAAGGCATTGGACAAAGAGCTGTCTCAATTCGTCTTCGCTTGTATTAGAAGGCAAGTTGCCAACGTATAAAGTGTTGCATGGTGGGTTTTGATCAGCTGGATTGAATGAACGATTCAGGGCCGAGAAGCTGTTTGAACGTAATTCGATAGTTGAAGTGGATGGTGCAGGAGGTGGAGGTGTCGAATGAAGGGAAAAAGAACCAAGACGACGAGTAACATCTGCTGAAGGTGGTGGAGAAGCTGCACGATCGTTTGGAACAGGTGATGATTTACTGAGATAATTGAAAGGATCTTCAGGCACACCACCATCCTGTTGTCCATTGCTGGTAGTTGTTGTAGTAGTATTGGTATTAATGGATGTCGTACCCACGGGTGATATGGCAGATTGTGAATTAATCGCATTCGTCATTCGTGGTGGTGGAATCAATCCAAATGCATGTGGAGGAGAAGACATGAAGCCTCCAAAGTCGGTAGTATTTCCACGAAAGCCAAAGAGCGAATCGGTGAAAACGGGAGTCGTTGGTGTAGATGCACAATATGGGTCCTTGTTCATGAATGGATCGGTTTTGTAATAATCTCCAGGAGATAAAAGGTCACTTGGCAAAGGCGAAAACGAGTCGTAGGCTGTACCATTGCCCTGTTGCATCTTCTTCGATAGGATACTCAAAGGTGGTACAGCAGCAGATGATACAAAGGATGGTGGAATAGTGTCATTCGCAGCGGTCGATCCACGCTTGATATGCAGGTTCTTCTTTGCCATTTCAGCCTTGAGTAAGATGCCTCGTTCTTGATCGATTCGTTTTCCATTCAATACATCGACTGCTTCCAGAGCTTCGAGTCTTGTACGAAATCGAGCAAAGCCGATCTACAATAATGCAACATCATATTCATTGTTACCCTAACGAATGCTCCCCTTGTTTTCTCTCCGTTCATCCTCTCTCTCTCTCTCTCTCTTACCATTTGCTTTTTGCCATTGGTGGTGGTATTCATGGTCGTATTATTATTGTTCTCATCTTCTTGTTCCTTACAATGCCACTTGAGAGACGCTGCTTCAAATCCACCCGAAAAGATAAACATGTTTTGGAATTCACGTTCTGACATATCCTCGGGGAACCCAACAACAAAGATAGTGGTGACATCGTCTGATGGAGGAATGAGATTATGGGTCGACTGCGATGGCAGAGTACATGAAGCCGTTGTTGGCTGAAACAAACAAGACGCAGGCGAAGGTGCCAATGGCCGCACACGCATGTCGGACGTGGAAGGAAAGGACACCACAGCTGTTGGTTCACTGGTCATAATGAATGACGAATATTTGTACAATGGAAAAAGAGAGGAAGTGGACGAGTGCACCAAAGGAAGAAGGAAAAAGGAAAGAGACAAGATATTGTGCAATGGCGGTAGAACGATTTAAGCATGATTTCTTTCTTGTCCTCTTCCTCCTCCCTCCCCCCACCACCCAAAACATCACCCTTTTTTTACACTTGTTTTTCATTCTATATACAAGGTATGTATGTGTGTGTGTATGTATAAAATACACTTTTCATTATGATCATCATGAAAACAAGCTTGTTGCATTCCATTAAACACACACGCACACACACACCATATCATGCCGGTCGACAACATCTTCTGAAAACGCAATATAGCCGCATTTGATTTCAATCCACCATCGGGTAGTTCTACCGTGATACCCTCTCCTTGTATGTAGTCCACACACTCTTTTCTATATCAATACATTTTGTTTTTGTATCTTGACACACATAGACAGGGACCGTAAATCGGTGCAACATCATCTCATCTTTGAGGTTGCACATTGTCACGAACCTAAAATTGATGACCAATGGTGTTTAGTATGTAAGTGTTGCAGGGCTTTAGGGGTAAAGATGCGTATGTATGAGCACAGACTATCCATACAACACACATATACACACACGCGAATGTTGTTGCCTCATGCCAATGATGGGGGAGTAAAAGGGTTATTGACATTCCTCATGCATTGAGGTACGCTGCATTTGAAATTCGTTAATGCACCACTTTTTTTCAATCACCCCTCCTCTCCTAGTAACCCTGCCATGCACGCATACCGCCGCTGCTGCTTCTCCCAGGCATAAATGATATCCCACGTTTTCCCCTATGCTTTTAAAATGGCCATCCATACATATGAATAAAGCGTGTATACGGGTTGTTGTGGTTATGTCATCATCTCCTCTATTGTTTGACAGCAATGGTTCATCACGTTAACAAATTTGACCTTCTTCCATTGCTGTTGTTGAGAGTAGATCAAGGGTCTATGTACTCGCTGAATAATCCCATTCTTGATCATCGTTAGATGTATGATGTCTGCTATAGGGTTCTATTCAAAGCATCGAGGTATGGTATCGTGGCAACCGTATTGATGAATGAATGGATGGGGCTTTTAGCGTGATTTTGTACCTCAAAGCATTCATAAAACGATCGGCCATGTTACACGATAAGGATAAGACGAAAATGTGAAAGCGGATAAGGCTTCTCGGTGCTTAATTCCAGAAAGGGAACATTATACAATTTTGGTGATGACAGCTATTCATGATGATATGCAGTGACATCAACAACCCATAACCCACTGACCATTTTATGTCGGCCGTGCGAGAGAGAGAGAAAGGTGGGGTGGCAATGGCTATGACACGGGGACAATGACAATGTTTTTTCATCTTGGCTTGTCTCACCAGCAAATACCAATTATAGACAAGCGCTGAAAGCGTGTACAAGTGTCCTTTTCGCCTTGATCCGACATAGCACGGGACCCCCACAAATAGGTGATGGGGTGGTCTGTGAGCTGAGCTATGTGGTCCGAGCAACGACTAGTGTTGTGCGTGTATGACATATGCGGAAGAGAGGCGACGTGTTGATCATTCTTTTGTCCAGATGGTCAAACACGGGTTCATCAGCTTACATGTGTGTGCGTGTGTGTGAATGAATGAATCAACCACCCGCCACCACCACTTCTACCACCACCAGCTGTTTCTTCACTTTTTCATTACATCATGATCACACGAGCTCAAGGTCATTTCTACATGGGGCACCTTTTCAGGATGGCGATCTGTGTGTACACTATCTTATAATAAAACGCTTTTGGAACATTATATTTGTGTTATTGCTGCTGCGACATATTGAGAATGTCCGCCATGAACCCCCAAGATATTACACCATTATACTTTTCGAATCACATGGTCTTGCATAAAAGCATAATCAATTGCCAGCTTGTCTTAGAGAGAGAAAGAGGTTTTTTCGCCATCCACGAGGAATAACAATCAATCATGGCTGAACAACAAATCTTTCTTTTTCCAAGAGGCCAAGCAAAAAGTTGTATGTACCACCCATAAAGGTATTCTGAAACGTTCATGCACCTATTTTTTCTTGAACCAAGTCTCGATGTTGCATTCACCACGCGTATTTTGTCTCCATCATCCACACTTAAACCGGTGAACAAGCGAATGATGAGACCCCATGGTCGCTTTGTTCTGAGCCTTCTCAACAAAAAGAGTGCAACAACATCAACATCATCATGCTCCATGATATCAGCACCTGTACCCATTCAGCGGTAATACCAACCAACCCAAGGATGAATGCACGCGTCGCATGCATCATTTTTGTATCCGAAGCATTTATGACAGAGCGAGCTACCTTGATGCAATACCCTACAAACAGCATGCATATAGGTTGCTGCGCTGAGTTTTGGTAGTATGACGACGATAAAAAACAGCTGCGAGAAGAGCAAAGTGGATGATCAGGTTGGCAGAATATGATTGTCAAAGTACAAGGTTACCCCATATGTAGTATTGCCGTCATCATTCGCATCAGCAGCACATACATATCGGCATGACGGGATATATACTGCAATGCTGATCAACAAAGTAGACATCTCCCCTCCCCCCACACCCCAACTTGCCCCGATGGGAAATGCTGAGTTTGGAGAGACAAGAATATGGTTATGTGTGTGTGTGTGCGCATTTTGGCATGGCATCATCACGGTACTGTACGTGTGCGTGTCATCAACCAGCAATGTATTTATAAAAGAGATCTGGTGCATGAGAAATGGAGCTTTTTGGAAAAGAGCATCTTTCTTTCCTCCTCCTTTTTCTTTGCCCTCTCTTTTTTTTAATCACAAAGACCATGCCACCCATTGCTCTAAAGTTTAGCAGTGATGCTGCCCCTTTTGATTCAGAAAGCGAGCTTCAAAAAGCATGGCAAGTGTGCACCAAGGTCAAGGATGCGTTAGACAATGGATCTCGCTTGGAAAATATGTCATGGCGTTTGTGGTTTGTGCGTAACGCGGATAACCAACAACAACAAGAACAGCAACATTATCATCAGGATCGTATGCAGCATATCATGAATGAGTTATGGGCCAATGATAATGACGACAACACCATGGATACAATGGTTGCTACCGAGAACAAAGAACCGGTGCAGCAACAACAGCCAACAACAGAGGTCCCTTTTACAATGGTTGATGAAATCCAAGAACCCGAAGCTTCACTTTCTCTTCCTTCCTTATCACCTCCTTCAAACCATACAACACCTTTATTCTATGATGCTCAACGTGAATACCGCAGGCTTCTTTGGCAGCAACAACTCGATCAATTACAACAGCTTTGTTTGCATAACAGCCTCAAGGCGATTGAATCGGATGCATCATCCGCAGCGGCGGTAGTCCAGGAGCAGCAACAAATAACACCTGCACCACCACCGACATCATCATCAACATGCCACACAAGCAGCAGCAGCAAGATGGCGTCTTGTCGTAATGCATACAGCATTGGAACGATTCATTTTCCGCAACCACAACAGCGAACGAAAAAGGCATCTATTAGACGGTCGCTACCAGTGCAATCGTCATCATCCTCTCCTGTGTGCAGTAATTGCGAGACTACCACCACCCCGCTTTGGAGACGGTCTGCAGACGACCAATTGTTATGCAATGCGTGTGGCCTATAGTAGGTATAGTCTAGACTTTTTGCCCTTCACATACACACACGCTCACCACCCAAATCATCCGTTTTAGTCTTAAGCTGCATAATGCACCCCGTCCAAAGCATTTGAAGCCACATTCTGGTCGACGCATCGGTGCTGTTGGTATTGACAACGACCAAGACTCGCTACCCATGTGTTCAAATTGTGCTACCACAACCACTCCTTTATGGCGTCGAGATGAAAATGGAGCTCCTCTTTGTAATGCTTGTGGTTTATAGTAAGTGCAACCCTTGAAACAAACTTGTGAGACCTTTAATACTTATCTTCTTGTTGATTGCTATAGTCTCAAGCTGCATCATGCCAAACGACCCTTGTCTTTGAAAAATAATACAATTCGGAAACGTCAACGAGTGGATCATCCATCCCCTTATGAAAAGAAACCCAGGAGCAATAATGCAACAACAACACAACAACAGCTATTCCCTTCTTCTTCTTCTACCACCTTCTTTTGTTAAGCATTTCCCCCATCAAGCATCAATAGTAGCATCATCATCTCATCTTTCCCATCCTTGTCCTCTCCCCCCTCACTTTCATGCAAGCAACTACCCTTTCTTTTGCCTTTTCTCTAAAAATGATCCCCAATGCACACAAGTACTATGCCACATCCCCCATCTTTTTGTTCTTTCATTTTCTTTCCTCCGCTTGGATCGAGATCGGTTGATAAGCCCAAAAAAAGTTGTTTTCAAAGAGCGCGTTAACATGCTGACACAAAGGAAATATAGCGATCTAGAGATTCTACTAGCCCAGCGATCAACGGCGAATAGAATAGGCGTGTTTGGGAATGGGAATAATGGGGGAATCCGTATTTGAATTGGGTTTTTTCTCGTACCTGTATTTTCTCTCTTGTATTTGTTTCATTTTCATTAAACCAATGTCGTCGTCCATTGCTTCATCGATCCAAGTGACAACAACCCAACCATCCCAGCAGAAAGCATTTGATCAAGCAACATTTTCGTCTTACATTGGACAAACTGTATCAGGCACAGCTGTGTATGCCGGTCGCGTGAATCCCGTAAGTTTGTGTGTGTGCGTGTATATACACAAACATGCACGGCCCGTTTTTTGCTCTCTCTCTCTCGTTTGATGATGGTTGCATAACGCTAAACCTTATTCTTTTCAGAAATGGTCGGTTGGACAAGTACCTGCTGTAAGTGTGTTGTACCTATTACCCCCCTTGCTATCTCATTCTCGCCAACAAACATATGCTTATAATGCTTTCTTTTATAGGGTGGTAAGCAACAATAACAACAACAACGACAACAGTATATACAAGTATAGACATGCTGATCGATCTTCCTAGGCTATGTCATTGCAATGTCCCTTGGAGCTGTGCTTGATCACTTTGCCAGTCGTCCTCAGCAACATCCCATTGCACTCAACACATTCTTCTTCAAGCCCGCCAAGGGCGGTGCATTCGTCGTCGAGATTCGAGAGCTCAAGCCGAGCAAGTTTGGCTATTGTGTGCTTGAAGTGACTCTTCAACAACCGAAGGTAAGCCAAACACGTCCTTGTTTCTAAGCCTATGTGGTCACTGACATGATGCCTCCTATAGGACCTTACTGCACCTGTACCCACCCATGTGAACGAGTATGATCCTACCAGCTATGTGAAAAAGACGCACACGATCTTGACGATGGGCAACATGGAAAAGGAAAAGGGCACCAACTATATCCACACACCCTTGGCTGCTAAACCACCTTCGTTTGATGCCATGGAGCCCAATCAAGCCGATTTCATGTCCGAGTTTATCGATATGCATCAAGATATGAGCACCTATCCACAAGGTGATAAGCCTGGTATTCCCGAAGTTCATCATTGTGTCGGTTTCAGTGATGGTCGTCCTATCGATTTCAAGAGTCTCGCTTTTTGGTCTGACATGTTCATTCATCCCAATTATTCCCTCGACAAAACGATCTTGGGTGGTCCTCGTTGGTGTCCCACCATGCAATTGGAAATCCAATTCAAGAGCGTGCCAAGAAATGTCAACAAGGTGCTGGCTAGCTTTGCTGTACCCCATATCATCAATAACCGCTTTGATCTCGATGGTGCTTTATTCGATCAACAAGGTAACTTGTTGGCCATCACCAGGTACGTAATGAAAAAGGAGAACAAGGAAATGTGCATAGATGGCTCATTAATATGAACCTGTAATAGACATCAATGCTTGCTCGTACCTTGGGAACGCAACACACCATCATCCGCTGCCACCAAAAACAAGTTGTAGTGGTGGAACATCATCTCAGATCCCATCTCCCCCCCCCGCATATGCATCATCATCATCTGATACCGCTCATACATAGACTACACCCATCACATAGATCCTCATGGAAGGTTATAGACTTGCCACAATAGAGATACATGTATGCTTTGTTACACATCAAGAGGATCCTCTTTTTATGCAACTTGTTCTAAAATCGACTACTGTGTCACTTGCTGCATTTAGCAGGGCATCCCAAACTTGCAAATGTGTTTTCTTTGCCCGTGATGATGTGGATCGATCGACCAGTAAAAGCTATAATCGTTACGATATCATCATTGTGCATATGGAATTTGGAAAACCTGCATTCGTAATATTTAGCTCAGTACCCTATTAGATAGTCTTCACGTAAAGCGTTCTCTCGACAACATGCCTAAACAACATGATGATGAAGAGCATCATAGGACGCCAGATCCCGTTACTGTTGGTTGCTTTGCATAAAGCTCAATAGGTTGCATGTAATCGATGGTGATGGACTTTTGCACCGAGAAGCTTAGTATACAAGTGTATTTCTATACAATGGTCCTTCATCCATCATGGAGAGTGTAATACTACTACATGGCTTGGTGTTTAATAAGCGACGATCGTAGGGGAAGCCAAAAATGCACAGCCACGTGACTCCGCTAAACGCGACACGGCTGCTCGTGAATTGATTTCCGGGCGCGCAGCGCGTATTCCTTCTTCACTTCTTTATACGCACACACACACACACACTCTTTTATACACTCCCCAATGCAAGAACTCACACGCGGTGCCGTAAGCGCTCTTCACAACAACAATCGCGACGAGTTGAAGGAAGATCCTATTCTTCAAGTCCTCAACATCAAGACTTTGCAAAGCAATGGCGTCAACCGTCATAGGTACGTTCCCATGTCCCCCCTTTAAAAAGTTTGGTGTCTTTGATCTTGGTCTCACATGTGGCTCGCTTTATTCTCTACCAGAATCATCCTTTCCGATGGTGCACACTTTATGCAAGGTAAGCGATGGGAAAAGCCAATGTACTTTTATAGACTGCGTATTAAACACTACTTGGTGATATACATATATAGCCATGTTGGCGTCCGGTCATGCTGCGCTTGTTGAAAGCGGCCAACTTACCCGTTATTGTACCATTCGACTCAAGGAATCTGTATGCAATGATCTCAAGGGACGACAGTAAGTGCGCAGCAATGTCATGTGAGAGATGGAAAGGCTTATTCATTCATCTTAAGGATCTTGATCATGTTGAATATCGAGGTGCTTGACAATAAGATTACAGAAAAGATCGGTTCTCCTGTTTCCATCGAGCAACCCAACTCCAGCTCCAGTGGCAATCCTTCAACATCTTCTCCTCAGCAATCAAGCTATGGTGGTATGTCCACTGCTTCGTCATCCTCCAACAATATGCCTCGTACCATGTCCGTGGGCAGCGTCAGCCAAGACGTCAATACCTTGCCTATTTCGGTTCTTAATCCTTACCAAAACAAGTACGTATCATTGTATGTATGTTTGTGAAGAATAGGCCCATTGATCTTGCATACTCTATAGGTGGACCATCAAAGCTCGCGTCACCCAAAAATCCGACATCAAGCACTGGTCAAACAATCGTTCGGAAGGCAAGCTCTTCAGTGTCAATCTGTTAGACAAATCGGTATGTCTGTGTGTGTGAATGTATGCGTGGGAGGAATCAATGCTCAATGGGCTCGTTTGTATATATAGGGTGAAATCAAGGCAACTGCATACAGTGATCAAGTCGATCGTTTGTTCCACATCTTTGAAGAAGGCAAGGTTTACTATATCTCCAAAGCACGTGTGACCATGGCACGAAAGCAGTTCTCTACTTTGGACAACGAATACGAGCTTTCAATGGATTCGGGTACCGAGGTGCAATTGGTATGTGCATTATCATAAAACCTATCGGTGGGTGTGTATAACCTAACATGGGCTTTACTAGTGCAACGAGGAAACCTCGATCCCTCAAATGAAGTACAACTTTGTGCGCATCGCCGACTTGGACAACTATGAAAAGAACGCTATTGTTGGTAAGATGGGGAAGGACTCGTTGGATTGCTTGGATAAAGGTATTGATTCTTATGATGCTTGTTAGATTCCATTTGCATTATCAAAGAAGACCATGGCGTGCAAGAAATTGTTGCTAAGGCTAGCGGAAAACCTGTAAGTAGTGATGCTATATATGCATTTCATGTATATAACATTAATCCTATTCTCCGATCTTTTACAGATGAAAAAGAGAGAGCTTTCGGTGGTGGATGATTCCCAAAAGCAAGTGCGTCTCACTTTGTGGGGAAAGACTGCTGAGGACTTTGATTCTTCTGGTTACCCAGTTGTGGCATTCAAGGGTCTTCGTGTCAATGATTTCAACGGTCGTTCCCTATCATTATCCCAAGCTGGTACTTTCAAGGTCAATCCTGACATTCCCGAAAGATTTCAATTGAAGCACTGGTATATACATAAAAAAGAACCTCCGCCCACAAGCTGATACTCATTGATGTATTATTTTAGGTTCGAGTCTCAAGGAAATGATGTTTCATTTGACTCCTTTAACCGAGTAGGCGGTGAAGGTGGTGCCGTAAAGTCTACTCAACGTGTGACCGTGGGTGATATCAAGGAAAAGTTGGGCCAAGGCGATACGGTAAGTAAAGGAGTGGGGGGTAACCCATACATGTATTCATGTTTGTGGAATATTGATCATGCCCCCTCTTTTTTTCAGGTTGAATATTTCAGCGTACGTGCAACCCTTGCATTTATCAGACAAGAGAATACATCCTATCCAAGCTGCCCCGAGTGCAAAAAGAAGCTCATGCAAGAAGGTGATGACAGCTGGCGATGTGAAAAGTGCAACAAATGCTACCCACAACCTACATGGCGATACATCTTGGGTGCCACCATTGAAGATGCAACTGCCTCCATCTTTGTCAATATCTTTGATGAGCTTGGTGCTTTCCTCATTGGCATGTCTGCAGATGAAATGCAAAAGCACAAGGAATCGGATCCCGAGTCGCACAACAGATTCTTGAAGAAGGCTATATTCAAGACTTACAACTTTAAGGGCAGAGCCAAGTTGGAGTCATACAATGTAAGTTTAGCGATTTCGTCATTTGGATGGGAAGGCTGACTTTATGCTTCTAGGAAAACACCCGACCACGATACACACTCATGGAAGCAACACCTCTCGACTTTAAGGAAGAATGCAAAGAAGTCCTTGCTGAACTCGAAAAACTTTCTGCTTGAACACACAACATCCACAATGTATAGCTTAGCTCGCAATATCTGTTAAAACACATGTAACCACCCAAAATTGCTACCCTGTTTTCCCCCCACCCGTTGTAATTGCAATGACTTCTTTTCCCATTAAACTTGCATGAATGTTGTGTTACGTTGCATAAGGCAGTGAGAATTATAGACAATGCGATTTTTTTATTATGAGACAACAGGATGGGACATATGACTTTTCTCTCTTAATGGATGGATTTAGAGAGTGCGAGACACTTGCCAGACACGGATAAGGTTATCAGTGTAGCCAGAGAAAAGAGTAGCGCCATCAGCGGACCAAGCAATGGAAACACACTCGGGGTCACGAGACTTGTTCTTGCCAACTTGGTTGAATTCAGGACGAAGCTCATCAACGAGTTCCTTGTTCTCAAGATCCCAAACCTTGATGGAAGAAGAGGTAGCAGCAACGAGCCAGTAGCGGTTGGGGGAGAAAGTAAGGGCGTTGACAACATCACCAGCCTCAAGGGAGTAGAGGTGCTTGGAGTCGTTCAAGTCCCAAAGCATGACAACACCATCCTTGCCAGCGGAAGCGCAAAGAGAGCCATCGGGGGAAACGGTGACAGTGTTGACGTAGCCATTGTGGCCAATGAAGTTGGTGCGCAACTTGAGCTTGGTCAAGTCCCAGATCTTGACGATCTTATCCCAACCACCGGAAACGATAACAGGGTTAGCAGGGTTAGGAGAGAAACGAACGCAAGAGACCCAATCAGAGTGACCATCTTCGGTAAGTTGATACTTGCACTCGCCAAGGGTGTTCCACAACTTGATGCTCTTGTCACGGGAACCAGAAACGATTTGACGGTTGTCAGCAGAGAAAGAAACAGAGAGAACATCACCAGTGTGGCCAACGAAACGGCGAGTGGTGGTGCCAGTGTTCAAATCCCAAAGACGAAGGGTCTTATCCCAAGAGGCGGAAAGAGCGAATTGACCATCAGAGGAGATAGCAAGGTCTTGGACAAAGTGGTTGTGGCCCAACAAAGACTTGCGAGGAACACCATAGTTCACCTCATCACTATTTCACTTTGATGTTAATATCCCTTGTTGCTATATACAAATATGCATCTTTACCGAGTAAGGTGCCAGACAATAACGGACTTGTCTATAGGTTCCTGCGGTTAGTGATATGTTGCAAAACTACAATAGCACCTTTGATACATACCACGCGAAGCGGACAAAACCATGTCAGGGGCTTCAGAGGTGGTGGCAATAGCAGTAACTATAGGAATGTCCACATGTGAGTCATGTTGCGTGTCGTCATGCTGTCATTGGCTGTTGCGAATGGTTACCCCAGTTGCCATGGCCTACAAGAGGTAAAAAAATATAGGGTCAGCAAAATCCATACATGATGCAATCATCCATCCATCCATCCATCCGCCCATCCATTTATTATATACCTTCAAGAGTGCCGCGAAGAGTCAAAGTGTCCATTCTTACGGATGTCTGGTAGATAGAGGAGGATCCATCATTCTATGTCGAGCTTGCTTCTTGACACATGCACCGGGAATTGAATTTCATCATATCCTTTAACGTCCACCACCGAGGATTCGAACCCTTTGTATTTCGAGCTCAGCATTGTAAGGAAGCAATACGACATCATCAGGCGACGCATTATGTTATGGATGGCTGATGGTACATGTGTTGGTCTTTGTTTATTCGATACAAGTGCTCCATTGTCGTGGTCGTCATGGTGATCGTTGGCTCTTTATGTAAGGTATCAATGTTGGAAAAGCGTGCATGATATTGGTCACGTGCACCATGCTGCTACACATACAATCCCAAATCGTGAAATACATGACACTGTCACTCTTTTTATATCTTTGAATGACGAACCAAATGCACACTATTTACACTAAAACAAAGGAATGCGAATTATAAAGTACGAAAAAGATAAGGATAAATATCACTTTTGCCGAGCTTGTTGTATCTTGAGAGCGAAATCGTTTCCATGCATGTCAATAAACTTTTCAATCTTTGCACGTAGTGCCCCAGTCATTCCCACAATCTTGCGCTTGGATTGAGTTTCTCGATCAACCACGTGGTGTGTCAACTATCGGGCAAAAAAGATACCATCAGCAACCCATCCATTGGAATACATCTTTGTTACTTTTACCTTTCTTGCAAGCTCCTTAAATAAATGCTTATCACCTTTCCAAAGTGCTTGTTGCCTCACTGTCAGATACTTGGTAACCACCTTGCCAACCTCTCGCTTGAGATCCACTTCATCCATGCCATGGCCCCCTCCTTCAACTTCATTGGACCCACTGGTAGATGCTGCAGGCGTAACAACACGTGGCGTTTGACCCGTCACTGAATTGGCTGGGCTGATGCTGCTAGTTTGTTGCCGTTTACGTTCCACAGCTTGCTTTACAAGATCATCCAGCTGGTTCTTATCCACACCTTCTATGGAGCTGACTTTTTCCTCTGGAAACTCCCATTGCGATACTTTGGTGATTGTATTGTAATAATAGGTATCCCCTGCATCCGTCACTGCTTTTTGCCAATTTGCTGGAAGCTTGCGAGTCTCGGTGCCATTGGATGTGCCACCACCAACACCACCACCACCACTAGTCGAAGGTGCTGCTGGATCTTGGCCTGCAAGTGCTGTATTGCCTTGATCTGCTGCTATATAAATAAAAATGCATCAATATTCATTCATCCATGTTCAAAGGAAAGAGAAAATGATTACCTTCCGTTTGTGCTGTTTGAGTAACTTGCCCCTGGTTATATGCTTCCGAGCCCAGTGATGCCATGTACGCATATTGAAGATCCTGTAAAACATAGCATCCAGGATAACTGTTGTCGTAATAGTTGTAGGTGGGATAATGATACCATCCGTAGCTATTGTCGTTCATCATGGCGGTATATTCTAGCATGGCACGTGGCGCCGTAGGAATGGCGGGTCGAGGAGGATAACGCATGATAGAATTGATCTCGGCATCAGTCGTGGTCAAAGGTATATACTCATAAAAATCGTCATCAGGATCAAAGAACGCCCGCGTGGAGTTGTATTTTGATTTCTTTGACGCTGCCTTTTCACGAACGATCTCCTTGTGCTCTGTATCAACCTCGGTACCTACAAACATTTGTTAATGATCGGTGACTGATATTCCTATGCATCTTAAAGACTTACCAGCTTCAGTGACATCCTCTACTTCATTCTCGACATACTACAAACAAAGATGAAAGGTTAGAGATCGGCTATGTGATCTATACAAGAGCACTTACCACTCGTTTAGGAATCCTGTAGACTTCTTTTAATTCGCTCCATGCTTCCAGTAGCTCTGTTGACTGAGTGCTGATTTCTTCGCTCTCACTGTCAGTGAACTTTCGAACCACGTCGAACATTTTGCAGTCGTCGAGACCATTCCTATTGGCCAGAGGTAGCTTTCCAAGGATACGAAGCACCTATGACATATATTAATACCACAAAAGAAAATCACAGATCCATCATCATCATACCTTTTCAATGATTTCATCATTGTATTTCCATTCACTTAGCCAGCATTTGAGCATCTTCAATCCATGTAGCCGTACGAATCGTTTGAGTACTTCTTTGCCGACCGAATTCTCCGGGTTTGTCAAATCCAAGCAATCCAGCAGTTTGTTGACCAATGATGCATTGCCGATAGAGTCGAGCATCTTTTTGACAAATGACTTGACTTGCTCCACGTCATGTAACGGTTGCAAAGATCGTAAATCCTCCTCATCGATATCTTCTTCGGGCTCAATGAACTGTCCAGTAAGCTCTTCCTCTTCCTGAGATGATGATGCACCGATATAGCCTTTGCAATTGGGTTCACCACAATAACAGGGTTGTGCGGTAGCACTAGAGAGCCATGTGTGAGCACGTGACATCATGCAATATCACGTTTTGCCATCATTGACTTACCCATAGCGTTCAAATTTATAATCAAAAGTGAGTTCCTCGCCAGCCTTGACAGGTCGCATCGTGAATAAACCGATCCTCATTGATTTGCCAACCACCCATTTTTGTGTGACGCTGTTGGGATTACAAGAATGGTTGATGAATCGAGCAAGGCAACCTTTCCTCGTGGCATCAATAATCTATATCCAATTCCCAATGTTACCTAACCTGAATGGGGAAGGGAGGTTTCCATGACAACCTTGCTTACCTCGTCATTCTTTAATGTCATGAAATAATAATGCTCGACGCCTTCTTTTTCATATAGCTTGGTCCTCCGAATGAATTCCTTGTAAGGGATGACTTCACCAATGTATTCCATAATAAACGCGTTTCTAATCAATAGGAGGGAGGAAGAAAGAATTCAGCATGTTGACATCGATCGCCCTCCAAAGATAAAACTTACGCAGGTAAATCAGCGAGAGCACGTAAACCATAACCTTTGAGCTCTGTGCGGATGACATCGACACGTGCATATTGTCTCAATTGAAACCGACGATTCCTGCAATATCGATCACTTGGGCAATGTTCCGCAAGGCATTCCATAAACATCATCCGGTTGATACACGTATTGTCATCACCACATGCTTCGTCTGGATCGCTGGAATCAGGATCATATTTGCACTCGCATGGCATGGATTCTGATGCAATGGATCGACCCGTGGCAGTGCCACAATAGATGTTTTGTGAAATGTTCCCATACGTTCCCATAGCTTCAGCTGTAGCTGATGGTAGATGCGTTGTATCAACATCTACACCCATATACATCTGAGTTAATGACCCGTATCCACACGTATTCCCTAGCAACCACCCCACTTACGATTGGTAGCGTGAGACTGAGGCTTCAAATGGGTCGAGGTGGTATGTTGTGTGTTGTGTTGGCTGGCAGTGTTTGAGTAGTTGTTGTTGTTGTTGTTGGGAATCTGATCCTCTTCCGATCGACCCTCATCGAAAGCTTCTAACCTGAAGGTGTTGATACACCACAGATCCTCTTTCACTTTGCTCTACCTTTAACAACCTACCCTGCATATGACCATGGCGAGTCGATTCTGATCCTGGTTGTACTACAGTGTTGGAATCGCTAGAAAACACTTGAATAAGCATAAACATAGACACACGATATACGCCTTGGCGTGCCAATACACGCGATTGCTGTACCTGGAACTGGCATTATTTGGCATGTCACTTAATACTTGATTTCGATTTGCCTTCCTGTTGCCCAAGCAAATGGTCGAGTGATTGGGCGCATTCACTGAGGAAATCCAGATGACGATGGTGGTTGAGTTGGGAAAAGGGTTTAAGAAAGGAAAATAGCGACTTCGCTCCGCTTTGTCGTGGGCGGGAAAGCAATTATAGCTGATCAGCGTAACACCATGCGTCATGCAATTGATGCAATTAGTCCTGTTTGTATGCTATCGACATTCCATGTATTCATTAAAGGTTGGCTATTCTATTCTCTTGATGATGTAACTTGTGATCATGCATATCATAGAAGGACATAGCAAAGGATGAGCTTCTTGTAATAAGTCAAGTAGTTGTTCTCTTCCATGTAAAAGTTGAAGTCTTTATAGATACATGCATCAACAACTTGAAGAACTCTAATGAAAAGTTCATAGCTATGTATGGATATCGCTTACAATGAAAGTGGATGAAGCATAGCTTGGTGCTAGCCTTACAATAAAAGTGGGTTTCTTTATCCAAAAAAGGGGACAGCGTCTGATAAACGATGATTACGCGTGAACAAGGCAATCAATCAAGGTTCTTTATCACTAGTAGTGGTCCATCTAGACATCCTACTAGAATCGTTGACCTAAATGTTTGATAACATGGTACTCCAATCACTAATGTCCAGTCTATTCAAGCTCGTTACTGGTGGTGGTGATATGTGTGTGCTTCAAATTGGCCTTCATCAAATGCGATGGGTCGTTTTATTATTAAAGAAAGCTACCTTGAGGCGAGAAAAAAGCTTAGCTGCAACGTCTACTATGACCCAAATAAAGGATGTGATTGAGCTGGTTGTCTTTAAAGATGGACACTTAATGCAAGGGCACGTATCCTTGGCAACCGTAACAATGGCGTGGCCGCATAATGAAAAGTGTCTTTGTTGAATGAAAAATAAGAGGATTGGATGATTGTGTGGTGGTCTTGGATACCAAGAATGAAGGAGGATGATAGATCCGGTTCTTTTAGGTTGAGTGGTGGCTGTTACCAGAACCAATTCCAGTCACCGTGTTCCGCTTTCAGACACTCACTATATCCTTTTCTCGTCTTCCTTCACGACCGATACTTTGCCATCATGAACATTAGACAAGCAACCGTATGTTACAAGTTACCAGCCACTAGCCCTTTTCCAAACCAACGTTGATATCCATTGTAGGTGAACGATCTGCTGGAAATGCAAAACTGCAACCTGCTCGACCTTCCCGAGAACTATCAAATGAAGTACTGCAAGTAATCTACTCTTTATTCCTATACATGCGGCTCGCATTGGCTCATACTATTTACTACAGATCTCTATCACGCACTTTCATGGCCACAGCTTTCTTATGTTGCAGAGGATGATAATGGCAAGATAGTTGGCTATGTGCTTGCAAAGATGTAAGTATCCTTTACGCGTTGTTGTTGTTGTTGTTGTTGCTGCATCAAATACCAACCAACCTTATATACAACAGGGAGGAAGAACCAAGCGATGTGCCTCATGGTCATATTACATCCATCTCAGTCATGCGAACCTATCGACGTCTTGGATTGGCTGAAAAGCTTATGAAGCAAGCAACATCGCAAATGGTCGAAGTCTTTGATGCCCACTACGTTTCGTTGCATGTCCGAAAAACCAACCGTGCTGCCATTGGTCTTTATCGTGATACGCTTCACTTTGAGTAAGTGATAGGGGATGATGAGTGATGGACAGGAGTGGTGAGCTCATCTATTCTATTAGGGTGCATGACATTGAAAAGAAATACTATGCCGATGGTGAAGATGCCTATGCAATGCGCTTGACACTCAAGGAACCCAAGAAGAAGCAACCTCTTCGAGGTGTGGTGGAAGAAGTCAACCAAGTGGCTGCTGCCGCCGCCGCTACTGCTGAAGCCAAGTAATCCTTGCCTCTCGACGACCCTATTACTCTTCTCAACTCCATATACGAATGGATGTAGATATATGACATGATTCTCTTTTGACAATTACCTTTTTGTGATTACAGAGTTAGAACGCATCTTTCTAATTCATTGCATGTATTAAAAAAAGCAACATACAACGCACGCGACTTTGAGCAATATTGGATGTGCATGATCAAATCAAACGTAATAGAGCCTCTTGTTGACGAGAAATGGACATGGAGAGATTACATAGATAATGAAGGCAATGTCTATCAAAGACTGTAATGTGATGATGATTGGATGTTGGTGCATACATCTATGGGGGAGACAATGTCTAATACATGGTAGAGTTTGAATGTCAAATGGTGGTTGTTACGCTTGTTGTAAGGGATGCTGAGATACATAATATAGTTAAATGGCGCTACACATGACAATCGTCGGTGCAATACGTACTAAGTTGTGATCCTGCTGTTGTTTCAAGCCTGTATCTCTTAAGTTCAATGATCGTTGGATTTCGTCTCTCAAGTCGCACATCTTGCCACCCAGCTGGCCATCCGTAAGTTTGCTTAGGCGTTGTGTATCCAGCTCAGCATCCCAACCCTCGGGACGTGCCACGCGCGGAGTATCTGTTTGCTCTCTAGCACGGGCCATATGTCTTGAATTATATTTTTTTCAGAGAAAAAAAGTCGCTTGTTGAGAAAAAAAGCTCTTGTGGTTCATCTAATGCAAAGAAAGACATAAATAATACTTACGATTGCCAGCTTGCGATCATGTTAGAAGATCTTTCAACACTACTGCGCATGCTTGCCTCATGGTTATCGACGGCAAGCTCTTGCGGTGGAACGCAACCCGTTCTCCGCAGTAGTTGTCTATACAGCGTAAATGGGACCAGCAATATTTGAATAGTTGCCTTGTACATTGGTCAAGTAGACAATAAGGTTAAAGAATAAAAATCCTCTATTCTAGAATCATTTTGGTTTATATACTCGTCCAAGGATCAAAATAACGGAGCTATGAGGATTTTCGTCATTTCTTCCAAATTCGTTGGCAGTGTTTTTTGGCCCCCTCCCTTGCCTACTATATTCCCACAAGTCAGGTTTCGCATTAAACAACAGGCTGTGTGGGGTTAACATATATGGCATTAGCATCGAAAACATCGAAATTCATTCATCTCCAAGCGGCGAAAGATACGGAAACATACACCAATTGCGGCTGTAATCAGTTTATTGCTCTTTCATTGATGTACGTGCGCAAATCGACCCAGCGTCTAGAACGACAAGAGCATAATTTTGTGAATGCATGATTCATGCGATACAATAACGCTATCCCATAGCTTGTCTACTAATAGCCAACATCGTCTTTTGTATCATTGTTTTGGCCTGATGATGAATACGAGGGAGGCGGCATTGCGGATAAGGGCTCTTTGTTTCGTCGAAAAAAGAAATGGTGATTCCCTACAATGACACATACCACAAAGAGAATATGAAACCATCAAGGATCCTTTTGCATCATGACACCGGTGGTGAAATGTGAACGTCTCAAGTGAGGAATAAAGAAGGAGGGAACCGTTTGCAAGCCAGAAAGAAAAAAAGGTGCACAAAACGTGTGTGTGTGCGTGTGTGGTAGGCTTGTGAAGCATGTACAAAACCCTCTTTTTATGCTCGGCATGTTTGTTTACTTTCCTGCATGATACGGTAAAGTTCCCATCATTTTCAAGCAATCATTTTTTCCTCCCTCTTTTCTCATTTTATTGCCGTTTGACCTTTGCATCAAGCATTGACACCACCACAACTTGCTCTGATGCATAGCCTGGGAAAGACCAATTCAACGTCTTCTAGCACAGCCATTGCTGTCCCATCTTCGACGGCTCTGTATCACCCAGCCGATGATGTGGAGATAACCCAACCCCGGCGACATCAGCTTGCTATTATCATGGTAACCCAACAAATACGTAACATGGGTGCATGACAACAAAAGCAAATAATGCATGTATACTACTAGGGTAGCCTTTTTTTCAGTCTCTTACTTGTGTCGCTGGATCAAAGTATCGGTAAGCTTTTTCTCTGAAACGGAGCGAGCATGATGATGTTACAGGGGTAGTGATATGGCTTTATATGTGTCATTTAGTGGCAACGGTGTTACCTGTAATCGCCTCTCACTTTGACGCTCTTGGCGAAATCGAATGGGTGGGCACGGCATACATTCTACCAATGACAGCTTTGCAGCTATTATTTGGAAAGGCAAGTTTATAGGATGACCTTTTCTACTACTCATGGTTTGCTGACATGTGACGCTTCTGTCAGCTAGCAGATACCTTTGGTAGAAAACGTACGCTGATCAATGCTATCATCATCTTTTTGGTTGGCAGTAAGTATAATATACAACGTGTGGCTCTGATGTTGTAAGGTAAACCATAATATGGCTATTAGGTGCATTATCCGGTGCAGCACAGAGCACATTGATGCTTTTTATCATGCGTGGTAGGGTCACTTTAAGGATGCTGAGTGTATCAAATGTATTCATGCCTATGTAAATTTAAAGGTGTACAGGGCATTGGTGCGGCAGGTATTGCTCCTCTGGTTATGATTATAATTGGTGACATTGTCCCTTTACGTGAAAGAGGAAAATACCAGGCAAGCATACCTATGAACGTCCCAAAGGAGGCTCTCTACTAATGAGGCTTCGATTATTAGAGCATTGTAGCACTTTGTTGGGCAACGGGATCAATTGCAGGCCCATTGGTAGGTGGTGTTCTTGCAGATCACCTTAATTGGCGATGGATTTTCTACATCAACCTACCTATCGGGATAATGTCAGCATTACTTCTTTGGCTTTTCTTGCATATCCCCAGGGACAAAAATGATCAGACGAATCAAGCATTATCATGGCGAGCCAAATGTTACAATATTGATATCCCTGGTGCCATTGTTTTTATTGCTAGTATCTTTTGCTTTCTTCTTGCCACCCAATGGGGTGGTCGATGGTATCCATGGAAACACCCAATCATACTTGGATTATACGGAGCAAGTTTGGTGCTTGTTGCTTTGGTCATTGTCTCTTCGTGGTGGCATCTCACAAGCCCAAACCCCATATTACCCATTCACCTGTTCCTTGATTTCAACCGAGTTGCCATTTTTGCCATGGTGATAGCCACATCTGCAGCCATGTTTATCAACGTGTTTTACCTTCCAATTTACTTTCAAGTGGCTCATGGTGATACGCCAACCATGGCAGGATTTGAAGTGCTGCCATACCTACTACCAGTGGATATTGTGAGCATGATCTCTGGATTCATCGTTTCGAAGACTGGCTATTATAGACACATGTTTTGGGTTGGGACAGCCTTGATTGCTATTGGCGGTGGATTGCAAACGTTGTTGGATGTTGACAGTAATAATGCAACACAAGTAGGCTTCTTGATTTTGACAGGGGCTGGTGCTGGGTTTTGTATCCAAAAGTAAGTACATTACCACAGGGATGAAAAGATGGCATGTATGCTGATCTCACGTATTCCTTAGTGTCTATGTTGCAGCTCAAGCGTCAACGATCCAAGAGGAGTAAGTATTGCTTGTCACGTATCCATACATGCACACATGTTGACATGCTTCCCATAGAATTGCCTCTGCTATCTCCCTTGTCTGCTTTTTCGGTTACCTTGGTTTTGTTTCAGGGATTTCCATTGGTGGTGCCATATTCAACAACACGCTTACATATTACCTGCGACGAACACCAAATTAGAGAAGCACAAAAAAGTCCAGAGCTGCTGAAACGACTTGAACCAGGGTTGCGAAAATCAGTGGCAGCTGCATATGGATCTTCACTTCAATGGACTTTTCTTGCTGTTGCCATATGTGGATGCCTAGGCTTTCTATTTTCGTTATTCCTTTCATCGAAAAAGATCCAACAAGACGATACAAGGCAGGCATTGTCATCATCACCATTACATCGATCCTCATCCTCATCATCTTATGATGCATGTTCAACCACTTCCACCACCTCCCAATCCCCCACATAAAAACCTCCCCTTTACCCCTCTGGTCTCTTCCCCTTGTTACGATCCATCATCCCTCTCTCGTCATAGAAGAATCAGCTCACATTCCCATCATCCATCAACAATAATACCAGCATATATAAATACTTTTTGAATAAGCAAACGTTTTCTTGAATAATATAGACTTGGGGTATGACTTAGTTGGACAAGATAAGGTTGACAAAGTCAACATAGTTGATCCGACCATCCTTGCCGACTTCGACTTCCTTGAGCAATTCATCGACTTCTTCTTCGGAGAGCTTCTCACCGAGGTTGGTAAGGACATAGCGCAACTCACCAGCCGAGATGGTACCATCACCTTCCTTGTCAAACACTTGGAAACCTTGGATAAACTCTTGGGAGGTGCCAGCAGGCTTGAAGCCATCAGGACGCGTAAGAATGGTAAGGAAGGTACCAAAATCAATGTCGACTTCTTGGCGCTCGGAACCACCAACCGACTTTACGAGTTCGCGAACTTCTGCTTGGGTGGGATTTTGGCCAAGACCACGCAACAAATCGCCGAGATTGGCTGATGACACGGTGCTGTTACCCTTCTTGTCGTAAAGAGAGAATGCTTCCTTCCACTCGTCAAGCTGTTCTTGTGTAGGTTGGTTGGTAGGGCTCATGGTCTGATGCAGATGAAGTAAGAGAAAAAGAGATGAGTATGGTAGTCGTTGTGTACCTGACCGCCGCTTTAACTACCGCGTGACCGCCGGAGATGATAGGTTTGCACCACCACCACCTCTCCACTGATGATACGAACAGCCACACCTTGCCTATCGGAAGAAGAAGGGACACACTTTTCATATCACGACGACGCATGACATGTATGTATACAAACAACAATATGAATATTCTTGGACATTCAAGGTGTCCTTTTTTAGTTGTATGACGACGACATGTGCATTGCCATGACAACCACCACCACCAACATCGACTGACACATTGATGCACTTTTAAAGGCATTGTGGCGTGTCCAATCAGCTCGTTGCAAATAAAGAATTCACCTTCGTGATGAAGCCATGACGTTGTATCGTATGTAAATGTTATCAAGCTTGTATCTTTTCCACCTTTCATTAAACATGATGCTTACCTCCTCCGTTGAAAAGAAAAGTGTGTCATGTGATTGTAATGATGCATGCCTAGCGATCTGTGCAACGAGATAAATGATAGCTTCCTCACTTGGGCTGAATGAGACGTGCTCATGCGATCTCTTTGTTGGGTTGAATATGGGATAACGTGGGAAAGAAGAGCACCATTGCATATGCATTGTTGTTGTTTACCGGGGAAAAAGTGCTTCCTTTTCTCCTTTTAAGAATGATCCCACACCAACAAGGAGCATCATCATTTCTTTCTTACTCATTGTATCATGGTAGTTGGCACACCACTTGGAAAAGGGGTCTTTGTTCCCATCCCAACATTTTTCAAGGATAATGAAGACCTTGATTTTGATTCACTTGAAAAGCACATCCGTCATTTATCCAAAAAAGGTCTTGCCGGTATCATCCTTCTTGGTTCAAATGGTGAAGCCGTTCACCTTTCAGGTGCAGAGCGTCAACAAGTCATCACCAAAGGTTGTGAATATGTCAAAAAGTACGATCATTCTATGAAGGTGATTGCTGGGGCTAGTGCCGGTTCAGTACGCGTCACCGTAGAGTTCACCAAGCAAGCAGCTGATGCTGGAGCCGAGTATGCAATGGTGCTTCCACCCTCCTATTATCGTGCCAACATGGATAATGAAGCCATTGAATCATTTTACATCTCTGTTGCGGATCAGAGCCCTGTGCCTGTAGTGATTTACAACTATCCTGGTGTCACTCAAGGCATCGATATTGCTGTGCAAAGTATAGAAAGGCTTGCGAAACACAAAAACATTGTCGGTATCAAAGGCACAGATGGCAACATGGGCAAGGTTGGATACCTTGGTGCAAGAATCAAACCAGAAGGTACGTAGGACCATCATGCGCTTTTAATTGTTGAATGGCTATTGGATTGATAGACTATCGTAGACAACTTTTCCTTACTTGCTGGATCGGCAAGCTTCTTTTTACCTGCATTGACAGTGGGTGCAGTGGGATTGGTACCTGCTCTTGGCAATGTGGCACCACGTGCGTGTGTGGAAGTACAACGGCTCTTTGATAATGGAAAGCTCGAAGCAGCCAAGCAACTGCAACAGCAATTGGTTGAATCGGATGATGCACTTGTGCGTTGGTATGGCAACCCTGGTGTCAAAGCAGCTATGAATCATGTTCTCGGATGGGGTGGTCAACCTCGTTCTCCTTTGCGTTTGCCATCCAAAGATAAGGTTGATCGCATTGTTGATGTAGTGGTTCAAGCTCTCTCCATTGAGAATTCACTCTTGAAAACATAATTGGATACGTATGCTTATTTACTTTATGACTCCAATACATCGTCCAAGAAGTGCTTGGTGATGAAAGCATTGTAGTTGGGAGTTTCAAAATTGTTGTCATGGTAATGGATTGCAGTTTTTATTTGAGAACGTGATTGCTATTGGCGTGATTGGATGATAATGCAAGTAGAATAACAATGAAAGGATAAAGATCTCCACACATATGAATACATGGATCGCTCACAAAAATAAGAAAGGCTATCTGCCATCATGCTCATCAAAGGCTTTTAAAAGCGTCAGCAAGCAAAATGTGACATTTCGGAAGAAAGAAAAGAGACGTATGAGAGTGTAATAGTAGGCTTGTTCATAGGTGCATGATGGTGGCAATTAAGCATGATCATCCAACAATGTCACATCACGAATCACTTGCTGTGCTCGAATTCCATAAAAAATCTCTGCCAAAACTGGTAAAGCGTGGCATATTTTGTGACACAACCCTTTCCGAGGCAGGGTTCAAAGCTCTGTTAGGTAGCAGCAAAGGCCTTCAAAGATCTTCTTTATGACGTGTTTTGAGGAGCCGGGCCCATTATCTTGTTGAAATGCATCCTTCATGGTACCGTCCTCCATCGTCTTTGGCCTATTCTTGAAGCGAAAGCCATGGTACATGCTTGGAGCATGAATGCCACCATTTGCTTGGGATGATAATTGGTCAACTTCAGGGGCACCAGGCAATTGGTATCTTCATTGGCCGGAGCTCCAGTCTGAAAGTTGGATTGATCCTGAGACTGGATTTTCAAACGCGGATATTAGCCGGTTTCCATTGTTAGCGAAAAGAACAAAATGAATTAATTGTGTGTGTGTGCGTGCGTTGCCCTGGTTCCACACCTTTTCCTCTCCTTTCCTTTCGACTCATTCACACTCTCTGCACATTCCTTTATCTCATGACGCAATGAGCGAACCTAGCAACAACGATACTCAACAACTCGACGAGGTTTCACTCTTGTCCGACACCTCCATTGCTATCATTTGCGTCTGTGTCGCGATCGGTATTGGTTTAATTATCGGCACAATATTCCTCATACGACGACGACGAGAACGTAACAACCATGGCTTTGTCACGTTTGATGATGAAAGCAAGCCTGTAGAGCCATTGCCACCACCTGAAACACACGACCTTGTGTTTTCATCCATTCTCGCACATACACCACGACCTCCACCGGGTGTGTCAAGCAACAATTCATCCCGTATCGATGGCAACAATAGCATCAGCAACATGAGAGATAGCATGTTGTTGCAGGATGGATATTCTTATTCAAAATTGTATCTCAACAACAACAGCAGGAATAATAATCAACAACATGATCAGGAAGTTGATGACCCAAAGCTATTGTTGTCGCTGGCACGACAACGCGAGAGTTGGGCTGGGTATTATTCTCGTCCGAATACGCCACAACCAACCGCAGGCGGTGACAGAATGTCTTCGGGTTCCTCTTACCAAGTTTGGTGATATCTTTTCCTTGTACTTTTCTTTACATAGCCCTCTGCCACCCACAACATAGCATCATCCACCATCATCCATCATCATGTCTCATTGTTCTCCTCCCACGCCACTTGTAGATATATCTATATATATAAAAAGCCCAGTTGTTCAACAAAAAAAGCCCATCCCGAAACTCCGTGATTAAGAATAGGCTGATGCTATTTCGGTTGCTAGGTCTCGCCTCATCTCATTTCTTTGTCTATGCGTGTCGATGAAACTTGTCCAATCTCATTACCCTTACCCCTGTTTTTACTTTGCCGATAATATAGATTCATTTTACCAGTAGTTTACAATGACTTTCTTTTTCAGGCACCTGCTGTAGAATGTTTCAGTGTACACTTTTTGCTACTACTCCGGTAATGAAAAATGATCATCTCCTGTTTCTGGGTATGCCCCTTAATGCCAAGGGCAACATGCATTCCATATACGATGCATATTCCTTCATTCCCTTGTCAAGTGACAATGCTTAATGAATTGATGACATGCATTGTATCGATAACTCTATTCATCGTTACAAAAAAAAAACGGCGTGATGTACGTAAATGGGAGGACTTGATACTCGACGTAATTGGGCTCCTAGTACTAGACAAATGGCAAACATCATATCACAAAATGGCTTTCCTTGTTCCCAAACGATCACATGACAATGGTGGTGGTGACAAGCTGAAACCACCAGCACATTGTTGGCTGTAAAAGCAATGTTGCTCATGGATCAATGCCTTCTACTGCTGCTGTTTTCTAGGCCCAGCGTAACTTCATCCATCTTAGTCGATGTCATTAAAACAAAGGCGTCATGCTATACGTACGTATACTCTAATGGCAATATTTCCATATCCATCAAGCCATCCTGGTGACTACAACGTAAAGAGGGCCACCCTCACCTGGTGAACAACAACCACGTCAAATGCAAAAGAACCAACTTTGCCTCTGGTTTTGGGTGCTGCATTGATAATTGCAACACGCCTCTTAAAGAAAGGGGATGTTACTATTACATAGAAAATGGGAAGACCCATGATCAATGAACGTTGACCATATTCCAATTACTTCCTCTTAATATTCAGCTAACGGATTTTATTGTCCGTAAAGTGTGTTCGTCGCATGATCTGGCTCGGGAGAACAAAAGCCATCTTATATACAGGCTATCTAGATTTGTGTCCCATCGACCTAGCATGGGTAACTTTGATGAGTCAATCATCTGAATGATGCTGTCTAGATCTATGTATGGTATCACAAAAACCCTTCCCCACAAAAAAGTTGGTTATTAGGTATGTTTGCTTGTCAAATCACAATGCATCCCATCTCCGATCATTAAGGGATCTCTCTCTCTCTCTTTTGTAGCCACTATTTTTGTACCCGTTCCCAACTTGTCGGATGCATCAAGTTTGGTGCCGATTGTCCGCCTCCTTATGAGAACGAATGTAGGGGGAAGGGGGAGCAAATCATGATCACGTAACAAGCAATGCTCATTATGAGGGAAAATATACTATTTAAGTCATTCATGGCAATTAACTCGCACGCACACAACGCGTCTGATAATGCAACAATATAAACATGCTATGATTGAAGAGGACGTAAAGCAGATTAAGAAGGACACGTTGGATCACGATACCCAAAAAGACGTCAACAGCATATGATGTTATGCCTTGTTGCTGCATAATGGTAGTTACACATTGACCGATCGCTTCCGAAGAACGAGTCGGTGACTTAATACCATGACCCCCACCACCTCACGTACGTCTATGGGAAATGCAGCAAGGACGATTACATCAAGGTTTGCATAATACAGCGCTTACATTTACCAAAGCACATAGTATATTGTACACCCTCCTTCCTAAAATAGTAAATCAGCCGTGTGATAAACTACTTGAAGCAATCGCTTTCTCGATACCCGAATGTGAGACGGCTTCGCGTAACCATGCCGTTGTATCTCTTTCCGGGTAAAAAAAAGATGATGGTAGGCATAAGTGGGACACAAGCTTTTACCTTTCCGTTTTCATTTTTTTCTGCCAAATGTGTGTGTGCTGATACTACCGCCTATTATTGGGCAGCTGGTCTCGTTTTTGACTTGATCAAGTAACGACCGAGCGGCTCTTGTGCAACGTGTAAAACCTTGTCCTTCATTTTATCATTGATGCTGCACAGGGATCCCACACTATGGTGACATGATGATGAATCGCAACAAGGCGCTAAACGGCAAGAATGACAAATTCGAAGCATGTAGTAGAATGCATTGACGAGACGGATCCAAAAAGTGCCATGTTGATGTGAATGAGCTTAAGGTGTCTCGGTATGTAGTTGCATCATCAAGCGTCCCATCAATGAAACGATCCACAAGAGCACACGTGCTGTTTGAATGAGAGATGAGTTTGTGGGACGAGTGCAAGGATAATGTAAAGTGATTCGTCTAGTACGATAGGCAACACCAAAATACTCACGCTGGGTATGTGTAATTTCTCAAAGAAACACACATGATGATTATAGTGGGAGTGCCATTGATTAATTTTCCATTTGCCTGCAGCTCCTTTTTATCAGTGACTTATGCAAGCCAATTAAAGCCCCACCCCCTTCAACACTATAAATCAGCAGCATCTTTCTTTTTCTTGATACCTCTTTTTTTACCTTCCATCACTCATTACTTTATCATTTTCATCTACCATCCACCATGTCGTATAAGCTAATGACTCGCCAAGATGAAAAGCCCGAAGAAGAACACCAGCTTATGGATTGCCAGAGTGGATCATCGTTTGATTGGACTGAAGAAAAGCCCCAGGAACGGCAACAACGAGCACAATCATCATTCGATGTCGATCTCGAAAATGGTGCACGTATCCCACATCGGCAGGACCTTCAACGTACTCGGCTAAAGGAGCATGTCGAGGAACATTTTGAACGGCCCGAATTGGTGCGTGATTGTATTCTTGGTTTATCAGATGGATTGACGGTGCCATTTGCATTGGCAGCTGGTCTGTCAAGCTTGGGTGATAACAGGATCGTTATTTATGGTGGCCTAGCAGGTATGAGAGAGGGTTGGAGAATAATGGTGATGTTTACATGTGATTCTTACCATCCACGATCTTGGTTTTAATAATATTAGAGCTGGTCTCTGGTGCCATTTCCATGGGTTTGGGTGGTTACCTTGCTGCCAAATCGGATGCTGATCACTTTGTTACCGAACGCCAACGTGAAGGTAAATCAATCATCTTTTCGCCATCTCCCCCCCTCTCCTGATACGAAGATGAGCTATGGTTATTAATCATTTGCCTATTCTACATGATAGAACGAGAGCTTGAATTGTACCCAGAGGAAGAAGAAGAGGAAATCGTTGAGATCTTTGAGCAATATGGTTTGAATCGAGCATCACTTGAGCCCATGTTTGTACATTTTCGACAAGCACCACAAAAATTTGTTGACTTTATGATGAAGTTTGAGCTTAATCTGGAAGAGCCTGACCCAAATCGCAGCTTGGTAAGGATCTCAACCCCTGAATGTCATTGTTGTTGTAGTGCTGACATTTCTTTTACCCGACAATGAAGATCTCTGCTGCTACCATTGGATTGTCATATTTGTTTGGTGGTCTAATCCCGCTCATCCCATACATGCTGGTGACCAACACAACCGATGCCATGCTTTATTCCGTCATTGTCACATTGCTCACACTCTTTGTCTTTGGCTATGTTAAAAGTATCTATCTTCGACCAGCACAAGCTATTTTGGGAGCCGTTCAGACTTTGGCTGTAGGTGCTGTTGCAGCAGGATGCAGCTATGCCATTGTTGCCCTTGTCAATAGCACATCGCCCGAGTCACAACCAGGATCCGATGTTGCGGCACATTGAAGATAGCGTGCACAGGTCTTGGCGACGACGAGGGTGTCACTCAAGGTCCTTCTTTCTCATTTTCATTACTTTTTTTACGATACGTACGATATTCCTCCTTTTCATTCCATTCTCTTTCTTCCTCTTCTTTTACATATACATCTTGCATTACTCTCTTCCTTGAACCCTTTTGAACATGTAAAACAGAAACCACTCCTCCTTGTATATCTTGTGCCTTAGCATAGTTGCTTTGATAAAACCTCATATTCACAGTAAACCATAAAAGGATTCTCCATTTTGCTCGTGTAACATGTCGATCTGTACTTGGACTCTTGGCAGCAGCAAATATTCACGATTAGTTTCATAGCATCCTCTCCGAATCCAAAGACCTTTTTTCTCTTTTGCACACTTAATCTACAGACACGTCTCTCTCTCCTTCCTCTCTCTCTCGTTTTCTTTTGCTTTCATTCATTCATTTCGCATTTATTCTAATACTTGCATTCATTTCCCATCTATCTACCTCCTGAACTAAACACACAACACAAGCACTCACATACACATGGGCCTGAAGAGTCGCCACCTTTGGGTCATATCCATTTTGCTGTTATCATTCTTGACACAAGGCATAATTGGGTTATGTGTTGAACATCGATGCGACCACTCTTTGCATATACGACATGCGATTCGACAATGCCCCGAGCGATCCCACGAACGACGAGCTACAAGCGATGCTGATTCTGCCAATGACGCCAAATTTGTGATCGATCTCGAATGCCATGCCACCAGCAAAGACGAATGCGACCGAGTTCAGGAGACGTTGGCAAAAGCTGGCAAAGTCATTTCGTCTCATATCGAGTTTAAAACGCCGATTACTGTCAATGCGAGCTACCTCGACTTTTGCCGAGATTTGGGTGAATGCGATCTTACCAATGGAGCCATCAATATCGGTATGAAAGGAGTGATTGACAACATACCAATAGCATCCTAACTCATCCCATCCATTTTCATATTCAAAGGGCAAGCGTATCCAGCAGTGTCATACTTGATGCAGAAACAGTCGTCAGCCGATGAAGCTAATATCACTAGCATGTATCCTCAGGCCTTACTAAAACAGTACGATAACCTGCCAAAGCAGCCTAATTGGACCGCCTATGATATGAATGCACAATTCAACAGCCAAATCGATTGGTATTTTGAGGTATTTATGCGCACGCACATACACATCCCTGCATAAATGTAGAATAATTATCTCATGTTGCATGTCTTTTCTTAGGGTCATGGAGAAATTGAATCGGATCAAAGTGACTTTTTGAATACGGTAATTCACGAATTCATCCATGGTCTTGGCTTTGTCAGTGCATGGAGTACAGCAACCTATGAACGGTTTTCAAGATATGACACCGATATGCCAAAGTTTCTCACCCCTGTACCATTGTCACCACCCGATGAGCTCGAGGAAACTAGCAACAATATCGATACTGGTGAAGGTCCACAGCCGTTTTGGGGATTCGTCGACTTTCCACTCGATCAGCTCATGTATACCAACGACAACATCTCTTTTTCAGACGTCAGTCTCATTTTGAATACTTGGGGCAGTAGCAATGTCATGTTTGCGAGTATGATGGATATGGTCAATTCATGGGAAGCATCCGGCAAAGTTCAGGCTATGGCTCGGCAAATGTACAGCTATGCAACATCATCCAACCAAGTGACATGGCTGCTTGACAACGGCGATCAATATACATCTGAAACATCGTTCAAGCCTTTTGTTGATGGTTCTTCCTTATCACATGTGGATCACGACACTTATAACGACTCGAGCGACTATTTGATGATATACAATGCACGTCGAGGTGTCAGCTTGCAGGAGATGTCATCCAAGTATGATAATTATACACTTGGCCCACTTTTATTGCGTGCTCTTGCCAACATTGGATACAATGTCACAGCTTTCAACGATCAAGAAGTGACTATGGTTACTGCTGTTACGCAACCGGCACTCGAGTTTTGGGAACCTGCTATACCCATGGTCGGCACAGCTCATAACCCTTCACCATCCATAAGCACGCACACAGATGGACCAGCTCATATACCCACATCCTCTTCTTCTTCCTCTTCTTCTTCTACTACGTCATCTTCAGATTCCTCTGCTTGCTCCTCACCTTCTTCAGCTGTCACGATTAGCATGTTGCTCCTGGTAGCCGCTTTATTTATCTTTTTCCTGTAGCCATATCACGCACGCCCTTACCCATTCATTCCATCCCATTCACATTGTACCTCCCTCTTTGTATTACCACTTGTACTATTATTCATCATCACATACCATGTCTTTTTTTGCATTTTAATGTTACAATACACGCTCTACAATTGCTATTTATCTATTTACATGCCAAAGTATTGGGTGACTTGATGACTGAGCACTTGGTTGCCGTCCTCGTCAAAATGGAAAGGCTTATAACATTCCTTGCAAAAGAAGCATGGTGATGATCCACTCATAACATCGTTCACCGTCATATACCTAACGTACCCAGTTTTAGAGACCTCTTTCAATGTATTGGTTCATACACACACTTACGCTGCTGGGTAGATATTACACATCCTGCACTTGTATCTCACAAATTGCCAATTGTAGGTGACCATGGGATAAGAGCTGCGTAGGGGTGGATCATGCTTGGAATGGATGCTACATGAAAAAAAGCTGTTAGCCCACAAAGTCAATCAAATTCCCTCCTCTATTATCCACTCACCGTATATCCCGAACCATGATGACATGTTGGCATCCATCCTGATGCAAGAACAAGTATGGCTTGTTAAGCTCGAGCGAAAGGTCTTCAAAGGTGACACCTTGCATATCATGTCGTTGATATTCAGCCAATCCTGGTTGCTCATATCGACCGAAATCCATAACCCATTTTCGTATAGGCTCACTGTAATCAGGCAAATCAGGTCCACCTTCCTCCAATCCAAGTTCAGTGACGGCTCGAGTGTCGACATAAAACACGCCTTCGATAAAGAGACAACTTGCTGAAAGCTTTTTCTTTTGCGTGTTGAGCACAATGCCATCTGGTTGCTTGCCTTTCCGGTCATTGTCACCCACAAAGTCCTTGATACAAAAGATAAAGTCGCGTAAATCGGTCAGCGTCTGGGATCCAAGCATATCAAATTCTCGCACACGATAGCTAGGCATCAATGGATGATATGTGGCAATCGTAAGCACAACCTCTGGATTCCCCTCTGCATCCAATCTCTGAGTATTCAATAAGTCTTTCATCTGGTACTTGGTCTCGTTATTACTTACATCCACCTCTTCTCCACTAGCCGCTCCAGCTTCATCACCCTGAGACTCATTGGTATCCTTAGACTTGTCATACATCTAAATTGCCATGTGAGACAAGCATAATGCATAGAGCAAGATAATTACCTTTTTGTTGAGTTTGGCGTAATTCAAGCGTTCCCGCTGTCTCGGTAACAAATCAATCCCATTTTCGGACCTAAGCAGACATTCATGTCAACATGCCATCACCAGTATCCTGATTTAAACTTACTTGAGTGAATGCAATGGGCTATCCTTGAAATTTTGAATAAAGTCATGGTATTGCTGCATCAATTCTGTTTCAGGGATCTCTGATGTGGATGGTTCATTGTTGTCCTCCTCCTCATGTTGTGATTGTTGCGTCGTTTCATCATCATCGTCCTCGATTTGGGTATCATCATCATGGTTCTCGCGCTGAGTCATTGTGCTTTCAGGATGTAGTAAGCGTTCCATCAAATCGTTCTCTTGGGTATCATGGGTGGTTTTAGGTCGTTTGGATGATGATGATGGTGATCCGGGTATAGTTGACAATGAAGATAGCAAGTTGGATTGATTCTCTTGAGCAAGGTATCTTCTTCGCTTTGGCACCAACGGATTGAGAAACAAGCTGTTGTCATTGTTGTTGTGTTGCTGCTGTATCAAACCCTCATCGTAATCATGTAGCGTGCGATAAGGTAAGACATCCTTCGCCTGTGGACGACGACCGATCCACTGGTCGTCAAACGAACGTATACGCGACTGATTCATGCTCCTCGAACCTTGTGTTGTCTTTTGATGATATTGCTTGACCATTGCAAAGAGAGTCGGATCAGTGAAGAATGAACAAGTGCTATTCAGATCGCTCGAATCGGGGGACCTACATTGGAAAAAGTGAGTTTCAAGGCGATGTACTTCCTTTATCCAATGATACTAACGGTAGGCGACCAACTCTGGATTCCAACTTGCTGACATCGACCGTGGATTCTTGCTTCTTTTGGCGCGATCGTAGCTCGACAAGCTCATTACGAAAAGAACGGACTTGGATCTTTGACATTTGAAAGAGGAGCAGGAAGAAGACTTCACCAGTTTCTCTCCGATTCAGCTTCCAGATACATAAATGTTGTCAGCCAACCTCTATGAGCTGTTCCAATAAAGATCCATCATGCCTCATGTTGATTATGGATTTCATTGCTTTCAGAAGTATTCATCGATCCATGTTTAGTGCCCTGAAAAGCATGATCGAAGTTAAAGTTGGGGAATCCGAAGTTTGAGGATCATTCGAAACACACTAAAATCTGTTTATTATTTGCTGGCATGTTTGTAATCCACCATCATTTACATACCATGAAACGCAACGCCTTTGTGTCACGCTATGATCGTTTAACAAAAAGGGCACCACGTTAAACTTGAGATTTTCCTCCACTTGCTTTCCAATCCCATTGTTGTAATATGCCGCGTAGTAAAAGCGATACAGAAGATGTTTGCTCGACCACTGTTGAGACCAATGTAGACAAAGAAGCGTCCACAATGAAGGATGTAATAGCGGTGAGACGACGTTTAAAACGAAAACTTGATATAAGATTCGTTGTATGGGCTTTTCTGGGCTATTTTGCCACGTACCTCGATCGAAGCAACTTGCGTAAGAAGCATGACAAGCATTAAGAAGGAATGAGATGCTGATAATGTGAACAAGCGAATGCATACGTTAGTGGCATGAAAGAGGATTTGCTTCTTGAATCCTCTGCTTACAACTGGGCTGATACCGTCATGCGCCTCGGGTACAATTTGTAAGTATAAAGCATAACAATACCATCGACCTTGATCATTCAATATCCATAAACAACAGGTTTCAGGTCCCTGGAAGTCTGCTATTACCCAAGGTGCATCCACGATGGTTTCTTCCCACACTCCCTCTCTTATCTGGCGTCGTCCAATGTTGCATGTCTCTTGTCAAGAACCATCAGGGCTTATTAGCTTTGAGATTTTGCCTTGGTCTATGTCAATCGGTAAGCACTTTTGGAGAAAAAAGCGATCCCATGTTGATACCTATTATGGCAGGTCCTTCAACCAGGGATTGTATTCCTCTTGGGGAATTGGTATATCGACCAAGAAGTGACAAAACGCGTTGGTATCTATAAAGCATCTATGGGTGTCTCAGGTACCAGTTGAGATTATACAAATGAAACCATGGCATTAATGGCTGATTTGGCTACATAGGAGCGGTTGGGGGTCTTATTGCTGGCTCCATTGTGGAAACCATTGCCGACAAAGCAGGGCTTCGTGCATGGCAATGGCTCTTTGTCGTTGAAGGATTGATTGCTATCTTTGTCGGCATCATTGGGTATTTCATGGTACCCAATTATCCACATCAAAAGACATCATGGATCACTGAGCAAGAACGCACGATCACTATGGAAAGGCATGCGTCACAAGAAAGAGAGATATCAGTGGCGCCTTATAGTTGGAGAATGTATGTATTGTTTGGGTTGTTGATGATATCCATTGTACTCATTGTGATGTATTTCAACGTACGCATGTGCAACCACTAATATGACTTGTAGTTTCAAGCAAATCCTATTCAAGCCATATACCTGGTTGATGACATACATCGTAATGACGGCATTCTTCGTGAATAGTATGGCCAACTTCTTTGTAGTCATATTGAAGGATATGGGCTATGACAGCGCTTTTGCCAATTACATGTCCACCCCGCTAAATCTCTTCAGCGCCCTGGCATCGCTTGTGATTGGATATTCATCCGACTGGTTTAATGATCATGCCATTCATACTGGTGCTGTCACAGCATGGGGAACCATCTGGAGTATTATCGTTGCTGTAGTCAATCATGGGAATACACCTGCAGCACTCGTCTTTGTGTCAGCTTACGCATTAGTCATCGTGGATACGTTGGTAACCCTTGCCTTCGTATGGGTGATGGACATTTACAAGGGTGATGTAAATTCACGTGCCTTGGCACTAGGTATTGTGAATGGTCTCGGGCTTCTCATTCCAAGCTTCGCAAAGGTCAAGCTTTGGGTTGTCACAGATTCGCCAGTATTCTGTAAGTAATCAATTACACGTGATATTCTATTGCAGCATGCTAAAGTATTCACCAATAGGGCTGGGAAAAATAGCAAACGTGGGCATTGGATGCGGGGCGGTGGTCGCTGTTTTGCTATCATGGTTTCTCATCCGTATCAAATTCATGCTGCCAAGCCATATCAAGCCAGCTGATCAACGTGATGACGATGAAAAGCATCAAGATGGTGATTGATAGACCATGCATATTGAATGCCAACGTGATGTTATTACGCCGTCGTGTTTATTAATCTCACTGGGACCGTGACCTCTTTCTTATTATTACGGCTGCTCCCTTCCTTTCCTACTTCCATCAGTTTAAAGTAAATACATCAACAGCGCTTATACAGTATTAGTGCAACCATTGTTGAAGTCTACCATTCTTTGATACGCCTTCAAGTTTTATGTCAAAGCTTTTGACTGTGGCTAGAAATAAAGGTAGTTTGGTTATGGGTCTCGTAAGAAGTATATGCTTTTGGTGATACAATAGAGTAGGTTGACCTTTAGGAAGAAGTGATCATCCATTGAGTTTCAAGACGTGAGTTACCAATCCAATGTATGCGATACTGTGGTAAAAGAGGGGCATTAGGGATGTCTGTGCGCATCCGCTTTAATTGCTGTTGCATTATGCAGCTCGACCCGGCATATCCAAATGTGACATTTACACTATTATTTCTCATACACGTACCATCATTGATACGTGTTCATTATTATTGAACGGATGTTTACTTATGTACCTTCACAAAAGGCAATCATCATCATCATCCATTTGTGTAGCAACCTGTCAAGGACGTGTCTGTGTAACCACCACATGCGGTTTCACTCAGCTCTTCATCTTTCCGTTAATGCAGCCGACACCATCCACTAGGAAAAAGCAACTCCATCACACTTACAGCATAGGTAAAACATAAAGACGCCTGTATCCCCAAACTTTACAATGAAACGTGGGGTTTTTATTAGAGCAATATACTCGGCTTGGCCAACAGCACCTTGTGTGAAAGTTTCGCGTTCAATGTCGCAAACCACCCAAAAAATATTTTTTGGTCGTCATCGTCGAAGAGGTCCACCCCCAGATCCAGGTTGGCTGGTAGCGACATTGCGAAATCTGGGAATGGCCACGATGAACTTCATACTTTGACACAAGAGCGCTTTGACCTCGTCGAGCAACTCTGTTCTATTAAAGACCCCACGTTTAATTGTAAAGTTTAGAGATACAGGCATGTTTATGTTTGTAAGTGTGATGCTATATGAGAAGTGATCTTTGTTTAATGTAAAGTAGTATGGCTATAATAGAGCAAAAGATGCAGAAGGACCTCTTTGGGTAACTCAGCTAAAAAGTCAGGACTTCAGGGACAATGCATGAAAGGTACGCAACCCTCACTTTTATGTCATACATTGGCAGCTAATAGCCACTTTTGTGCATTCCCAACTTTTCTGCATTCTATTGTAGGTGGACGATGCTCCTGCTCTAGACATTCATTTCCATGATTAAAGTAGCTTGATCCGAGCTGATTTGGTTGAGTTACGCTCACACAAGATTACATCGGTTGAGCTACATCGAGCGTGCTTTATGTCCAGAGTGATGTAACCTCTCTTTGACCGCAGCTCAGTAAAATCAGCTCGGATCAACCTACTTTAATCATGGAAATAAATGTCTGGAGCAGGGGCATCGTTCCCATGCAGTGGATCTCGCAACAATGATGATTGGATAAAAGTGGCCGTTAGCTAGCAACACATGCCTGTTCCTAGATGATCCATAAAGTAATTATACATTGACCCTTTCATTCATGCAAACGTAGCTGTGTTACACAACACCACCCTCTGCATCTTTTGCTCTGTCAGGGTCTAGCTACTTTACATTAATACAAAGACCACTTCTTACATAGCATCATGCTTATAAACATAAAGGTGCCTGTATCTCCAAACTTTACAATGAAACGTGGGGTTTTTATTAGAGCAATGGGCTCGGCTTGGCCAACAGCACCTTGTATGAAAGTTTCACGTTCAATGTCGCAAACAGCCCAAAAAATATCTTTTTGGTCGTCGTCGTCGAAGAGGTCCACCTCGATCCAATTTGGCTGGTGGCGACATTTGCGAAACATTGGGATTGACGAGCTTGATTGTGAAACTTGCACCCAAGGTGCTGTTGGCCAAGCCGAGCAGGTTTGTTCTCATAAAGAACCCACGTTTGATTGTAAAGTTTAAAGATACAAGCACCTTCATGTTTTACATATGCCGTAAGCGTGATGCTTTATGAAAGGTGCTCTTTGTTCATTGTCAAGCAGCTACCTCAATAGCGCCAAAGATGCAGAAAGCATTGTTTGTGTAACAAGCCAAAGGGACTTTTTTCCTTCCCCTGAGTAAGGTCCGTTTATGGTGGTCCGGATGGAGTTTCTTTCACGTTAATCATAATGGCTACTAATCCGAAACGACCAGTGCATGCGATAATATCTTGTGTGTAAAGGACAAGAGTGACACGATGACGCATATTATGAGTGTGTCTCCTTCAATCAATGATGAGTGTATGGTGATCTCATATAAGGCTGGGTGTAAGATAACGCTGACGGCGGTATCCTATGCTGATAATTGTTATAGATAATAAGCATGGTATGCTTATGTATCTGTGTGTCATCGTGCAAGGAAGAGTTCACTCTATCTTGAACATAATGAATAATGAAGCTTACAATGAATCACACTGAATGCTGGTTTCGTTATCTTTGTAAATACAAGCGGTTATTAAGCACGATGCAATCCGCTGAGAGTTGTCTCTTCTACCGTATGTATAGCATGCGAACGAGGAAGCTTTAACCAATGTAATGTGACAAAGGAGACAATAGCACCTCGAGGTGATGATGTGAATGATTCAACCTCGTGTTCTATCCTTCAAACTTCTATCCCTCCTTTGGATCTTGCTTCACCTAGTCATCAATGATCCAGCAGCCAACCACGTGATCCACATTTTGCATATGAGATGATAAGGCGATGCTCTGTTGAAGTTGCATCCCATGTTCATTGAACAAGTCGAAGTATACAACATAGCCATATAGACCAGCTGTGGATGAGTCACGTATTAGAACCAAGGAGTACCTTTATTATATCCATTCGTATAGCATAAAAAGGAACAATAGGCGCAATGAGATATGCACATACACTCGAAGCAGCTATGCATGTTTGATAATAAGGTAGTCCATTAACAACATCATCTCCTCATTCAATGAAGTCGTCAAAAATGGGGTGGGGTACAGCATGGAGGTAAATTCACGCGCAGTCGCGAGGTTGTCTCTCTTCCTTTTCTTTTTACTCACTCGTGCTGCTATGAACGATGACCTTGAAGGCATTGACGATGACTTTGATTTCGACGACGACTTATTGGCAGCAGCTGTAGAACAAGCCGAGAAGCAGGCAGCCAAACAGAACGAGAAGCAGCAGGAACAGCCGATCGTGATTGACAATGACGACGACGATGACGACGAATTTGACGATCTCGACACAGACTGCCTCATACTTGCCACTGAAACAGCCGAGAAGCAACGCAATATTGTTCAACGTCCTGGGATGCAGCAGCCTTTGACTAGTTTCTTTTCATCGACAAGCCAACGACAACAACAACAAAGTAGCATCAGCAATCGATCACAGCCATCATCATCATCCATATCCACCAGCTCAATCCTGTTAGGAAGCAATGACTTTGATAACCCTCCCACACCACCACCGCCTCCTCCAGCAGATACACCATGTGCTCATGTATTTGATGCCAATGAATTGCCTACATGGATCTATCCAATCAACTATCCTTTGCGTTTATATCAATTCAACATTGTCAAAAAGGCGCTATTTCACAACACGTTGGTGGCACTTCCAACAGGCTTAGGCAAAACGTTTATCGCGGCAGTGGTTATGTTCAATTATTGGCGATGGTTTCCACAATCCAAGATCATTTTTATGGCACCTACAAAGCCATTGGTGACGCAACAGATCGAGGCATGCTTCAAAGTGTGTGGTATTCCGCAGTCAGAGCTTATTGAGATCACGGGACAAAGCAATCGTGGCAAGCGCAAGGAAATGTGGCGTTCACATCGCGTCTTTTTCATGACACCTCAAACGCTCAAGAATGATCTCGAATCACGCATATGCCCTGCACATCAGATTGCATGTATTGTAGTGGATGAAGCACACAAAGCTACTGGTGCATACGCTTATGGTGAAGTTGTCAAGTTGATTTCACGTGAACAAGATCAATATCGGGTCCTTGCATTGACAGCTACACCAGGCACCAATTTGATGAATGTTCAAACAGTCGTCTCGCAATTACATATCACCAATATCCAGATCCGCACCGAAGAGTCGATGGATATTCAAGAATACTCCTATGGCAAACGTATCCAGCACATCACTGTACGACTCAGCTACATGGAAGGTGCAATGGGCGTAGTGCCAGAGATCATGAGCCAATTTCGCGACAAGTTTTTTCAACCTGTTCTTAATCGATTGAATCGCTTTCAAGCTGTCTTCACCACTGATCCAGAACGCAACACGCCATTTGGATTGCTACAGGCACAGAAGCATTTTTCGGCCAATGCACGCAACATGAACTATGCTGTCAAGTCGATGGTTGCTACCGATTTTAGCATTGCTCAAGCTCTTTCACGTGCATACGACTATCTTGTACACCATGGCATTGCACCCTTTGTGGAACATCTTGAAAGCTTTCTCAAGGATCTTCAGGATATTGTCGACTCTGGAAAGAATCTACCCAAGGAGAAGTACAAGCTCTTGCGTGATTATCAGTTCAAGAACATGATTGAGGATCTTAAGCAGCGCCAAATGCAACCTGGGTTCATGGGTCATCCCAAAATGGAACGTCTCTTATCCACCGTGTTGGATCATCTCAGTAACAACAATGAGCAAGATACCCGTATTATTGTCTTTTCGTCGTTTCGATCTTCAGTCAATGAAATTATTCGCGTCCTTGATCAGCACAAGCCGATGGTGAATTGCTCATTGTTTGTTGGTCAAGCTGGTGGCAGAGATGGAAGAAAAGGTCTTAATCAAAGAGAACAAAAAGAGGTAACAAGCACACGATTGATTTCTCCTTCTCGATTTATTAACGTGTATATATGCATAGATTGTCGAGCGATTCAAGCGTGGAGAACTCAATGTATTGGTGGCTACTGCTATTGGAGAAGAAGGATTGGATATTGGCGAAGTGGATTTGATCATTTGCTATGACTCTCAAAGTTCACCTATTCGTATGGTAATACTTTAACTAGATGCTCTGTGTAATACGTTTCCCTAATCAAATTATATAATAGCTTCAACGCATGGGACGTACAGGAAGAAAGCGCCAAGGACGATGTGTGATGATTATGACTGAGCAAGAAGAACGCAAGTATAGCCAGGCCAAAGCTGCATATAACCAAGTACAACGAGCCATTGCCAGAGGTGGAGATATCGAGTATCACGCATCCAATCCATCTGTTTTGCCCGAGAAGTATCGTCCAGTGTGGTTTCAAAAACGGCTTGACATTGGAACATTTTTCAAGCCCACGGGTCGCAAATCAAGGAAGACAAAAGTTGTCGAGTCGAATGGGACATTGAATGATGCGACACGACAAGAGTTTCTACACAGCCTTGGTTCAGCTACTTTGGAGGAAGCTTTCGAGAAACATTGGCCGCCCAAAGAAAGGTCACCAATTGAAAGAGCAAAGCGATACTTGCCTGCCAATGCTCAGCCTACCAGCCATCATCGTGTCGGTCATAGTCAACGTACAATGCAATTCGTATCTATCATCAAGAGTATGGAACGACGCTTGTTACGTGAATTGATGAATGCTGATGAATCCAGTCAACCCGGTAGCAGTCAACCGCAATTCAACAACGACGAATTAATCATGCCAACACGGCCATCGCGTACAACTGACGAGCTCATTTTACCCACTCCTATTCGCCCTCGGCAACCGGGTCCAAAGCAATCCACTCTTTCGACATTCTTGAACAAAGGCAAGGCACCAGTGAACAACAATCATCGACAGCCACCTCAAGCAGAAGCAACACGTGGTGATGACAATAACATTGCAATGTTGGATGATATCGTTGGTCAGCGTGTAGAAAATAATGATGACATTCAAACAGCGAAGCGTAAGGCAACCACACCTCCCACTGTACCTGAGAAAAGACCTCGCATTGGATCTCCTTCACGTGATGAGGATATTGAGATTGATTTGGATCTTGGAAGCGATGATGATGTTGTTGATGCACCACCACCACCACCACCACAACAACAACAACAACAACAACAACAACAACAACAACAACAACAACAACAACAACAACAACAACAACAACAACAACAACAACAACAACAACAACAACAACAACAACAACAACAACAACAACAACAACAACCAACAGCGCCTGTTACTACTACTACTGTAGCAACATCCAATACCGATTATGATCAACTTGTTGCCGAGTTTGATTTCGATTATTGCACGCAAGATCTCCAAGATGATAAGCAGCAAGATGAGAGCTTCGAGCGTATTCTTCCACCTGAACTCAGTAAAACGGCCCCTTTGATGGATGAATCACCTGTGAGAACATCCTCCAATCCACAAACGCCTATTATGAAGGATGATGTCAATATTCCACCTGCTATGCTCAAATGGCTCACCACTCGACCACCTCCTTTCAGCGAGACGGCAGCTGTGTTGGTTCGGGAAAGAATGAATGTGATCAAGATCAAAGCGTGGCTTACCGAGGAGACGACAACGGCACCTCCTCCAACCAAGGCTCGATCTTCAACACCTTCTTTTGGCGACGATGACGATTTTGAAATCGACTTTGAGATGTTAGAAGCATTGGAGAACAAGATACCCATTCAAGATACACCGTTTGATGCTTCCTTTTATCAAATGCTGGAAAATAAGGTTGGAGAGGATTATGAAGGTGCCCCATCATCTTTTCATGGTCCTGCTGACGAAGATGATTTACCATCGCCCCATACAGGATTGCAGAGACCCGTCCACCACAACCCAATAGCTTCATCTTCACGACCATCACCATCGTCATCCAAAGACAAAAGACCATCACAACCATTATCATCATCTGTACAACCACCACCATTACAACCTTCATCTCCACAGCAACAACAACAACAACCGCCAATAGAATCACCACAGCAACGAGAAAAAGTGCCATCATCACCTGATCGATTCATTCAAACCACACCAATACGTGATGACCTATCTGACAAGACCTTATCACCTTCACCTTTGCGAAGAGCCATGTTGAATGATCAAGGGAATCACACCACTCGTGTTGAATTTATGCCACCATCACCTCTTTCACGACGACGACGTCCACCGCCACCGCCACCGCCACCTTCTGCTATCATTGATATCCGGTCACCTGATAACAACAAAGCATCATCCCCATTACGCAAATCCATCACTGTGAACGAAGCCAGATCAATAGTATCATCATCATCGCCAACACATGCACACATTATCATATCACCAGAGCGATCAAGGTTCTCTTCACCATCCCCTGTGTTTGCACGTCGCCGTCGAAATGCAAAAATACGTATTGCTTCGGATGATGATGAAGCCGACAATGATGAGAAATCCATACCCGTACCTGAGGATATGAATAGCAACGATTCAGATGATGATGGACAACGACAACGACACAAACGTAATCGACATCATAACCCATTTCTGGACTTGGAAGCTGAGCTCAGCAGCGATGAAGAAAACAACACAAAGGGACGACAACGACGAGCTGCCAGCGATGATGGTGATGAAGAAGAAAGTGGTAGTAATACAACCGATTTATCGCGTATGGATTCTTCGTTTATTGACGACGATGAAGAGGGTGGTGAAGCAGCATCAGCTGAGGATGTACAAAACATTTATCGGATCAGCTTAATGAGCCAGCAACCACCACGTGATGGGGAGAAGGCAGTGTTTAGTGCAAGGCGCAAGACTTGGCTCGACAAGTTTCATGCTGAGAAATGGCTCCAACCCCAGATGGAAGATGACGACGAGGATGATATTGTCAACATGAGCAGGCTCACCGAAGAAGCTGAAAATGAAAAATTAGCTTTAGAAGTATTGAGTAGTAATGACGATGATGATGACTTTATGTAAAAATTGCATTTTGTTTATTGTATGATAAACCGCTTCTGTAAATACAACAACTTAATCCTTCTTGGCGACTGATGCCTTTTCATCCAAAACTTGTTGACGCGACTTGCTGTTAGGATCAAAGTAGGGTCTTTCAGCCTATGTCCCAATAAAAAAAGATGAGTTAAACAGATTAGGGAGGACCACTAAGAAAAAAGCTTACAGTGGGGGTGACTCGGAAGCCATGTCGTATGCCATTGCCAAAGTAGTCGTTGATGGCAGTATGATACGTGGCACGGTTATCCCATACAGCAATCGAATCCTCTTGCCATCTGAACCTCACTTGGAAATCATGGCCACTCTCGATATGATTGAAAAGGAACTCGAGCACGGCGTCGGATTCGCGTTTTGTAAAACCCACAATACGACGTGTGAAGCCACGTTGCACATACAAGCTCTTCCATCCTGTAAGTGGGTGTGTACGCACAATAGGGTGGACATTGTCAGGTGCTTCACGACGTAAAGGATAGCCTGTGATACGTGCCGTTTCACGATGAACATCGCCCGAGTGCACAGCTTCCAATCCTTCGACAAATTTTTGCCATGCAGGTGAAAGTCGATCATAGGCTGTATAGGCAGATGCCCAAAGCGTATCACCACCAACTTTTGGTAGTGTATCAATCTTTAAAAAGGTAAGACCTGCAGGCTGCAATTCGTAGCTGATATCATTATGCCAACCTACAACAATGATGCCAATACTATTAGCAAATGGGCTGCTTCTAATACCATCATTTCAACTTTACCATCACCCGCACTTCTCAATGCATATCGCTCACGGACTTTGGGGCTAATAGGCTATTGTTAGATGACTTGACAACAACAACCTTTGTTGAGCACCCTGCCACTTACTTTTCATGGTCAACCTGGATGGTAAGAATTTCAGGAGCATTGGGTGGATGAGGGCCTACGTTATGCACATGGCTACATACAACATTTGGTGTGAGTATAGATGTTCGTTTGGTATGCATGAGGAACACTTACAGAGGTCCAAAATGACGACCAAATTCCAATGCCTGCTTGGCAGTAAGATCCTGGCTACGGAAAAAGACAACACCACGCTCAGCGACCAGCAATGCTAGATCATTCTTTTGTTGCTCGGATAGCTGCGATAGCTGGATGCCATGGATCTCGGTACCAATGTTAGGAGTGACATCAATGACCTTGGTGGCAGCATTCAAAAGTGCAGCTTTGGTAGGATCAGCCAAATGGCCTGGGTCCTTGTGCTCAAAAGGCTCAAGAGGTGGATACTATTATTGTTGTTGACCATCGTGAATTAATATTCATGCATGTGTATGTACGAGAAGAGATACTTACATAAACATCGGGATGCACACCATAGAATCCTCGCTCACGAACAAGCTTCTTGAGATCCAGCTCTTCAAGCGTGATACGGCTCAATTCATCATCCACTTTGGTATCTTCGGTGTTTGGAGGCATGATAGTAGTAGTAGTAGTAGTAGTCGTTGAAGTTGTTGTTGATAATGCCGTTGTCGTCTCTCATACCACACGTATATATAGGTTTCAATCGCACATCGCGCAATTTCTTATAGAGATGCGTGCTCTTTGCTGTAGTGTGATAACATTGTAGATTTTCCCATTCACAAAACATTTGCAAATCACATAATGTAAAATAAACCGCATGGATGATGCAATACGCATGGTAAATTTATACACCATTATCATTGAGAGATAGATATTGTACGATGGGACCGCTGCATGATCCATATTACCACCTAACTTGGATGATGTGATCGGTACGAGATCTGGTGTGGATTGTGCTACCTTGATGCCTATGTCCGCACCTCACCATTGATTCATGCATTATCGAATCCGGGTGATCAACAATGTTGTGTTCCCTGTATGAATCTCAAAACACAATGAGTACACAGTATTTGGTGGTGAGGGGTTACCCGTTGTAGGTTGGGGTATGGATTCAAGCGTATACGACAATGGGCTTCAACTCTTTACAAGAATCAAATACTACAATGACGACCACCACGACAATGATTTTAGAATGACAATGAAGCGCTGCAAATAAACATAAAGACTATCTCTCATTCACACGGCTGCAAAGAACATCGTGATACATGCATCATTACTTGGATTTTGAAGTCGTAGAGAAGTGATCCGAAAAAGGTGTGGGGCATGATGGATGACAATCCTCTTTTAATTGTGCATCATGAACGTGTGGATTCACTTCCCTTACAAAGAGGAAATAGTGGGGATGGTGGGAGTAGTGCATGAATTGGTAATTTAATAATGGCATAATCTAATCCTCACAGGAGCGAAATGGAAATGAGCCATCACAAAACAATGAAATCGTGGAACGGGGATCCATATCACATCACAGGAGCAACAACAAGACCATCTTGCAACATGCTAACTTGAACACGATAACAATAACGCGTGAAGATGTGCCTTCCAAGGATGTGAAATAACAGCAAGAGGAGCTCATGTGATGCTTTATTTGTATACAAGAGTGGGTGGGATATGGGAGGGAGGGGTTGTTCCTGATGGGCATTGGATGGATGATACTGATCTCTCTAATGAAGCAATAATAGAACCACCGTTACCATCCAGCATCGTTATCCTTGATACTATTGTCTCCCCACGCAGGTGGTGCTTCTGGTGGTGCGCCCCAGCTGTTTGGATCGTTGCTTTCATCGACAATGTTGTGCAATCGAAACTCATCAGCAAGCCGATCTTCTTCCGATGCTGGCATCTCCACTGGATCCGTTACGGGCCTTGCCTTGTTCCAATCACTGAACGTTTGCCATTGGGGTTCACCTGGGTGTTGAGGAGGCGGTGATAAAGTAGTGGAAGAAGACATTTCACATGCATGCTTCAATTGTCACAGGTCCTTAGCTTTTATGCATTCAATAAATAGGATGGCTTTTTTTTCTCCCATACCAAATACACTCGAAACCACTATCAGCTCTCGGATTTCATTAAGCTATAGAGTCCCCCGCTTATTACACTCACCCCATACATCACTTTATTGAGATACCAGTAGTTGATTGTTATAAAGTTCATGGCGACTGCCTTTTTGTAAATGGGTTATGATTGTTTGGAAACTGTTAGCTACCCTATTACACGTGCCTTAAACAAGATACATGCATGTATCCATAATACGAAAGCAAATCACTTTGTTTTCATCATAAAGTAGACAGCAAGGAACAGCAGCACCTGGCACAATATGCAAAAGATAACCCCCCACTGGGATTGAACAAGGTACATCTCCCCATGTCTCCGCTCAAACATTGCTCAATTGATGTTCCCCTTCAAATTACCACATATTCACCTCCCATAAAAATCCTACGTTTGCATCATTCAATACTACACCTTCTCCGCTACATCATGATGCTTTTTTCATGTCGCTACGACGACTTTTTTGACATCCCGAAAAGGAAATTTTCACGTTAATCATGCGCGTGAAGGGTTGTGGTATTAAGAAGAGATTTAGGGGATATGGTGTAGTGGTATCACGTTTGCTTTGCATGCAAAAGGCCCGGGGTTCAAATCCCCGTGTCTCCAACTCTCTTTTTTCGAGTTTTTTCTTGGGTCACGTGACATTTTTCGTTCATTACAGTATTCAATGGAATCAATGTGCTATATCCATATTAGCATGCATATCTCAAACGAACGAGGCTATCACTTTATCAGGATGAATTTTGGATAGTGTTCATTAATCATACCAATCATAAAAACGATGCAAGATGCTTAAAGTGAAGAATCACTAAGAACGTACATGACAATCCTCAATGGTTATCATATAACCGTGATCGACTTGATATTATTTGCCCATGCATTGCTTATAACGGGTTCCCTTACGGATGACATTTCCTTGTTCCAAGTGATTAAGCATAGGTCTTCAAGTATACCTTTCTTGTAATCAACAACAATTGAGATTATAGACTTTAAAGGGAGAAAGCATCTAGTTTATTATACAGCAGGTACAAGAGCCATATCCTGAGCTGCTTTTTTGCGCATCTCTATGATAGTGATCATGGTAGCCGATTCTTTTGCGAAAATGTTGATGCTATCGTAAGGGGGTAACGGGTCATAGGAAGGTTTCCATTCTGAAAAGTATTTGGTGATGCTTTCAATCACGTTCAAGTCCTCATTCGGGCTCCAGTCAATTTCGGCCACATCACGTAAGTCTTCCAAGGCATAGGCAATATCCTCCATGAGCTTCTTGGCTATGGTACAATTGTGCATGTCGGGTATGCGAACAACGAGGTTGTAGATGAATTGCAATGATGCGTATGCTTTCCACTTATGTACAGTCGAGACGCCAGGGCAACGGCATAAATACTACCACACGCAGGTTAGCCATCATTACCATAATGCCTCTAAGGGAATCAAGCCTACCTTGTGTACTGACACTGAGTTGCAAAGATGATTGAAAAAGAGACGAAATTGACAATCATAGGTGTCCCACACCCATTTTTCAAAGACAAACGTCATGAGATCGGCAGCTTGACGGCACATGGATACTGCAAGGTTGTCAGGGAATCGTTTGCCGGATACATTTGTTGGATCAGGGACGGCTGGTAAGAAACGATCAAAGAGCACCAGCCAATTCAATGCATACTCGAGCAACAGGATAAACAGGCATCGTCTCTGCCATTGGGTACATGTATCGGTGCTATTGATCATTTCGACATTGTACTTGTCATCCACACGTTCATAAAAGCGTCTTAGTTGTCGTACTTGTTGGATCACCATATTAAGCAACTTGTGCTCATCCTTTTCATCCATCATGCTTTGAATGTTTTGCTCAATCTTCATACGTAGCCATCGTACATCAATAAGGTATTGTAAACATTCGGTGTATCCCCTATCTTCATCCGTCATTCCACTCCATGTCATGGGCCGTTCAATCTCAATGCTGTCGAGCTGGATGGTTGTACGTCGTTCAAGTAAGAGTGGTATTTGTGTATCAAGGAGCCACAAGGCCCAAAAGATACGTCTGCGTATTTCAGCTTCAATGGAGGTTGGATCGAAAGCAGTGGTTGGTTTGTGCAGCTCTAGTGATAATGCTTTTGTGATGGTGGATCCAATGTTGATATAAGCTTGATTGAATTGTGATTCGTCAAAAAGTCGTGCTGTCTTTATCAAATTCCAGTACACATTCGAAAGCGTGCAGTCGCTGAATCTCGTGAGTTGTGGCAAGGAAACGGTGGATTGTATGGTTGAAAAAGAATCAGGGATAAAAGGACTCTGAGGATTGTGTATGCAGCAATAAAGTGATGCATCGCTATGAATAGTGGCACCGAGAGCTAAGAGTTCTGGATCATTGGATGCACTCAATAAGAGTGATGGCGATATGATAAAAGTCAACATGCATGGACAAGTGGATATTGTGGGTTGAAGATCATAAGGTTGCATGTATTGCTGTAAAGAGGTACGCACCGGCAAATGAACGACATCACTCTCAGGGTTGCTGCAGCTACTAGTGATAGGTGATGGTTTCTGTTGTTGCATGGAAACGGGAGTGCTGCTGTTGTTGATATTGCTCGTTCCATAAACGTTGCCCAATGCTTCAGGTACAATTGTTGCCAGTTGTCCAATAGTGCTGATGTTTGTAGAAATGCATTTGCGTCCTCCTGATGTGAGCGTCACTTGCCATCCATAATCCAATGCCAATCTTGCTACATCATCGTGGGTCGGCTACAAATCACGTGTTAATATATGAAAGGATGTAGATCATCCATCTCTTGTCACCTACCTCACTTTGTGCCTCGGCCAGCAATCCTTCAACACGTTTGGATATATCATCGATTTCAGTGTACATGTCGTCGCGTTTTTGACGGTCTGAAATATGGTCGTAACGCATGCCGCTATGTGAATAGCTGCATTCTGCATTGGACTTTACGCAATTGCCGCATTTCGGTCGTTGTTCATCGCATTTGACATGACGGCGTCGGCATCTGGACAAGAGGAGTAATAGTAGGAGGAGGAAGAAGAAGAGGTATACAATTCAGCATGGGCGAAGGAAAAGAAAAGAGTCGTTTCAAGGACACTGACTCGTTGCATTTTTTGGATTCACGGCTGGAACGAACGATAGTTGTGGGTTCAATATCATTGTCTGGTTGACGAGGACGTTTTGGAGGCATTATTCAGGAGTAGTATAGCAGTAAGAGAGTAAGCTTCCACTACTGCAACAAAGCGGGATTAAGATTAATCTTTTTTACATGCAAGCTCATCTTGTTAGGTGATACAAGCTCTCCTTCCCTTTTTTCCTCTGCTCTTTTGGACACACACCCCACCTCTTTTTCCACTCGCTCATCATGTCCACCAGGTCACCTCCCCATAAACGTCGTCGTCAAGTTGAAACTTGTATAAAGTAATGGGGGTGGGAAAAGAGAGATCGTCTTCCATTGGGGATCGTCCATTCATGTTGACACACCTTTTTTTCTATATAGTTGTCGGTCGTCTCGAAAGCAATGTGACAAAGGACATCCTTGTCGTAACTGTTTGGAGAACAATCGACGTTGCTTGTATGCCAAGGAGTTTCCATATAGCGACATGAGCCGAGACGAGCAAGCTGCTATTCTTGAGCGACTCTTGTATGAGACGAGGGGCAAGTTTGAAGTACTCAAGAACTACGTGGAGCAGAATGCGGTGCAAGATTGGCAATCCCAAGTGGTGTTAGCGAACACCAAGCGCAACCTTGTGCGTAATATCCGTCTTGAAGCTGATATGCATCATCACATGCGCCGCTATACTGCGAGTTGGCTTATCAATGTATCTGTGCCAGGACAACCTGAATGGCGTGTGCAAGATAAGGTGTTCAAAGGCATCTTTGGTCGTAATGGGCGCATCCTCAACCTGATGGGTATTTTGCCTCAAGAGACGATTCCCCCTGTGCCCAAGATGCTTGCTGATACCGAGTACTTGTCGATTGATCTTGTGCGAGCGATGGTGTCTACCGAAGAAGTGGAGATGATGATTGCTCTCTACAATGATTGTTACTCCTTCTCAGCACTCCCAGATTTCATTTCTCCTCACTTTGACCAGAATGGCGAATATGACTTGCTGCTGAGCTCTGTGTTATGTCTCATGTTTACGCACTGTGTGAATCTCCATGCCATGAAAGTCGACAACCACGAGATCATATCGCACGCCTTTTATTACCACACCAAACAATTACGGGATGCACGAGTCGCCAATGGCATCGATATCATGTCCTTACATGCTACATTCAACATCATGTTGTACGAAGCAGAGAACGGCTATTTGCAGCAATGTGCCATGTCCCGGCAACAGATGGCGATCATGATCGACATGCTCCATGCCCACTATGGAAATATGTCGGTATGGCAACAAAATTTACTACGACACTTGTTCTGGGCTATTTTCACAGCCGACGCTGGTTCGCACAACATGCAAATGCAAGAACACGTGTTATGCGCACCTTATATGCACGTCCACAAGCAACGTCCTTCCGAGCAGTGCTTGCAAATGGTGGAGAAGCTCAAGGAGGAATACATTTACTTTCGTTGTCGTCTTGCTGAGAACATTCGTCTTATTTGGAAAGGATGCTACAACACTAATGCTCCCTCGATCGATGGTGCTCAAGTGAAAGCACTCGAGGATGAAATGTGGGGTCTCTATCATGAATTGCCAAAATGGATCACAAGCGAATGCCACCTCGAGGATATCACACTTGAAACTTGTTCGGGGTATGAGTGCTTCCGTGATGAGCCTAATAAGCACTCTCGCAAACATCCCGTGTGCCACCGTTCCCTTGTCGAAGTATGGATGCGTCGTTTAAGATACCATTTCTTGGTCGAATGGCATGGCGCATGGCTCTTTTTATACCAAGTCTTTTTGCCCAAACCGGGAGATGTCATTCAATTACCTTTTATTCGTTGCTTGGAACATGGCAAATTGATGGTGGATGTCATGGAACGCTGGTCCGAAGATCCTGACTTTTTCGATTGCTATTGCTATCCTTCCTTACGCACCTTGTTGGTTGCTTCTCATGTTCATCGCTACTTGCTTGGCTCTGAAATTCCTGAAGTACGCCAAAAGGGATACCAGCTTTTGCATCAACTCTTTACCATTGTCCGCAATTCCAATATTTATCACATGTACAAGGACACCAGCTTCATTCTCGGCATGAAGGCCGCCTTCTCCGCTGTTCCTCGAGAATACATCTATGCTGATCCTGGTCAAATCTTTGACATCTCCACTGCTGCTGCCAATAGCAACGAGGCCGATATTCACAGATTCTCTGCTGCCGCTTCCTAAGATATCAACACATAGTACCACACACACACAAACACAATTCATTGTAAAAAGTCATGGCATCATTTTTTTCTTCTTCTTTTTTTTGTTGGTTATTCATATGAAAAGCAAAAAGTAGTATGATTAAAGAAAAAGGGGAATAGTATGCAAGGAGGGTTCTCGGTTATGATATGCAAAAGGGAGGAATGGGTAACACAAATTGGCACGCTTGTTGGTTACGCAGCCTTTTCTGGTACGACATTGATTCCAAAGAAGCGCTTGTTCTTGATAAAGTTCCAATAATATTGCCATCCAGCTGAAAATAGAGTGAGGACTGCCACAAAGGCCAGCATGACAATCACCGGTCGGTTCATGATATAAACGTTATAGTGATTGGGATTGGCATCAAAGATCAAGAGCATGGCATTGATGAAGCCCGTGTGTACGAAAAAGTCAAGTCCGAGGATGAACAAGTAGGCACCCGTGAATGACGTTGCAAACACAATCGCATAGCTTTCTACAAGCACCACGAGGATGATCATGATAACCCCCATACCAATGATAAAACAAATACGTGCCACTTTCTATGAAATAAAATAGAGTTAGATCTATCATTGCGTGGTATATATAAAAAGGTTATGCTTACGATTTGTATGACAAGATTTTCTCGCCATGACATGATATAGACTGAAAGAAAGAAACCACCCAACGCTAAAAAGTAAAGCATCATGAGTATGGATTTGTTGCCTTTGTATTCATAAAACAAGACCTACCTCCCACAAAGTACAAGCCAATAGGATAAAAGAACATGAATAAAATACCACCAAGTATACCCAAACCAATGCTGACGCAAATGTAGACGATCTCATTGTGTGGATAACCTGTTATGGGTTCATTGTTTACGAGGCCGATCCATGTCATGACAGCTGCATAAATCATGTGAGCACCATCATCATCCTACACCGGTTCCTGGCAAGATTTCACTTACCAAAAAAGACAAATCCAACGAGACCCAATGTTGGGCGAAAGTAACGAAAACCAAAGACCATGAAATAAAGACCAATAATGATGCAAGCAATACCAGTAAAGCCTTGGGCTACTGAAATGCCATAGCCGTAGGTATCTGCAATGGGGAGGAAGAATTAGATCGGGGTGTTTCCATTTTTGATGATTGACAATAGCAACACTTACGCCATAAGTAATCACTCCAGCATTGATCATCACATTCATATTCTTCATTGTCATCGTCATCATCATCCGAGTACACCGTCTCGGTAGCGGTAGCAGTTGCTGTTTTGGTTTTGGTGACGGTCTTGACTTGATTGTTGCCACAGTACACGGTTACCGTTTGCCATAGCTGGCGGATTTTCTCATCAACGTTCTTATCAATGGGTTCATCATCTTCGCTATTGCATGCTTCGGCTTGATCTTGGATATAGCTCAATGTTTTTTGGACGTTGTTACGTTTGATCAATTTTCGCTGGGGTGATTCAGTAGGTGCTGCTGTTGATAATGCTGCCATCCTAATGTTGTCAGGCGATGTGGGAGTAGGTTTGACCACCATGTAGCCTTGAATAGGAACAATGGTTGCCAATAGCATAAAGAGAATGAGACAAAGCGATTTGTGCATGTCTTTGTTGTTGCGATGGAGAAAGAATAAAGAAAGAGGGAACAACAATCGCCACCCTAGCAAGCAGACAATTGTTCTTTATTGTTCAATACAGGATTGTTGTTTTGCTCTTGCCATTTATTGATTGACATTTGACTATATCAGAGGCAGTGTGTGTGTGTGTGTGTGTGTGTATATGATACGGTGTGTGGGCGATCTATTTTCAGGCAAAGGGGGGAATTTCCATATTTGAACAATGTTTTCCAACGATGATTAGGCAATGGTACCAGATTGGCGTTGTTCCATGGCTGCTGCTACGCATGCTGTCAGGGCGGCACCTACACCGCTTCCATCCTTGGCCAGACCCAATCGTACTGTTTTACGCACATCCTTGTACTCTGGGAGTAGTTTGGTCAATGCTTCATAGATCCGATCCTCGAATGAAGGGTAAAATTCAAACAGCGATCCATCGATGCCCACGTCTGTGCCCTCTTGTTCCGTGACACCACAATGCTTGACAATGGCTGCAATCGATGCTGCTGCTAAATGGGCTGCTCTTGTTCCCACCAATTCGCATACACGTTTAATCATTTTGCATTCCACCGTCGATACATCTCGCATGTTGAAGTTGAGATCAAGCACGTTTTTGGTTTGGCTCAAGTCAGCTGTGGGATCCTTTTCAATCTCGGACATGTACGACGTTTCAAACGCATAGTGACCTGATATTTCTTTGCTCCATGCCTTGCAATCGAAACGGTTGTCAATAGGGCCAAAGATAATCTCGCGATCCATCATATCCAATAATACATTGCGTGCGATCTCTCCAAGATACATGCCCGATATCATCTTTTCAAAGATTTGGCTGTTGGGATTGATGGATTGTCGATCCACTTTGTTGTCAAATGGTGTCACTGGAAGCACCATACGTTCGTTGTCAAATGCTCCCGATTCCATGTTGATAATCATTTCATCACTTGTCGTCTTGCCACCTTTCCATTTGCCAATCTTGCTCATCTTTTCAATATACGCTCCATTCGATCCAGTCCCAAGAATCATGCCGATGCTTGTATTAGGGTTCCGATACGCATGGGAGAGTAACGTGCCAACCGTGTCATTCACCAAAGCAGACACTTTGACGGGTACGTTCTTCCTCAAAAGGGCATCTTGTAATAACATCACTGGATCCTTGCCCACGGCTCCCGAACAATTGAATCCTTTGGTCCATGATTTCAAAATCCCACGATTGATCTATTTTCATACATGTTGAGTATACATGGGAGATGATGTGTATTTCTCCACTCCTCCTCACCTTGGATTGAAGCACAGGGAATGAAAAGGTGTAGCCAAGGTACAATGTATATTCCGAATTGGTCAAGCCCTCTTGTGTCAAAAAGTCATCCACGCATTCAGCAATGTAATCTGATAGGAGGGCACGTGGATCAGTCAAATAAACAAACACACCATGCAACTTTTTTTTTGACTTACCACAAAGAGCACGCATGGGCCCAGTCTTTAAATCTTCTGTCACACGAGATTTGGAATACTTGGTTGTGTATTTGCCTTCTCCTTCCAGCGTCACCAATACCACTCGAAGATTCGTGCCACCCAAGTCAAGCGCCAAAAAGTGACCCTTTTCTTGACCTATCATAATAGCAAATGAGTTTCATTCGGGTAATCACTTTTTTTTATACATACCTGTAAGCCGTCCTTCAACGTAAGATGGAATCATGGCCAATGTATGTCCCTCCGTATTGAGACCTTTGTTCATTTCCTCAATGAAGTGATCACATATCTTTTGCAAATAATCATCAGAGATGGTGAATTGTTCAGTAATGCCTTGCATGTAAGCATTTTGCTTGGGAGAACCACCAATGGGATCAGCCACTGGGACAGCTTCAGAGACACGGCGGATAACCATGTTGTGTAGAGAAATAAAGAGACAACAGAGAGAAAGCAAAGAGAGAAAAAGAAGAAAAGAAACAAATTCATGCCGCCTGTATTTTCGGACAATGTAAAAATCACCCGACACGAAAACCCCTACTACAACCACCACCATCACAGCTGCTGCTGCTACTGCTGTCTCCACGGGCGGAAAACCCTTGATATGGAAGGTAGCCATCCTTCTATTCTTCCCTCAGAGTAGCGTGGTCATCATTGCCGTTGCCTTGGATTCTGGAACGCAATTGGGAATAATATCTCTCTGCTTCTGTCATGTGGTATTCTAAAAATGTCACACATGCACTGATTAAAAAGGGGATGATGTATCTTGTAAGTAGAGAGCAAAACGTACCATATTCCTTAAAGTCTTCATGGATCCCAAGACTAGTATAAAAGATGCGTTCACTTCGAATCATACGCCTGAGATCTTGCAATTCATGTATCTTGTCCATCCATTGCTGAAGCTTCTTGACTCTGGTCTTGATCATCATCGATGTTTGTACAGGTTGACGCCATCCACGCACTCGTATAAATGGAATCCCATTGGCATCATGTGTCCTGATGGATACCATATACGGCTTTCTTTTGGTGAACTTTGGCGTTTTGGTGGGTTGACTGGGTGGTTGATAAGGTGCAGGTTGTGTGATGCGTGCCAATTTGCAAAGATGTTCAGGTGCCGCCATCCGAGCATTGGGGTCCCGTTTCCTTGACGATGATGATCGAATGTCGAGTGCTGCAGATGCACGCTTGTTGAGCTATAGTACAATGAGTAATCCATACTTGCCTATTGTGATGATTACTTACGTCAGGTATCCTTCGTAACTGTAAAAGAAAGAGAGACAATGAATACCTACATACACAAAGAACATGGTCTTTTATTTACCTTTCCAACCACGTGTTTTAAAGGACCTGCTTTTGCAGTAGCCAATGCGTCAATGCGTTCCATATAAACAGCGTTGCTTTTTGCATCCCACATGATCTCGAGTGCCTAATACGCAAGGCCAATTTTAGCTGCTAGTTGTATACACTACCACGCATTATCTACCTTGCTCCCTTCTTGCAAACACCTTAATACACGTGGTCGAGACGTCTCATGCCGATGAAAACGGAAACGCTCACGCACTGTTTCACGTAAAAAGTAGCGTTGGTGCGATTCAGGGAATTGTGCTGCTGCTTTCAAAAGGCTTCTATACAAGTCCAATGTCTACAATGGTTGCCGGGTCAATCGCAATGCAAGCATGGTACAATGGATATATACACGTACCGCTGATCGTGCCTCTTTGACAATGGAGGGCTTGACGCCTTGAAATGCGGTCGCGGCTTTCATAGAGGAGGGGAGGAGAAATAGGTAGTAGTGTGGTAGAGTAGTGAAATGTGACTTTTTGAGATAAAGCTGTTATTGTTGACACCCACCAACTCATTCATGCGAGTGATTCAAGCACAGATGATTGCAAGTTCCCATTTTCAATAGAGGGCGTATCCATGGATACGCGAGGTGGGATATCGAGTTCATGTTGATAAAGTCACCCAATCTCTTTCAAGTAGACGCTTTCATGATCCATGATTACTTGAGGGGTGAATAAGCATCAAGAGGAACGGGGTATGTTTATAACAAAAGAGCGCCTCCCTGTGTTATGATGATACAAAAAGTAGTGTATAGCAGAATCGATCTTGTGACGATCGTCGAGATGTAATTAGCTGAGTAGAGGAAATGTTTTCAATTTGCACTAATTGCATGAATCTCAGGCACGTTTCAAGTAAGGAGAAAGGCATTCTCGGGTGGGTTTTATGAAAAAAAGGGCTTGATGAAATGATGGAAAGGGATGTGATCTATATAGCCGATGATGATACCAAAAGGCCAGGTACACAACAAATCAATGTCCATATTAAGCATGTACTTGTACCACACAAAGTAGACAAATCATATCGAATGGGCTACTTCATCCATGCCATTAGATCTTTACTCAGTAGTCTCTCTCTCTCTCTCGCTCGCTCTCTTTGTCACTTGTATACAACTCCTCGTTCCATTCTCCTTTTTTCTCTTTTCCCTTGTCTTGTTCCGCTTTACACTCGTTTGAATCGTTTGTTGTTCTCCAGTCATCACCATGGCAAAGGGCAAGTCGGATACTGCAAAGAATGCCAACACCCCGAGAAAGACAGCATGGAAAGGCATCGCCATCAAACCCAAATCGCCAAGTCGTCCAGGTTCAACAGCGTCAGCTCATTCACAGGAATCTCGAAAGTCTGTCAACACCATTGCGTCGTCCACCTTGTCCAATGAGGGAGTGTCCTCTTCGTCGTCGTTAACGGATACTACTACTGCTCAAGTGGAGTCGACGCCGCCGCCACCACCACCAGCAGCAGCTCCAACAGCAACCAATGATAATGTTCAGGAACCATCCAAAGGACAACAACAACAACAACAACAACCCATCGAGGATACGAAAAAGGTATGTGGTGTGTGAGTTGATATATAGTTCTGTGAATAGAAACAACTCACTTACATGTTTGTAAGACCATGAATGGTGACACCAAAAAGAAGGAGGATCTTCAACCACCACCACCGTCGGAAGAAGATGACGATGATGATCAAGCATCAACACCTCGTGCTGGTTCACGTAAATCATCGATTGCTGGTCTTGATTCTGCAAGTGAGGTGTTTGAAGATGCGTATGATGATGATGACTACTTTGATGATGTGCCCACCTTTGAGGAACCACAACAAACGGATCATGGTGCCAAGAGTCCCATGAATGTGATTCTCCCAGCACTACAAGGTTTAGAAAATGAGGACGATCGGGATAATGAAATCGAATCGCTTGGAATTGCTGAAAATCACTACCATGCTATCTCCACTCCACCAACAACAACAACTCAACAACAACCCGTCTCATTATCCTCCACCAACAACAACGTCCATCATGAATCAACATCATTGGATCACACTGCAACAACGACACATGATGACGCTGCAAAGCCTATCAAAGAGGAGACTACGCAGCCTACCAAAGAGGTCACCATGGAGACTACGCAACCTATCAACGAGGTCGTCGCCAAGGAAACGACTCAACCTGTAAAAGAGAGCAACAACGAGGAAGCAGCTCAACCTGTAAAAGAGATCACCAAGGAAGCAACACAAGATGCTACTACATCCCAAGTCGACAAAGATGTTACGCATGATGATCAAAAGGAGGAGCCATGGAAATCGGATTCGAATGCAATGTCAATGGATGGCTTTATGCAAGAAGTACAAGAAGCTGAGCTTGCTTTTCGAGATGATGAAAAAGAACAAAGGTCGACTGAGTATGCCAACACGCCTTATTACAACAATGACACCATTGAGAATGAGCATCATGTGGAAAAATCAACGGTGGATGTGCTTCAGGATTTGGAAGATCTTGATACCAAAAGAGAAGAGGAGCATCATCATCATCATCATCAACATGATCGCCCTGAAAGCATTGAGTTGGCACCAGCACCACGTGGTGATACCGATTCACCAGTGACCGATAATGGCCTCTTTGATACAAAGACATCCGATGAAGTGAGCCAACCCACACGCAACACCAGCATTGCAGATGATGATGGTAATGATTACCATGGCAACAACGACAACAACAAAAAGGAGGGTACAGAAAAGAAGGAGGATCATTTGGGTGCCATTTTGCCTGTCATGGAAGACTCGGCCAGAGAAATTATTGGAGAGCAACCTACCGAGATGGATCGTGCTGCTGCTCGTAGTCTCGAGTATGAACATCCTGTCGAAGATCCTATCGACCTTGACATGTTCAGAGACAACGTTATCTCTATCCCTACCATTGATCCCAAATGCGTTCCTATCAACACGCTTACTCCTCGAGATCAAGAAGAAGCAGGTATGTATATACATACTTTGTAGGATGGATTGAATAATGATTAACATGTGGCCCCATAGATGAACCAGTGAGGGAAGGCATGCAATATCTCTTTGATAACAAGTTTATGAAAGCCAAAGCTATATTCCAATCAAAGGCCAGCATGTAAGTATAACAATGAATTTCACGGGCCTAGATCTCTCTGACAATGAATATTTAGTGATCCATTGTATGCACTTGGTTTGGGATCAATGGCGTTTATCAAAGGTAAGTTGATGGTGGATGTTTTTGAGAGAGCAATTCAACTCATAGTATCATTTTTTTCCTATAGCAATGATGGTAAGCAATAGACACTATTTATCATGTTGACAGCGGATGGCTGATTGTTGGAAAAGACCTATCAGGAGGATGACATTGAGACAGCCATGACGGCGCTTGCCACGTCGTACACCATTGCCAAAGCTCAAATTGACAACATGTGTTTCCGAAAGCCATTGAAGGAAGCCGTTACACAATACTTTTCGACATTCTTGGCTAGCAACAACAAATCAGGGCTCCCATCCAGTCCTGCACCTGTTATACGCACCAACAGCCCAGGTCAACCACGAGAGGCTCCCATCTTTTTGCCAAATGGGATTTTACGCGCGCACGTGATCAAAGCCGAGAGTTGCTTATTGATGGCCATCATCCAGCTATCACAAGAGAGTGTCGTGAACTACTTGAAATGTGGTCTTAATTTGAGACGAGGTATACATCGAATCTTAAAGGTTATAAGGTACAATCCTAATGATGCATTTGCATTTAGCTTATAGCAGCTACAGTGTTGTATGGCAAGAATACAAGCGTATGGGACAAGAATACACCAAGCACATGGACCGTGATACTGTATCAGCCATTCAATTTGGTATTGGTGCCGTGCATCTTTTACTTTCCTCCATGCCAGCCAAGGTACTCAAGGTGTTCTCGACGCTTGGATGGCAAAGTGATAAGCAACTTGGTTTTGCGTTACTCAAATTGTGTCTGGAAGGCCGTGGTATTCGTGCTCCCCTTGCATCGCTTACGTGAGTTGTTCATGTTCATCTATTTATTGGATCAAGACCTAACCCTATATATTTTATAGGCTACTTTCCTATTATACCATCCTGACATCCTTTACACCGCAGCTGTACGCAAAGGAAATGATGGGGCCTGCTATTGAATGTTTACTGGATGCTCAAAAGCATCATCCCAGCTCATGCTTTTTCCTGTTTTATGCGGCACGGATTGCACGTGTGGCTCGTAATCTTCCCTTATCAACACAATCCTTTGCATTTGCAGTCGAGTCAAGTCGAGGTGAATGGGCGGAGACGGCGATGCGACAGATGGCGGACTATGAGACAGGTTTCAACCTTGCGTTGCAACTGGATTGGGAAGGTGCTGCTGTTTATTTTGATAAGCTTAGCCATGAAAAGTATTGGTCTCCTGCATTTTCCCGGTACTTTGCTGGTGCGTGTTACGAGATGCTGGGTCAAAGAACCGAATGTATCCTAGCCTTTGCCCAAGTCCCTGAACTGGCCAAGGAGCAACAACATCGCAAGACCTATATTGATGCGCACGTCCATCGCCGCGTGGAATTTTTCCAAAAGAGTGGGTATCAAGATATGGATTTCAGTCTTCCTGGATTGGAGATACTCCTTGTATGGAATGCCTTTGAGCAAATGGAACCTGAGGCTTTGGAAAAGTGCTTGGATTTGGTGCAGCACACTTTGGAATTGGTTTACGAACGTGAGAAAATGGAATACAATATCCGTCTCAAGGAACTGGTGCCAACATCCACACCTCCCGATTATTATGATCAACGTGCCATCTTGCTCTTAACCAAAGCATCCATTCTTAACGCACTCGAAAGATACACCGAAGGTATTCCTCATTTGAACTGGGTCATGGATCACAAGGATTATATTAAACATGAAACATGGGTGGTGCCATTTGCTTACTGGGGTAAGTGCCATATGCATGCAATTTCGGTACTAGTGGGGAACGAGATACTAATGCGACTATGTCCCTGCACACAGAGGCGGGCGTTACGAGTTGGGGCTTAGGCAACGTTAAAAAGAGTCGCAAGCTATGGCAGCTGGCGCTTTCATGCAACAAGTACGACTTTGAATATAGGATGGCTGTACGATTAAGCCTTGCGCTCTCTCGTTGCGATGAAGTCGGTGTGTCTCATATTGATACAAAGCAAACTCAGGGCATGACAACCCATGGCCGTAAGCGGATGCCTATCATTGATCCATAATCATCAATCCTCCATCTCCTCCTCCTCCTTTTTTCCATGTACAGTTCTTTTGTATCATAACGAAAATAATGCCTATTCAGAAAAGGAAGTTTTTCACACCTTGTCCCCCTTGATGTCATTTTGTCATATAATCGGTGAAGGGATTTGCTTGGTTACTCAAGATTTGGGATCGGCGCATTATACCATTTAAAGGGTTATGCTGGGTGGGCGATGGAAATGAGGGAGCCGATAATGAAAGGAGAGAAATGAGAGAGTGAATAAAGAACACACAGGCATATAGCCCCACAAGAAGAAAGCTAATATGACAAACGACACGCCGCACAAATGGATACACCGCTCATTAGAAAACACACACTAAAATAATGCTCACCACGTTCAAGTACCAGGAATAGGTAGGTCGCTTTTTATCTCTCGTGGTCCTAGACTTGGATGGAAAGTCAGCTTCACTTTCTTGAAAGTCTTTGATCTCGCTTTGGTTGGTACCTCTTTTCTTGGTTACTGATATCTTGAACTCATCCCCCCCCCTTTTCCTTATTTTCCCATTCCTTTCTTTTCATCCTTTCCTAACATCTTATCCACGCCCGCAATCTAATTGCTCTTGTTACTCTCTCTTTCTCTCACTCTCACTCTTTCTTTCTTCTTAAACTACCCCCTTCCACTCATTACTCTACTACTACTACAACATCTACTACCACCACCACTAGAAAAAAGATGAAGAAACTCTTTAGCATTGGCTTGCTTTTTGCTCTTGTTGCGATTTGTATTACCACCTCCAACACTGTCTATGCGCTCGACAAACGCCATGGTACTGCAAAGATTGGCACCTTCGGCAATGCGACTTTGAGCAGCACGAATAAGCGTGATGAAATCACCTGGTAAATTCAATTGACTATAAAATAGTCTTGTATTACACGTAGCTCACCTAGATTTTTCAGGTACACTGGCCAAGACTTGAAAAATGCTGCTTGCTATGGTCGAGATGGATTGGACCCTTTCCATGCAAAGAACACTGATATGATTGGTGCTATGGTATGTCTGTCGGGCACAATGAATACAATCACCCCACACAATGAGTATTAATATGATCCCATGATATGATAATAGGCCATGAAGGGCCTTGAACAATGCTACCAGTGCGTAAAGATCACTAACAAGAAGGACAAGCACCTCTCTGTTATCGTTCGCATCGTCGATAAGTGCGCTGCTTGTGAATTGAGTAAGGGGCCATTCAAGCTATATATAACGAAATCTTCTTGTATTGACGTGCGCTTTTCATGAATGTAGAGACTCATATCGATTTGACTGCTGGAGCATTTAAAATGATAGCTCCCAAGGGTGATCTTGATCTCGGCGTCGTGGATATCACCTGGGAACCCTTGAAGAAGTGTCCCAAATCGAAGTTGTTCCCCTTGGATCCAATTTTGTAATAATCTCTTCGTTTCTCTCCCATATCCATATCCAAACATAGCTTCATCAAACACTCCCGCTCTTTTCTTTCCCATCTCCTGTTTCTCTCTTCTTTACCCCAAGACAAAATGAATAAACCAAAGTGTACTTTTTGTCTTGATTGTGTCATGATTAGCTTTCACCTATAAATCCTCCTTTTCTCCTTCCTCACATTCACGTATATACACATATATATCCATCATGATCAAAAACAAAAGAAAAAGGTCGAAGTGAATATACAACAGGACAAAAGCGGTTGACAGGGAGTCGGTCGTTTGTTGTTATTGATCGTGTGTGTGTATGTAGATAATATCAAATCTAGTTCTTTTCTTCGGCAGACTTCAAGAACTCGCGAATGAAAGCCTCCTCGTCAGCAGAGCTGGCCTTGATTGGGGGAGTGGCGGGTTGAGGAGCCTTGGGCTTCATGATGAAGTAACCAGCAATGGCAGCGTAGCCACCGAGAAAGCCCATGGAAATCTTTACAGGAGGTCGTCGTGTCAATGGACAAGGGTTGCTTCTTTGCGTGATTACCAAAGAGTACTTACCACGTGGTTGGGAACAGCCTTGCCAGCAATAACGTAGGATCCAGCCATTTCGGAATCAATACAAGTTGAAGGATAAGAAAAAACTTCGCAAGGGGGTGTAATAGCACCTGCCCCCAATTGACCAGCCAAGTTCCCTCTCAGCCGTGAGGGTGACGTCAATCGTTCTCGCTAGACCCAACAACCCACCCACCCATCACTCATCATCATCACCACCTATCCCAATGTAACTCCGTTGTCCTCTAAAGTGATCATGGATACCGTCGTCATCATTTCCATGGATACCATCATTTCCATGGATACTCAAATACAATAAACCATGGGGCTCATTATGGGGCTCATTATGCCTTCAGGTTTAGCTTTTCCCCATGTTTGATATGCGTGTCATTGTGTGCCTGTCAAAATGTGGACCAATAATAAACAATGCACGCGATTTTGATAGGTACAAAAGCAATGATGTGCATTGTTCGTGGATGAGTGAGTGGCTCTTGCGTCGATTGTATACTTGACGGGAATGTTCATATGAAGATAAAAAGTACATACATACTCCTTTTTCCTTTGCTATGAAGCGAGGTATGTCAACATCACACCCATTATGGAAGAAGACAAGCTAAATCAGCCAGAGCGACAAAGACGTGATGATGCTTTATGATCATTGATACCATACAGGCTCGAACATTGTCTGCAAGTAAAGCCGTTGCTCGCTGTAATACAAAAGATGTCCTGGACAAACAAGGAATGGGTGAAGTCCTGAACATCACCCTAAGCTTACAAAGGTAGTGGTTGATGTCCTGAACATCATTTCGTAATACAAAAATACAAAAATTGACGCCCACAACATCAACAAGTAGTACAGACGTCCTGAACTTCAGCTAACTCCTTTTAAAGAAACCTTGTAGAACCAAGATAATAGCGAAGCGGGTTGTCTTGATTTGTGTAAATGAATGCGTGGTGCATCGGCATCCATCAGGGATAAAAAACAAGGTGCATACACAGGGGAGATAACACTCATACTTTGGTAAAATATGTGTTGTGTAATGGAGTGTTGTGTGGGGAAGGGTGATGGTGTGAGTTTCATCTCTAGCATTCATCCTCGGTACATAGAATACACGTTGTCGGCGCCATTATTTTACGCCCAATTATTCCTCCCGCTGGATCAACTTAAATGCAAGTCTCTTGCATTGATCGCTCTTTTTTTGTTCCCTTCACACACTCTGCTGCTGCACCTCCAAGAACAAAGAAATAACCACTTTATTATCACCTGCCTTATTTTTGCTTCTTTGTCTTTCTTTCCATAAACTATGTTTACCAACACTCTTCGAACGTCCTCATTCCCCACACGTCCTACCTCGATTCTTGACCCCAACAATCTACAACCAATGTCAAAGACTGTGCATTTCGCACCCTACCCCACTATTATGGATAGCCCTGAAAGCGTCACCTCTGATGATGATTCAAGTTCTCAAGAAGACATTCCATGCTCGCCTGTGATTCCTGGACGACGAACCAAGCAGGAGCTTGATGCTATGATTGAGAATCTTTTTGGGACAGATGCTGCAACCACAACCAACATCACCACCACCAACGAGGAGAAGAAAAAGGAGAAGGGACATGAGCAAGGCATTGCAAGTAGTAACCACAACAAGGGATACATCAACAACAAGAGCAAGCGAAAGTGGGATGATACCAAGGATATCAAGGCACCAAACGACGAGGCTACCATCAAGAAAAAGGGAATCTTGGCGAAGAAATCAACCAGTATTCAACCTGCTATGAAGCCAGCACGTCGTGTATCACCCGCAGACCTCGAGAAAAGAGAAGTTGCTGTCTGGACTGGTTATGTTGAATTATCGCGAAGGATCAGGTTCCAGGCAACAGCGCGTCAAATTGGAGGAAGGAAATTGAGTATGAGCGAATGGAGTCATGTTTTGTCGCCTACATTATGGGTTGAAGGACGCATTCACGTGGATGTTGTTGATGACTATGTGACCAAAATACAACATACACCTGCAGCAAGACATGAGATCGTATTGGTGCTCTTTGAACCCACTCAAGCAACGACCGACAATGGACATGAAGCGGACACTTTGAAGGAATACCTTGATTCCAGGCGACGTTTGGGTGTCATTGGCCACAACATGACCAGCGTAAAGGACTTTTATTTGATGCCACTTTCAGAGTATCAGCAGCTACCTGATTTTTTGTATGTGGTGCGTATGGATGAAGTGGATATCAAACGTCAAGGAAATGTATACATTGGGATTATTGTGATTCAGAAACCTGCACCCTTACCATTACCCTTACCATCATCATCATCATCATCATTACATCGATCACCACCTAGTAGTAGCCAAGCGTGAAAAGAAGAAAAAAGATTCTCACGTATATCACTCTCATATCCTATACTCACAATTCCCCCATCCTCCTCATTTGTACATCATGAAACATTTTCGCATTGCTATTTGTTGAATAAAAAGTTAATAATGTCCCAATTATCATGTAAATAGATAATAGTGAGAGAGCAAGTAAGAGAGAGAGAGAGAGAGAGAGAGAGGCAAAAGAGAGAAAAAGTCCGCAATGAAAACGGTTGGCAGGGAGAACGAGGGATTCTCCAATCTCGACGTATCTCCTTTCTTCTTCCAACCCACCTTATTCACCCACCCACCCACCCATACACCCTCACTCATACGCTCCACCTTCTTTTCTCCTCATTGTGTCTCGTTCATATCTCTCTATTTGCCGTTGAATTCTCGCCTCCGTGCTAATCAAGCTTGATGAATCAACAAAACCCCAACTTGCCCAATGGGCAGCAGCAGCAACTCAACATGGGAATGCAGAACAACATTGCCAACCCCCACTGGCGTGATGAATTGCCTGCAAGTGACCGCAATAGCTTTGTAACGCAACTGTAAGTGTCTATCATGCATCACAAAGTGTATGGGATCAAGAAAGGCTAATAGGAGAGCGATTGATATTGATCAGGGCACAAGCTTTGACACTGTTATCGCCAAACACATCAGAGAATGACATTTATACTGCAGCAAGGAACTTTGAGCAAACGTTATACCAGAACAGTATCAACAAGGTAAAGAAAAGAGTATAAATGGTGTGCGTGTGTGGGGGAAAAAGGATGGAGGATGAGGAGGGATTTTTCCCCGAGGCATGTGTGTGTGTGTGTATGGATGTATGTATTCAATTCTCTTCTTTTTATAGAATCAATACATCCTTGCTTATGCCAAGAAGATTCATCACATTCGATCCAGTCTACGAGATTTGATGGCGAATCAAGGTGGTGCTGGTGGTAATGCTGCTGCTGCTGCTGCTGCTGCTGCGGCCGCTGCTGCGTCAGCCGGTGGTGCTGGTGGTCCATCCAATCTTGCCAACATGATCCATGACGGTCAGCTGCCACTTAATATTGGCAATCTCGCCATGCAGCAGCAAATGTCTCCGCTTGTTGCACAACAACAGCAGAACGCGTCGCCCCATCAGGCCACTCCTGCCAGTCAACAACAACAACAGCAACAACGACAGCAGCAGCAACAACAAAATTTCGCATCACCTTTAAATATGAACCAACAAATGGCAGCGGGGCAGAACCAAATACGTCCAAACATGTTTCAACCGGGTATGATGCAAAGACCTCTTCAACAACAAGGGGTGCCCATACAACAGCCTCAACAACAACAACAACAAGGTCAACCACAACAACAGCAACCACAGCAACAACAACAGCAGCAGCCTCAACAACAAGGTCAACCCCAATTACAAAATCCACAACAACAAGCACAATTATTAGCATTACAAAGGGCGGCTTTGGCAGCTGCTCAGCAACAGGGTGTTACTAGTCAAGCGGGTGGTAATGGTGGTGGAGGAGGAGGCAATCAGCAGCAGCAAATATCATTGAACATGTTACAAAGTCTTGGTGGTGCGCTTAATGGTGTTAACCAACCTGCAGCCATGTCATTATCACCACAACAAATGCAAATGTTTCTTGCTCGACAATTGGCTTTTCAAAATCAACAACGATCTCAACAAGGTGGTCAACAACAACCAACAACACAGCAACCAGCACAATCACAACCATCTCAAGGCACTTCACAACAACCCAATGCTGCAAGTATGTTGATGAATATGAATATGCAACAAATTCGACCTGGGATGATGCAACAAAGTCCCAATTTCAGATCTGGTGTTACAGCTGCATCCTTACAAGCTGCTGCTTCATATCCTGCTGGTGCCGCTGCTGCTCTCAATCAAGCTTCTATGCCTGGTGTATCAGCTGCTATGCTTGCCAATAATCTTACTGCTCAACAACAAGTGTCACGTCCACCTCATCAGCCTCAGGCACAGCCACAACAACAGCAAGGGCAACCACAACAACAACAGCAACAGCCACAACAACAAGGGCAAATGTCACAACAAGAATTGTTGATCCAACAAATTCAGCAGCAGCATAGACAACAATTGTTGAGGCAACAACAACAGCAACAGCAACAGCAGCAGCAACAACAAGGAGGTCAAGGTCAAGGTCAAGGTCAACCACAACAACCATCACCAAGACCCCCACAGCAACCTCAGCAACAACAACAACAGCAGCAACCTCCTCAGCAACCAGGAATGCCCCAAAATGCAGCCGCCATGCTTCAAAACACGAATGCTTCTCCACAACAACGACAAGCTAATAATCAAAGGTTGATGATGATGATACAACAACGTGGTGGTGCTGCTGAATTGGTGCGTCAATTGGATGAAACGGTTCGAAATGGTCGTGGTAAGTATTATAGCAGCAGCAATTGGAATTAGGGTGATGATGATGCTAATAATCCATGTTTTAATAGCTCGTGCTAGACCTGTTGAAAATTTGAGCCAGCAAGAAAAGAATGATATCAATGAGAATATGCTGCGAATGAAGCAAATGTTCGATAGGCTGGGTGAATTATTGCCAGTGTTTCTACAAATGACCAGCAATGTGGAGGCGACTCGACGACTTATTCTCATGAAGCATCTTTACGAGGAGCAATTTAAGCTTTTGCCACAACAAACATACATTGTGACCTTGGATCAGCTTAATCTCTTGAGGGATCAATTGTCACGATACTTTAATTGGGTGCGTCTCAATGTCTCGGGTCCACAGATGGGTGGCATGCAACAACAACAGCAACAACCTGGTGTATCACAGCCTCCAGCTATGGGATCACAACCTCCTACTACAGCTGCAGCTACAGTATCACAAATGCCTCAAGCCCCACAGCCACAACCACCATCAGCCACACAGGCACCTCCACAACAAGGACAACAACAACACGTGCCATCCCCTATGCCTCAACAGCAACAAGCCGTACGTCCACCTGTTTCAATGTCACAATCTCCTCAACAAATGGCTGCTGAACAAGTACCCACATCCAATGCAATGGGTATCAAACGTGCTAGTATCGATTTGAAATTGCCACCATCCAAAAAGCAACGTGCAGCAGCTAATCAACAACAACAACAACCCCAAGAAGCAGGTGTATCATCTGCACCCTCACCAGCAGCAGCACAAGCAGTATCAGCATCATCATCACCGGCTACTATGCTTCAAACAGGTCAAGCACCGCCTGCTTTGGGTGGTGGTGGTGGTGGTGGTGGTGGTCCAATTGCTACCAACAATGTTTCACCACAAGAGTTACAACAAGCTGCCCTTGCTAGAGGATTCCCTGCTGAATTGTTGCGAGTATTACCAGAACAAGCTTTGCAATGGAGTTGGGTTCTTACTCAAGCTGAAAAGAAGGCATTGTCATTGAATCCACAAAGCATTGATTATCTTCGTAAAATGTTGGATATGGCTGTCAATGCTGCTAGAAGGCAATTGGAAATGCAACAGCAGCAGCAGCAACAACAACAACAACAAAATGTTGCCACGACAACCGAAACGCCACAGCAACAACAAACACCTGTGCCACCTCCATCACAACAACGTACACCTTCAGTGACATCGATACGTTCATCACCAGCAATGACACCTGCAGCTGCATCCACACCTGCTACGAATGCTGCTGCAACACCTGCACCAGCACCACCACCAGCATCCACTCCATCCATGGCTGCTGCAGCAAGTAGACCAGCAACAACGCCCATGACTACACCCGCTACAATTGCAGCAACGACTTCTACTACTACGCCTGCTACTGTAGCCACCACACCCACTACGCTTACTACCACTCCTACTGCTACCACTGTTGCTGCTGTGAGTACACCGATGGCGAGTCATATAGCAACGACACCTACTACAAGTCGTCCACAATTATCAACGACACCATCACAACAGCAACAACAACGTCCTGGCATGAATGCAGAAAACAAAGTGGTCAACACGATGATGTATGCCAATGATGTGCTCAAGGATGTTGCTTCTATTCTTGCCCAAAAGACACCTGATGATGCACCGGAAAAGATCGCATTGGACGTCATGCGGGAAGGGCCTCATTGTGCTTATGCATTTGACGCCTCTCCTTTCAAAGAAGGATACAAGGATGAAACATTTAGTTTGGCGCTTGATCGTGGATTACTTGGCAGCAAGAATGAAATTACCAAAGACAATGAGCCCGCCGACCCCTCGACCGACTGGTACGAACCTGGCATGATGGATCCTGGTATCATTGGAATGAATGAAATCATGCGTGGTTTTGAGTGGGATGAGTCGGGCGCCATGATATCATCTTAATACACTCTCACTCTCACTCTTTTTTTTTTGCATCCGTTACAGCATAATACTACTTTCAGTATACTCTATTCCCCCCCACCCACCCCACCCTACACAACACCTCGTTTCTTCTTTCACTCACACTCACACACTCAACAACGCAATAAATCATTCTCATGTAAACAACAACATTGTAACACACATTAAAGAGAAAAATGAAAGTATAATGAGATCCTGGGTCCCTCTTTTTTATTTGCACGTTTGTCATTTATGCATCCAATGTGACGATGGGGCTCTTTGTCTTGAATCATGCCCAGTTCTGCAATTGATTTTTCCCCGCTTGAAAGAAAAGAATCAATATCTAAAATTGCAGGAAATCAAGCCTTCTGCAGGATGCAATGCGTTGTTCTTGTGTTGTCCCTTGACAGCACCTCCATGACGCATACATCACACGTAGCCTCTTCTTTGTTTGCCAAAATTTGTATATATAGAACCCCCACCTTTTTACACATTGAGTCTCTCACTCTCTCACTCTTTCTTCTTTCCACCCTAATCACGATGCCATCATCATCCAACTTTGTTTTCATTTTCGTGTCTCTTGCCATGCTTATGCAAACCATTACGGCAACAGGTCTCTTTTCCAAAACCAAAGGAGAGGTCTCAATTGGCGATGCTACTTACTACAATCCCGGCCCTGGATCATGCGGATTTACAAATGCAGAGAATGAGGACATTGTGGCGATGAATTATGTCCAAATGGAAAATGGTAATGTTGATGTTTTGATGATCCCCCTTTTGCTTCTAACATTTTCTACTACGTAGGTCCCAACCCCAACAACAACCCGCTTTGCGACACGTATATCATCATCAAAGGTTCTCAAGGAGAAAGCAAAGCTCGCATTGTCGATACTTGCCCAAAGTGCGAATACGGTAAGGTTGAACATTCTATGCACCACGAATTCACTAATTGACCATACTGGTGGGGTCATCATTATTATAGGATGTTTGGATCTATCACCAAAAGGTAATGTATGGATGCCACCCATAAAACCACAAAATACTAACAGCATGCTCGTTTACAGTGTTCTTGGACGTATGCGGTGATTTAGACAAAGGAAGATGCACCGTCCGTTGGAAGTTCATGTAAACCACAGCCATGCATGTATGCCATGCTTGCCACTAGAAATTCAAACACTACCACCACCAATGTATCAAGAGCCCATTACACAGTACTTTAGATAGAATAACCTATTGTCATTAGCGACACCCAGCTTTATAATACGAATATCTGTATCAAGTCCATAAAGTAGTATTTTTAACCTCTCATAAAGGCATGGTGGTGTTGTCTTTGTTCGTGAATATTAAGCTCATCCTCTCAACGGCGAATCATTTTGAATCATGAATATGAGATAATTTGATTGTTGTTCTGCATGACTTTTTAATTATAGGCATACTCGTCTTCTAAAAAGGCACCATCATAGAAGGTATCGGCTTGCTCATCTCGTCTCTCTCTCTCTCTCTCTCACACACACACACACATACATACATACAGTGTTCCCCTGCTTGGCCTCCTACCCTTCAGGGCCTTGGGTGGCAATAATAAAATGGATGATAGAGAGAAAATAAAACTGCGATCGTCATATGAAAAGGATTCTCCTGAATCAACCACAGCAGCAGCAGCAGGAGCGCTCACAATAAGAGGGAAGAAACGGGATAGGAGATGGCATTTGGGGAGGATCACAATGTGCGTCGTGCATCAACAAGACCGAATTACTGTTACGCCTCGGCACTTTAGCAATGGATATTATCATCACGCTATAACAAAAGGTTGCCCTTTAGAAACGCAACCATGATGAGTCGTCAATCATGCCCCCATGTTGCAAAGGGCTATTGCATGAAAACTCCGGTGAGCGGTCGCTACTATGCGACTTTTGACTAGTAGTTTTATCCAATCAGATGTCTTTTTATTGTATCTTTGACTTTGTAAAGGGCATGTTGCAATTCTTCTTAGAGGGAGGTAGTGATACCATTGTAATGTTGGTGTATGCTGCTGTCGACACAGCTGAAGAATGAGACCAGTGGTAGATCAAGTATGATTACTACAAGTTGCACATCTCCAGGAAGGATGATGGAATCCATAGCAACAGAAAGAAGCTGATTAAATGATGAATTCGTTGCATGAAGATCGACCCTGAATAGATAGGTGTCTACATACGATGAATGATGGGGGATGATGATGGTAGCTTGTCTCCGATCTCGCCATCCCTCCTTCACTTTTTGTCTTTTCCTGTTTTACACAACGACCCAGCTACTTGCTCAATCACATATCACGCTTTTGTCTTTTGCCAGCCCCGCCACGCCTTGCCCTTTTGTGATCGATCACGCCTTCAGCTCAACCATTCCACATGCATAATTCGAAACAGCAACAGTCTTCAAAAGCGGGCTCATCCCTAACGTCGTCGTCACCAGCAAAGAACGATGCTTCAAGCAACTCACAACCTCCACTGTCAGAAAAGCAGCGAGAGACCAACAATGCGTAAGCATATACAAATGGCAAGAGCGGTTGTGGTGTGTGTGTGTGTGTATGTGTGCATATATCATGATAACACGAGTCATATCAAGCTTCTTTCGAAAAATGGTCAACGACCGCAACAAAAAGCTTGAAGAGTTACAACAAACGCATACCACATTGCAGACCAACGCAACAAAGATATCAGAAAATGAAAAGGAGGATCAAACGAATAAGGCATCATTGGTAAGTAAATGAATGGGGGGATCATCATCATGGTCATCATCATCACTCATTGGGAAGGGCGGTTTTTTTCCTCTTCATGCATGATTTTCAAGGCATTCATGCTACTGGGTGAGTTGATTGATGAATGCATATATGACGTTGTCTTTGAAGCACACCGAAATATAAAGCAAGCAAACAGCGTATGTCAAATCTGTCAAACAAAGTAAGTATATGGATGACATGAGTCTACAAGAGATTGATCGCCTTCCTTTTCATTTTAGATGTCGATCTTATGGTAGGTGGAGGATGAGGATGAGGATGGCATGGATCAAGGTAATTGACTTTATCTCGTAGTATCAAGGCCTGGATGTGATGTCTATGGGAATACGTATGCAGCCAACAACCTTCCATCTTATGAATGTGTCAATTGCCACAAGATGATTGCAGCAGGACGATACGCACCCCATTTAGAAAAGTGTCTTGGACTAGCAGGGCGTCAATCGAGTCGAGTAGCCAATCGGCGGTAAGTTCACCATCATCGTCATTGAGAAGGGATTGGATTATTGATATGTATCTATATCAACAAGGCTTGGATCATCATCACCTTACGCATCAACACCCACATCCATGGATGAATCAGCACATGCCTTAAGTGACCCAGAATCCGATAAGAAAAAGAAACGTCCGATTCAAGTATGTATGATCGAGGAGGATGTTGTGAGTGGATATCATCTAATGAGCTTTATTATAGTCAACATCCAATGGAATTTCACGAGTCAAGAAACTAAAGAATGCATCCATGTCAGAGAAACCCTGATAGCCATCAATAAAAGAGAGATTCATTCCTTGTGTAGCCATGTATGCATGATGATGTGATGTGATTTATTGGTAAGCAAGAAGCGGGAGATAAAGATAAAGGGCGGGAAGAATCGATGGCTGTTTTTTTTTTGAGAGAACGTGAATTAAACACGCGTATACACACAACACAGCAGGGAGAGGGGGCTTTTTTTAAAAGGTATCAATGAAATGAATAGGAATAACAAATGATGAACGAGATGAAGAAGCGAATGATAAGAAAAAAAGAGGGCGATAGCCATTTTCACGAGTTGTTTTCAGTGTTGTCACATGCTTGAGGATTGTTTGTTCCGCGTACGCTCCGCAGCTTATCCAACCACAGCTCTGCACGGTCCACAGTGTCTGAAAAGACAACGGAGACGGATTGAAGCATATCAACAGATTCTTGACCAAACGTTAATAACCGGATCGCCGTTTGTTCTTGAGGAAGACCTTCATTTGTGGGTGTCAAGAGGGGTGAAGCAGCGGGTGATGTGGCTGTTGAACGAATGTCACTCAGAGTTGCCTATCGAATAAAAACAACATGTGTCAGCGTAAAAGGGGGTTCTTGCAGAAATGTGAATGATTCCTTACACAACGGCCCGGAAGATCAAGAATGAATCCACGCACAGCCATTTTTGCCTGATGTGGAAGGCTGTTGCTTGCATATCGACTTATCACGTCAACCACCTTGCGTAGCGTGTCAACGATGTCTTTTTTGATAGAAGAGAGATGAGAACGATGCATGTTGTTGTTGGGATGATGAGGGGCCAAAGAGTGTTGTTGTTGTTGTTGAGAAGAAGCTAAGGAAACTAAAAAGTCTCGAAGCACGTTCATTTGTTGTTCGATGTGTCGCATAGCGTATTGTAACCAGCTCAAGCAGTATTTAAGGCATTTCATTGATTCTTCACTAATAACAGCTGCTGTGCTGCCTGCTGCCGAGCTAGCATGAACAACGAGTTGCTGCCATGCGCTAGGAGGTGTTGTGGTGGGTCGAGCAGAAGAAGACGATGGATAAGGTGATGTTGATCGTATGGATGAAGAGTTGGAACGTACTCGCATTCGTGGACTCGACATTGTTTGTGATAAGAAAAAAGGGAAAAAGCGAAAGAGATGGGAAATGCACAATAAGAAAAAAAAAGCAAAAGGATGGTGGAATATATTTTGTGGATCATTGGGAGCAGCAACTACAGCTTTTTCACGTGAAATAATTCAACCCCAATTCTATCAATAGCAACCCTAGACAAGTTTCTTGGCCACAAAGAATTGCTTGTAATGATTCAATTGCCATGCACAGATGCCACCAAGGACAATGAATTGCAACAAAGTCCACCACACAACGCGTGAATTGATGACTTCGGAATGATCACGGTATTCAGCCTCGCGTTCCTGAAACACAGCCATCCAATTTAGTATCATTCTCGAAAAAAGTCCCCCCCATCCCCGTATCCCACCCAGCATTGCATATTACTTACCCGTTGTGCTGATTGTTCTCGTCGAATGTCCTGTACTCGCTCATTCAGATCATGAATACGTCTGGCCATATCTATTATCAAGGAAACATCCTTTTAGTATACATGTACATACCACCAGCCTAGCAATGTATATACCTGAAAGTGCCTCGCCATGATCATGCTCATGATCCACTGTTGGGTCATCAAAATCCATTTCAAGTGTCATTCTCTATGATCCCACCCACTTCAAAGTTAACATCCTTGATCCCCAATCCATCATGCACATCCACACACATACCGTCTTTGTGGAATCAAACCATGAGGTGCTTGCAACTGAAAGACAAATCGAATGATCACCAGCATCCACTGAAGTAAACATGAATCGACCACTAGGTTGATCTTGTCGGTTGACGAGAATGTGTTCTTGAGCCACTTCCTATATAGCCTCGCCTTAGTTTTTATTCTTGCAACACGCGCGATAGCCAACATTTACCTCGACCGTAATCTGGATTTTCACTTCGGGATTGACGATCCACTGGTTTTGGACGGCAGAGAATTGTTCAGCTTTATAAATGCCTGGAAACGAATGGGTGAGTAATAGAAAGAAAGAGCAAGAGCAAGAGCAAGAGCAACGCACCTGTAACCAAGGTCTCTTGTGGTAGTTCCTCAAGGAAACACTTTTTCTCGGAACCCTCCAAGTAGAAATACAAGGCATCAGACACCTGAGCCATGAGGAGAATGGCCACCATCAGGGCACCAGCCAAGCATCGCGTGCCAAACATCGAGATCAGGCAAGTAGTTGTTGAAGAAGAAAGCGCGGGCTCATAGTGCTGGTGTCATGGTACAAGATGATTCGCCAACAGCGGTCGGGATATGTTTTTACGTTGCACATTCAAGAAACGACGTGTGTGTGGTGCGTGAATCTTACATCATGGATAAAGTAGGTCTACTTTTTTTTTGCTAGCGTGAAAAAGAAACGTTGGGGAGGGGGTTTATGTTGTTCAACAAAGCAATTTATGCGAGGGGGGGGCCTAACACACACCATTGCTGCTGCTGTTGCTGCACAATTTGGTTGGACGAGAAGATCAATTGCCTTTTGGCTCTAGTTTTCCCGAGATGATACATAAAAGCAATAAGAAATAAAGTGTGGTAGTCTTGTATTCATGATAAACCAAATTCAACATGTGTGTGTGTCTATGTAAGGTGGACCGTGCTCATTATGGTGTGACATTCTTTAAAGGCGTCGTGCTTTATTTTACCGACATGGGAGATGAATAAGAGAGAAAGATGAGATACGCATGGGTGTGTGTGCGTGTGTGTGTGGGTATACATTCAACAAGGGATGGAAAGAATAAAGAAATAGGATGATTTCAAATCATTTTCTCTAGAGAAAACGTAGCCGACAATGAGCTCGAAAGTACAAGAAACTAAGGGATGCTGCCAGAAAATGCCAGCAATGAATGCATCAAGCGATGATGTTTGTTATTGCTAAATTAGGGCTAGTCCAACTGAAACTTTCCTGGCGATTCTCTCAGTTTCCAAATTGTTTTATGCAGCGGTGGATATAAAATGCAACCCCCAGCGCGTCCCCTCCCCTTGTTCTCACTCATCGTTTTTCTTTCTTATCCATACCTACTATTATGAGCAAAGCCGTTGGAATTGATTTGGGTACAACCTACAGCTGTGTTGGCGTCTGGCAAAATGATCGTGTGGAGATTATCGCCAACGACCAAGGCAATCGTACCACTCCCTCGTACGTCGCTTTCACTGACAGCGAGCGTTTGATTGGTGATGCTGCCAAGAATCAAGTTGCTGTAAGTACACGTATACATACATACAATCAATTAGACCCATGTATATTAACGCTCGCTCTTTTTATAGATGAATCCTCACAACACTGTCTTTGATGCCAAGCGTCTTATTGGTCGTCGTTTTGCTGATGCTGAAGTGCAAGCTGACATGAAGCATTGGCCCTTCAAGGTCATTGATAGCGGAGGAAAGCCTATGATTGAAGTTGAATACAAGGGCGAGAAGAAGACATTCACCCCAGAAGAAATCTCATCCATGGTTCTTGTCAAGATGCGTGAGACTGCTGAAGGCTACTTGGGTACCAAGGTTGAGAGCTCTGTCATTACCGTCCCTGCCTATTTCAACGACTCCCAACGTCAAGCTACCAAGGATGCTGGTGCCATTTCGGGCATGAATGTATTGCGTATCATCAACGAACCCACTGCTGCTGCTATTGCCTATGGTCTTGACAAGCAGGCCAAGGGTGAACACAATGTCCTTATTTTCGACTTGGGTGGTGGTACTTTTGATGTCTCTCTTTTGACCATTGAGGAAGGCATTTTCGAAGTCAAGGCTACTGCTGGTGACACTCACTTGGGTGGTGAAGACTTTGACAACCGTTTGGTGAACCACTTTATCCAAGAATTCAAGCGCAAGTTCAAGAAGGACATCTCTGGCAATCCTCGTGCCGTTCGTCGTTTGCGTACTGCTTGTGAACGTGCCAAGCGTACCTTGTCGTCATCAGCTCAAACCTCCATTGAAATCGATTCACTCTTTGAAGGCGTTGACTTTTACACCTCCCTCACGCGTGCTCGCTTTGAAGAACTTTGCCAAGATCTCTTCCGCAACACCATGGAGCCTGTTGAAAAGGTGCTTCGTGATGCAAAGATTGACAAGGGCTCTGTACATGAAATCGTTCTTGTTGGTGGCTCCACGCGTATCCCCAAGATCCAAAAGATGGTGTCAGACTTTTTCAATGGCAAGGAACCAAACAAATCCATCAACCCTGATGAAGCCGTCGCTTATGGTGCTGCCGTTCAAGCTGCCATTCTCACTGGTGATACCTCTGAAAAGACCGATTCACTCTTGTTGCTTGATGTTGCACCTTTGTCTCTTGGTATTGAGGTATGTATACCCTGTGTGTGTGAAATAGTGAGGCTATGTTACTTACCTTTTTTGGTATAGACTGCTGGTGGTGTCATGACACCTCTCATCAAGCGTAACACAACCGTGCCTACCAAGAAATCCGAAATCTTCTCAACCTATGCTGATAACCAACCTGGTGTCTTGATTCAAGTCTTTGAAGGTGAACGTGCACGTACCAAGGACAACAATTTGCTTGGCAAGTTTGAGCTTACTGGCATTCCACCTGCACCTCGTGGTGTCCCTCAAATTGAAGTCACCTTTGATGTCGATGCCAATGGTATCTTGAATGTATCAGCTCTTGACAAGACCACTGGCAAGTCCAACAAGATCACCATCACCAACGATAAGGGTCGTCTTTCCAAGGAAGAGATTGAACGCATGGTGGCTGATGCTGAAAAGTACAAGGCTGAAGATGAAGCTGCTGCCGCTCGTATCTCTGCAAAGAATGGTCTTGAGTCTTATGCTTACAACTTGCGCAACACCTTGAATGAAGAAAACGTCGCTAGCAAGATCGAGGCTGATGACAAGGAAAAGCTCAACAAGGCTATCACTGAGACAATCGAGTGGCTCGACAATAGCCAAGAAGCCAGCAAGGAAGAATACGAAGGCAAGCAAAAGGAACTTGAAGAAGTTGCCAACCCCATCATGCAAAAGATGTATGCAGCTGCTGGTGGTGCAGGTGGTCCTGGCGGTGCTGCTCCAGGTGGTTTCCCAGGTGGTGCTCCTCCACCAGGTGGTGGTGCTGGCGGTGCCGATTCTGGTCCTACTGTTGAAGAAGTCGATTAAAGGGCTCCTTCCATATAGCCAACAACAACATCATCATCTTCTCATCTCTTACCTTCTTTCCATTGCTCCCATTCCCCTACCCGAACACGACATGAAATCTTAGGAATTGTACAAATTTGAAAACAAACAAAAAGCTTTTTTCTCTCGCTCTCTCTCTTACCTTCTTTGTAATAAATTCAGAAAGTTGGTCAGGCTCTTTTGTATATAGCTCTGGGAGCCTGGCTTCTAAAAAAACATTCTTGTTACTTTTTCATGTTGTTTACACGTTTATGAAAGCTCAATTCATGGCCATACATTGTCTCAATATCAAGCAATCAAAGTTTGGCATAACGTCTTCTTCCTTGTGCTACTGTATCAGGTAATATCCAAAAAAGAAACAAGGCCATGATGATCACATAGCAACCTCCCACGTGTTCTCAGCTATGTGCAATTACCGATCTCTGGCACACAACGATCCTTGTGCCTTCCCCACTTGAGGGCGTATTCAACCTTTGTATGGTATTGTGTTAGCTATAGTAGGTGCGTTTCCATGGTGATGGTTGCATGGCAACCAAGTATGTAGTAGGATCGATGCATCAATCATGTTGACAAGGCGTGTTGCGCGTTTCGTTTGGTGCCATCTAACAATAAACATTATGCATTGCAAAGTTGTCACAGCAAAGGACCATCATTCAAAACATGATACTCCTTGTAATAGGGTAAGGGGAAAAAAAGAAGGTCGTTTATTATTAGGGGATGGAGTATTATTATAAGCTTAAAGGGCAAAGAATGTACATACGTAGGGTAGCAGCAGCAAGTGGCGGTATTAGTGATGATATTATAGGTAAAAGAAAAGCAAAAAAGTGGTACATAAAAAGGTATATCGGGATGGTGTATAAGTAGCATTAGATTAGATTAGTTTGGTGTAGTGGATGCAAGTCTTGAAAAAGATGTCAATGTTGGATTGCTGTTGTTGCGGGGAGTTGCACCCGAGCACATCGGTCGCATGTCTCGCCAATGATCAGGGACCTTCCACATTGAGTGCAAGTGTGGCGGCAATTTGGGCAATGCCAGCCACGGTCTAAGGGTCGCCCACACCCACATACTGCAACTCCATCCTCATCGTCGTCTCCATAATCTGAAACACTTGATGCATCATCATCTTGGTCATATTGTTGGTATGCATCATGATTGACATCATCGTACTTGATGGATACCACTGGCACTGCTGTTGTTGTTGTGGCGAGTGTTTTCGGATGTTGTTGTTGTGGTGGTGGTGCAATGACAGCAGCATCATCAGTAGTAGTGGTCATGTATTGAGCATTGGGTGAGGATGTTGGCTTCTTGAAGTTTGCAATTGTGCGATGACGTTGTAACTTTTTGAAAAGACGTGACAAACAATTCAGGCGTAATGTAGGACGGCGCATTATTGATATAATGTTTGTTTGTTTTGTGTGTATGTGTATGTGTGTGTATGCGTGTAAGCAGACGATGAGAGATGGGGGATTTGACATGATGATCGACACAACAAGGCCTTTATATTTAGCAGTGGTTGGAAACGAAATGGCGAATGCGGGATGAATGGTCCGGATGATGTAGCACAAATTAATATCGAGCGATCCAGTTGAAGCGAATGGATTTTATTTCGTTCACGATGGATGAAATAGCAGTGACGAAGATTGATATCAACTGCCCGGGTTTTGGGTGCTTCTTTTTTGCTTTGTACAACATGCCGCATCTATTTTTGGTGCGCATCATCTTTTGACGTTTGCTTCACACACGTAACACCCTATCGTGACACATCACATCTTGTGCCTTTATACAACTTGACTTTAGTGAAAGCGCGCGCTCTTTTTTTTTCCAACCACTTGTTTACCGCCAAGGTACATACATACATACATGCATGCATGCATAGGATCATGTTGACGAGAAAAAGTTGTTGCCATGGATACATACATACATGCTCATTCCGTGCGCATATTTATTGCGTGCATAGAAAGCAGCGGAGGCGGCAATAGACCGAAGCGGCAATAGGCGCTGTTGCTAACGTAGATTGCTTATACTTGGCAGTAGAGTAATAGCCACGTGGAACGACAAATTGGCGGAAACATAAAGAGCGGGATACGCCATGTGTTACTCGTCATCAGCAACAAGGTGTGTTTATGCGCCCGAAACGCCACGCTCTTTCTACACTTTACCACGCGCTTGTTACTTTTTCTCTCTCACATCCAACCCGCTCCGGAATCCGGAAGCATGCCCATCCGTTTACACAAGCTGCTTTCCATCCATATACGGGATAGGTACATCCCCCATTTACATCATCCGTACTAATGTGTCGGTAAATCCTTCCTACTTATCCATCTGCTGCTCATCATGTTGTTGATGCTGCTGCCAAGTATGCGGCATATCAATGATAGACGTGTTTTGTGTTCATCCACATCCGCGGTCTTGTCGTTTGTGTTTCAACATCGTTTACAGTAGCAGCACGCGGTTGGCGGCGTTAGATTGCTGCTATCCGTACGAACAACAAGCAATGGCGTTAGATTTGAAACAATGTAAACAGCTTGTCAAAGAGCTTGTCAACTTTGTCGGACACAGCATTCCGATGCCCCTTCCGAAAGGTATATAAACATCTCGCTACTTGCATGCTCGTTTGTTTCTCCCATCACAACAGTAATCAATCATCAAGCTACCACCACACCAACAACAACACAATATGCCTCCAGAGAGACCAACCAAACCCGCTCTTCCAAGACCTTATCCTAAGCCTGTCAAGCGACCAAGATAATCATCATCATCATCGCAAGGCACCCGATCCATCCAACAATGATCTCACACATTTCTTTTTTTTTTCTCACCATATCATCACACTATACCTAACACCGTTCCTTTCCTTGTACATATGTCTCTAACGTTTCTCGACAACGTATTACTTTTATCAAGCAATTAGAGTAGTCCTTTTTCTACCGACTTTTTGTTGTACATGTGTTTTCCTTATACTCTCTCACTCTCTTCTTCTCTTATATTGCAAAATCACACTTTTACATTATGTCCTCCTCTACTATTACTTTCCTTCCCATCCAAAGCACACTAAAAAGTTTTTGATATTCTGTTGCTCTCATTCATTCATTCATTGTCATAACGTGTCCTTTTTTTATCTAAGCAGTTGACTGGCAAATCTATCCTTTGCTGTTTGTACGGCTTGCATCAATGTCTGTTCACCAAATGGGATATCCACAACGTCCAAACGAGGCTTTGATACTCGGCTGACGACTGCATTAGCGTCCGTTTCCAAGATGATTCTAAGCAGCAGCAGCAGCAGCATAGCATTTTAGCGCCCACCCAATCATTCGTACAACCTCATCTCACACTTACCCTTCATCCACAATCTCGTCGAGACATAGTACCACCAGATCCAGATTTTCCATAACTGATTGCTTCTCCACTTGATATCTGAGCAATGGGGGCCGCATTAGCTATTATCCTCACTATACCACACAAAACGCGCGCCTTACCTTAATAACGTGGACACCGCGTCGTAAAAGGCGTTCAACATACTGAGTAGGATCAGCTCGTTTTCCTCTGTTGACCCAACCACGTAAAATGAGATATCAATGTTGGATCGGTATAGCACTACTTGGTTGTCGTATAGCACCACTTCGCCTAGTAGTAGCATTCAATGAGTCGAAGCCCCATAACGGGATGGTCGTCAGATGGAGAGTAGCAAGTCAATGTACCTTGTGCACGCTTTGTCTTGTCGTATAAACCTTTCTCGAATGCCTTTTGTTCCTTCAGATTGGTGTAATCCGAGCCATAATATTTTGCAAGAACACGGTTGCCTTCAGCATCTAAAAGGAGAACAGCCTTGATGGAATACAATGATAGATTCACCATGTTGTTGCAGGATACAGGGAGCGTAAGAGGAGGGACCGTATGCCACTTTGTCCAATGGCGCCGACGTCGCAGATTGAATATGGATGCAACATGTTGCTTGAATAGCAACACCTTTATTGTACTCGTCAAATAAACCATTAAGTGTCTTTTTACTCTAATGCGTCATCATAAAAGCACATGAGGAGTGGTCCTGGTTGCTCGCTTCACTTGTAATCTTTTTTTATTGAGTGATTAACAAGCGTCATTACAACTACTGTTGCTGCTGTTGTGTAAGCTGATCAGATGATGGCTCGGCTTGTTGTGGTTCTTGGTTGGTTGTTGTAGTTGTAGTCGTCATCGTCGTCGTTGTCGTTTCATGATGGATCTGATCATAAGCCCTGTCGGCAGCAGCTATGGCTTCATCGCTGTACAATAGAATGGTGGATGTCTTTGATAGCTTCTCCTTCAAAATTCGAATACATTCTTCGTCTCGACATTCGGCACAGAGTTGGATCAAGAACATGGTATATTCATGGACGTATTCAAAGTACTTGCCAGGCCTTGGAAAAAAAAGACGATTAGCATGCTTTTGTATGAACATTCACACACACACACACACACACACATCCTATCTTACCTCTCGAATGCAGGCTTCCAAATACTCGCAAGTGCTTTTACGGCCTTGAGAGAAAAGAGCGTTTTCATATGTTGTAGAGCTTGCTCGCTACTGCCATAAATGTGATATTGCATCCAAGCTTGCTATAACATACGGGGACGAATAAGGTTTAGCACATCAAAAGACAAGTGATGGATAGCACTTACCCTATAAACGGGACGATGGTGCCACTTTTTCTTATCAGCCTTTTGCACTTCCAACAGCTTCTTGTAGATCGCACCATATGCAGCCATATCTGAAGGATCTGGCCCATTTTCTCGAACATGCATTACTGGTTCCCAATCATCGGGTGGTGGTCCACCAGCTTCCTCATTCATGCCCTCAGTACTTTGCTGCTGCTGCTGCTGCTCTTGTCGTTGATCCACTGTAAAGTTAAGGTAATGCATCACATCATTCGACTATACATGATGCATCGTTAGCACATGATTGGATAAAGCAAAACGTTGGGTAACTTACATTGATTTCTCCCTTGTACAAGTACTTGGCCAGCACCGAGCATAGCTTGTATATGGGTTCTAATATCTTGCCTTGGCTACCGTATTGAGCATTACGCTGCGGAGCATTCTCCAATGCCTTGGCAAAGAAATCCAGCACTTCCTACAATTTGGGATGAGTGAGTGGATACTTTACATCACCATCATGTTGCTTACCTTGGGTGGTCGATTGAGCTTTTTGTAACATTTTCCAAGCATAGTGAAACATCTACGGCGGCGGGATGATCAATAACCCATATCCACTTAATCATAACTCCTTATAGTACCTCCACTCGGATTTATCACCGGATCGATATTTGAGCGCGTTGCCAAAGAGCACCACTGCCAGCTTGTATGCATTACTCGTAATAGTTGGATCCAGAGATTGCTTGACACGTGTAATTGCTCTTCGTATCATCTTGGGACGAAAGGCTGCACCATACATGGGAGGACATGTCATAGAGTATAGCAGCATACCGAACGTGTTGAAAAGTTCATATAAAGCGCTGCTTTCCATGCCTTCACTCCCTTGCACACGTAACAGATACCACGCTCTCCAGAATGCATAATACGCTTTCTATGTAAATGTATCATCTTAGCATTGTAGGCTTCAACATGTGTCTATTCCTTACCCTATGGTATTCCGCGATCCGGTATCGGTGTGAATTGATATTTGTAGCACTCCAGATCAGCTCCTCGTCCGCCAAATGCAAAAGACATTGACCCAATTCAGACCAACCATTGATATCGTAAGGATTCAAAATGACATGATTCTAAAAACGCCTCGTTTAGAAATGAGTGGATCGGTGCATACATTTGTTACTCACGGTAAAGAGATTGACAGCTTCTTCCAAATCATCCATGGTCTTTTCAGGATTCACCTTGGCACGGTTCTTGATCTGCATACGCAACACTTTGCCTCCGATCCAGAATATCTTAAAGTAGACAGCTACGTCCCATCATCATGTGAGCATAGTAATTTCAATGCCAAGGAAAACTTCACTTACATGAAGCGGATGATCTTTCAGGGTAAATCTGGTTTGCCGATATGCTGGATTCTCTCATCATGTCGCTGATCGAATGCTGAAGTTTGATATCATTTGCTAGGTAATTGGTGACCACTGCTTGATTCAGCTGAATACGACCTACACAAAGTGTATCTTTGTTAATTGGGATCATCGATGCCATAAAAGGATGATGCTTACTGTCATTGGTGGGAAGGGATTGAAAGAGATCGGAAACCGTATCAACCACATCCTTGAGATCATTACGCAGTGGAGCGCCTTTGTTCAGCCGTTTTGTGACCGAATCGACCACGAGGGCAAATAAAGCTTCAGCGGCCTTTTGATCAAGCTTCTCATGGTTTGCATTGTGTTCCTCGATATTATCTGAATCAGCCTACATAGCACCCATGTTTTAGAGATGAGGATTCCAATCATAAAAATAGGCTACTCACATCCAGATGTAAACCGTACAGGCAATGGTAGCATTGATAGATGCCAATCCGATATTGGGTTTTGCTTTCTGTTGCCAAAAGATTCAAGAGATGCTTCAAGAAGATGCCTAATGAAAATAAAAAAATGAGAAGAAAAATCATTAACAAAGCACATCTTGCTCACCTTTACAAACACCACATATCTCTCGCTCTCCCAATTCATCATGCAAGGTGATCAAGGTTTCGGCAAGCTTATCTTTGATGGTCTTGGCAGTTTCATTGTCGGTGGAATTCGCCATATCCTGAATGAACGTTGATAATAGCACCCAAATCTCAACGAGGACGATGTTGAAGCTACTTGAGCGTGTGACCTGAGAGGGTACATGGGGTTCCACACCGTGTATCTTAAAGTTGTTGACCAAGGGAATAAAATCTGGGTGCCGGAAGATGTAGTACACGGTCATCTGCAGCGCAATAAGCAGTGCATCGCCGCTTTTGCTATCCATTGATTCTTTCAAGCCTGCCAATTTGCTGTATTAGCAATCAAGTGACAAGGAAGTATCATGTTACTTACACATTTTCCCATCATGAATCAAAGCAAGAAGGTCTCGTAAACAGCTCTCAACCTAAGTCGGTGAGTTGTCAGCTTTGCATTCGTTTCAATCAATAATAATGACATACCCGTTTCAAGCACTTTAGAAATTCCATATCAGATTCCTTGGTAGAGTTTTGGCTGCTTGCGCTCTGTGAGCTCCCATATCTGACAAGATCTTCCATGACTTGTGAAAATGTATACAGCAGGCATCGTCCTTGATTTTTGTAGTCCTTCTTCTCTGTATACGACTAAGTAGGTAGTGTAAGTACCATGAACAATCCCCATATAGATCCTCAGCAAATTTACCTTTGTAAGCAGTGATAAGACGTCATAAATTTCTTGCCGAGTCATAGAGCTTTGCTTGGATTCGATAACGTTGCCCAGTTCGCTGATCACCCTGCTATGATTCTTGTTCTTGTACTCTCCTTTGGCGATCAAAAGCTTTCTACCCAACTCCATCGATAGTAGCTTCTCATCGACTGTTCTCAGGCTGATCAATGCATCGTATCGGCTATAGAAACAAACATTGCATTAGCATGTACACCACCCGCCCATATGCTTAGGTTGCATCCATATACCTGTTAAGGTGTATCGTTGATGATTGTGTTGAATCACGAGACAAAAATTCCTTGCATCGCTGGTACCAGTTGCATGCTTGCTCAACATCTTCCTCGCATTGGCCCAACTTTCCTTTCAAAAACCAGTATCGTAGCATGATTTCCTCGTGATCCTGGGATAGCGAGCTGATATCATCATCCAAAGTCGATGCCAATGACAAAGAATCCAGCAAATTCTCCATCACAAGTCGCTCAAAGATACCAATCCAAGCATTGCAAAGACGTGTGTACTCCCGAATAGGCGTTTCCAGTGATTGCTTTGCGGTGGCGGATTTTCGTTTTGATGTTGTTGCTTCCACGAATGATAAGATTGCTTGGATAAGCTTATCCATGAGATGTTCACAGATGCTGAGCACGACCTGTTTCATGTAATAAGGATTGTTAGGTGTATAAAGAACCCCATTTTCATCATGTACGTACCTTCATTCGAGTTTCATTGTTTTCCCATTCACCATACATGATCTGATCCAAAAGCGTGGGATATAATGTAACCAGGGATTCGACCAATAAATCAAAAACGTCATGCTGATTGGCGTGTTCAAATTCAGTGGTGGATGGTAGCAGTAATTGGACAATAAGCGAACAAAGTACGTCTGCGATACCGGAATTGCTGGTATTCACTTGCTCGATAAATCCTTGAATAGGGGTGGTGGTGGTGGTGGTGTTGTTCATGGATGAAGGCGGAGATTGAGTTGTCTCGGATACTGTAAAGGTCGCGTAAAGGCGGGCGTCTTTGTTCTCCAAGTGCGATTGTTCATGCATCCGACTGAGGTAGAAAGGTGGGGGGGGGGTGAAATGTGAATCATCATAACATTGACCAAAGATAGGCTTTCTCTACTTACTTGAAACGACTGGTGTCAAATTCCCAATGTGCGTTCCTTCCTAGCTCAGACACTTTGGTATCGAACCATTTCCAAAAAGAATCCATATCCATTGTGTTGAATGCCTCTGATACAGGGTGATGATATTGCGACTTGGGTCGATTCATAGCACTGTCGTCTGGAAGTATATCGAATAAAGATTGCACCAACTTTGTCAATTGGATCTCTTCTTCAAGCATCTTTCGCTTCGAGCTCTCTTCATTCTCAATCTTCTCTTTTTGCCGTCTCGATATCCTATAATACACCACCAGCTATTAATTCACGTGATCATATCAAGAGAATATTTCATCCTCTTACCGTAGACTAGCCCGTTTATCTTCCTCCTCTTCCTCTTCCTCTTCTTCTTCTTGCTCATCATGCTCCTCTTGTTCCTCCTCCTCCTTCTTCTTTTCCTCAGAGTCACCCTCCTTTTGTTGCTGCTCGCCTTCCTTCTCTTCTCGTTCATTGTCGCCTGTATCATCCATGGATCGTTTGCGTTTCAAGGAGTTGATCATTTCAGGGTTGTCATCATTGTCAGGCTGTGTATCCATTTCTTGACTTGATTGTGGTGGTGGAGGAGGAGCTGGGGAGTTGCTGCTTTTCTCTGAAGGTGAGAGTACAACGATAGCATCCTGTTCGGCAATGTCCATCATTTGCGTATCCTCAGGTTCATCCACTGTGATCGGTACAATAGCGGATTCTGGTTCGGGTATAGTGGATATGCTGGTATCAGCCTCAACGTCAAGGTGAATGGCGTTGCTTATCGAAGAATGTGTTGAACTCCTAATAATAATAAAAAAAGTTACGACTCGTATCCATTACAAGCATGGCAACGTGTTTCTTACGTTTTATCGTCTGTCATTTCTTTGTACCGTAGCAAGAGTGATTCCAATAGCGTTTTCCAATCCATCTTTGTGATGTTAATGGATACTGTATTCTCAATAGGCGATTCGGTGGTCACTTCTGATTCATCCAAAGACGTCGTCGTCACTGCATCCATTTTCTCTTCCAATAATCGTCGCATCGGCCAGTTGGGATGTTGTTTCAATACCACTTGCATATACATACGACACGTATCATAATCACCAATGTCCACCAACACCTATGTTTTCGAAAATAAGTATATCTAAGCGTGCCGTAGCCGTATGTGTGTGTCACCTATCTTACCGTGCATAATCGTTCCATGCAAAGCCATTGGATCGGTGAGAATGCCATTGATGAAAACATGTTCTCCATTGCTTCAGGGACAGTAAATTGATCGTGGGAACCAGCGCGATATAAATCCATCAAAAAGAATCCATTCTCATACGCTAGCCGGGCTAATCGAATGTTGCCGGAATCGTATGCAATGTTGCCAATATTGTACCACAATGATTGATCGCCGTCGTCAACGCTCGCAGCCTACATATTCTCCATCAGCATTGTTCTCCCTATGTATGTATGTATGTATGTATGTATGTTGTTACCTTGAGATAATAGCTGATGGCCTTTTTGGCTATGTCGGCTTTAGGTACATCAGGTGCATGAAGTTCGTGCTCCAACAACGACGCATAGTTTTTGAAAACGAGAAAACGCAACCGAATCAAAGGAGAGCTTTTGACGCTTGAAGCTTTGCTCGAGTCCTATATTATTGAACGCGTTGTTAGATCATCATCATCATCATCATCCCTATATGAACGCGCGTGGACGACTTCCCCCCTCCGTTCGAACGTTACCATGGTAACCGATCCATCTTGAATCAGATCATCGGCAAGTATCTCCTCGTATATTGACTTTGCTTCGCTGTATCTCTCTTTCTGGTGCAATCGTAAAGCCTCCTGGTACATTTTGAGGTAGCGTTCGACCTGTAAAGTGGATCAGTCGTACAGCGATCGGTGGTAGCCAATAGTGCGTTAATTTACCTGGACCTCTGTTGGATCGGTGTCCGGAACGACGATGCCTTTGTTGAGAGAGTTCCATTGGAGCTAAAAGTTATGAGTGAATACTAAATAAAAGCAGCGCGTGTGTGCATTGTACCATGTTACTGTCCAAGCGTCAAGTATAAAGAGGTTAAGGAAGAGGGCGCTTTATGCTGAATTGAATTTGCTCGATCCTAGTCAGGAAGTTGACTTGATTCCCCGACGTCTTTATTAAGTGTGCCTTCAGTCAATCAAACAATAGGACCAATGAATAATGAACGTGCTATTGTATTGTCTATATCATCAGCGATGCGGCTTATGGCTATTTATGATTGCTCAAGGATTCACATTACGATTGCTATAGAAGCTCTTTGATCCACTTGAAAGCTCTTTTGAAGAACATCTATAATACACCGCAACAAGGATGGCGAGTTGTGTTAATAAAAGGAGTGTATATTTTCGTATGGATGATAGTTCAATTGAAGCTACTTGTGAAGAGGATGCATACAATCATCCAAAATGGTACCTAAGCATTGATCATGTGATTTCCAGCGGGATTGCTAAAAGACGCGCTTGTCAATCAGCGCGTTTCCTTCACGCGTGTGTGTGTGAGTGCTCTTTTGCGTTTCCGCCATTCAACAACAGCACCACCATGTCAAAACAATCCTCGCTTCTATCCTTCTTTGGCAGCAAGAGGCAAAAAGTAAAAGCTCAATTCACTCGACTCGGTTGTCATTATCGCTCAACTTTATTATCTAATAGACTGCACCACCTACGCCTAAGCCTGCTGTTGCAACGACTACCACCAATACGACTCCTAGCCCTTCTCCTGCCATCAGTGAAAAAAGAGATCTGGACGACATTGCTCCACCAACAGAAGACGACAATGACGAATTGGATTCACCGATTACGCCTCGTAGGTTATATACTACTACTACTCCTTTTAACAACTGAATTCTGACAGCTCGGCTCCCGTTTGGTAGGCGTGAAGCGACCTCGTCGACGCTATATTCCCGGTCTCAGTGACGATGATGATGATGATGATGATAACAACCGTGATGATGATTATATACCAGAGAGCATGGATATCACTGGTAAAGTGAACGAACGAACGATGGATGGCATTGGCTTTGATACGGGGGTAACTGATCTCGAAAGATGTAGAAGACTCGCCAACACCCAAAGCTCCCCTCTCCGTTTCTCCTTTACAGAATCGCATCAAGGTAGTAGAGAAAAAACAAGTAGCATGATCAAAAAGAGGATGGCTTACTTTGGTATTATTCTCCATTAGGATATCTCTCTCGGTGCCAGGGCAAGAACCTTTGAACCAAAAAAGCCAGCTCCCAAGAAGGCTCTTGAGCCATTCAAATCAGCCAAAGCCTCTGAGGTTTGTCATTTATTGTAATGTGGTAATAGCATTGATTAACATTGCCTCTCTCTCTAGGAACCTGATCGATACCCGTGGCTTGTGGATATCAGGGATGCTGAAGGAAATCGCCCAGGTAAGGTTGAAAGAGGAAATCGGACATCATGTCCATTTGGATATTGAAACCCGCTCTTTTTGCATTAGGTGATGAGGATTATGATCCACGTACACTTTACGTACCATCATCGCACTGGTCCAAGTTTACGCCCTTTGAACGTCAATTCTGGGAAGTGAAATCTAAAAATTGGGATTCGGTAAGTTGAATGATTGACCCTCCCCTCCGCCGTGCTTGATCCTGATGGCAAGTTTGTTTTGTAGGTGGTCTTTTTCAAAAAGGGCAAATTCTATGGTAAATGAGACATGGCTCCCAAATGAATGAATGCTGATAGTAGTACCCCTTTTTTAGAGTTGTATGAATCCGATGCGGATATTGGTCACCAATTGTTCGACTTGAAGATGACGGATCGCGTCAATATGCGTATGGTGGGTGTTCCTGAATCGTCGTTTGATGACTGGGCAGCTCGTTTTGTTGCCAAAGGGTATGTGCAAGAGTTCATGAAGGAGGGGAGGAAGAACATGATATTGATTGTTCATTGTTATCAGTTACAAAATTGTTCGAGTGGATCAATTGGAAAACATGATCGGCAAACAAATGAGAGAAAAAGGCAGTACAAAGGACAAGGTCATCCGAAGAGAAGTTACTGGCATTCTTACTGCTGGTACCTTGGTGGATCGAGGACTCCTTATTGGTGATGAGAGTGTGTATTGCATGTCACTCAAGGTAATAGCGAAAAAGGAAGAGTGCCAGAAGCATCAAGGAATTGAAAAAGGGTTATAGGAATACGAGGATAACAACAAACTTGAGTTTGGTGTCTGTTTTCTTGATGCTGCTACCTCCGAATTCAACATTTGCCAGATCGTTGACGACAAAAGCCGCAGCAAACTTGCAACTTTACTTCATCAGATCAAGCCTCGAGAATTGATCACCGAAAAGGTGTGTTTGAGGGAGAAACGCAATATGGATTTGGTATTAATTATTGTTGTCTAGGGTCATTTGAGTGCTGAAACAACACGGCTTATCAAAAACACATTGACCAACTTGCTTTGGAATCAAGTCAAACCGGGAAAGGAATTCTGGGATGCGATTACTACCGAAGATGAAATACGACTTGGCGACTATTTCAAAGGTAACCTAATGTGCAATGGCAAAAAAGGGGCACGCATTGATTGAATCTATTCATTAGATGGGCGTCCATCCGCTTTAACATCGTTGGCGGATAAACCTTTGGCCATATCAGCGTTCGGCGGTATGATGAGCCATTTACGTATGGTAAGATCGCACACCCGATACGCTCATGTTTTTTTAGCTCTCTCTTAATGACGCTTTTCTTTGATAGTTGAAATTGGACAATGAGCTTATCACTGCAAAGAATATCCATATCTATGACCCTATTCGAGGCGCCACTTCACTTATCCTTGACGGCCAAACGCTGATGAATTTGGAGATTTTCGAGAATGATCAAGGCTCCTTCGAAGGCACACTTCACAGCATTTTAGCTCGATGCCGTTCACCCTTTGGAAAGCGATTATTCCGACAATGGCTTTGTCATCCCTTGCGTGAACCTCGTCGTATCAATGAACGCTTGGATGCTGTAGACGACTTGCTTCAAAACCACCACATACACGAAGACCTGAATGGCCAGCTTGGTGCTTTACCTGATCTAGAAAGATTGATTTCCAGCATTCATTCCAAGAGAATCAAGGTGGATGATTTCTTGATAGCGTTGAAAGGCTTTGAAAAGACACAGGTATGAATCTCGGGTGTCGTTGGGATACACATTGCTTATTGGGCAAACAATATAGGAAATGATGGATGCTCTTGCCGAGAACCGTGATCAATTCAAGTCACCCTTATTCAAGAAAATCATCCATGAGTTCCCCAAGATTCAGGAATACATTGATTCTTTGAGAATGACTTTCCATGTGGATCCAGACGTTACTGTGGATTGTAAGTAGAATGGCAATGTCCCTCTTTTCAAATGATGTTAACGTTTCTTGATAGACCAAAAGATCACTGCTTTGATTCCAAGGGACAACACCAACGAGGAATGGGATTCACTTATGGGGAAGATGCAAGCTGCAGAAAACGATTTTGATAAGCATCTCAGGAATCGTCGAAGAGAGCTTAGGTAAGCACCACCACCACCAGCATCTCACATGAGTATTATTATTCACAATGGATTTTCTTAGCTGTCATAAGCTTGAATACAAGCACATGAACAAGGACATCTATCTTATCGAGGCTCCAAAGAAATTCGATCCTCCTCGCCAATGGGTGAAAATTTCGGGTACATCGGTAAGTGTGTGTGTGATCTATCATGTTTTTATCCTCCAACTCACACACTCACACTATTCAAGGCGGTAGTACGTTACCTCGATCACCAGCTCAAAGACAAGATCCAAGGATACAAGGAACTCAGGGAAACCAAATCCGCCTTCATCAAAGATTTCAGCAAAGTGGTTTATGAGCAATTCGATCAGAATTACACCGTTTGGTTGAAGGCTGTTCGCTGTGTTGCCGAAATTGATGCATTGGCTAGTCTCGCCAAAGCATCTGCTTATCTCGGAGGTTTGTTATAGGAAGCTACATACTTGATGGATAATAATACTAATCATGCTTTCTATAGAATCGTGTCGGCCGGAGATACTAGACCAGGAGGAGAGCGTGGTCCAATTTGAGCAATTGCGCCATCCATGTGTCATTACAGGGTGAGTTAAAAGGAGGAGGGGGATGTATTGTATTGAGCTATGGGTAGGTTACTTTGCTCATTCTATGATTCCAACAATAGACCGGGCCAATCCTTTATACCGAATGACATTACGATTGGTGGACAAGATTCTTCCATCCTCGTACTCACAGGACCCAACATGGGCGGTAAATCGACGTTACTACGACAGGTATTGTATGAAGGTGGGGATTTTCAAATATGGGTTATTGATGCGAGATGATGAATGATTAGGCTTGTGTTGCAATCATCATGGCACAATTGGGATGTTATGTGCCTGCCACATCGTGCCGACTCACTCCCTGTGATCAAATCTTTACACGTATTGGTGCCAACGATAATATCATGGCCGGTCAATCCACCTTTATGGTTGAACTTCAAGAGACGTCAAAGATCCTTCGTGAAGCCACACCACGATCGATGGTGATTCTGGATGAGCTTGGTCGTGGTACATCGACATTTGATGGCTATGCCATTGCCTATGCTGTGTTGCATCATCTTGCCACCCATGTTGGATGCCTGAGTCTTTTCTCTACACACTACCATACTCTATGTCAAGAGTTTGAACAGCATCCTACTATCAAAAACATGCACATGTAAGTTGTTGGAGATAGGACAGGAGAGCATATAACCGGTTGGTTGATCTCACCATCATCGTCCTTATTATAGGGACTATTTCATTGATGATCAAAGCAATCGAGTGACCTTCTTATATAAGCTTGTGGCTGGTATATGTGCGAAATCCTTTGGTATGAATGTGGCGCACATGGCGGGTGTTCCTCAAGACATTATCAACAAGGCATCCGAGATGGCAGAGGAGTTTGAGCGCAAACATCGATTGAAGGATTCAACCTATGCCATGGATGTGGATGGGCAGAAAAAGTCATTTTCACCAGCAGTATTGGCTGACATGAGCGACATTTTCCGTGGTGAGGTGGTGGAACCCAAAGTGTTAGAACGCATGATCAAGAGCATTATAAGGAGTCTTTAAAAAAATCGAATGTACATAAAATATCAACTTTGCTTTATTGTGTAAAAGTAGTAAACAAAGCATTTGGTCCTCTCAAATATATGCAACAAGGGATAGCAATGTGATTGGCTTGTTGCCATCCACTCAACTAACGGGTCGGTCGGTCGGCGGCGGTTGGGGGGCGGGGGTGCTGGCGCTGCTGATCGCTAATTATTGAGAGCAAGATGGTGTGATAGAGGATTCTTCCCTTCTTCCAAGCCCGCAATCATGACTGTAAGCTATTGTGAATGGGGGATATGAAGCATGACAAGGAGGAAACGAGACGACGATGGATGAAATATGGAATGGATGGATGGATGGATGGATGAAATGGATAAAGGAATGGATGACTCACCATTCAACCTTTTGCTAGTTGGCTGTTGACCTTTTGAACCCCTCCGTTGAGCATGAGAAGCGCTCCCACAAGCTCAAGAGACTCGTACAGTCTCCCGACTCCTACTTCATGGACGTCAAGTGCCCTGGTAAATCACGATTGATAGAGAGATGGGGGGAAGTTTTGACTGACATTGGATCATGGGATCTATAGGTTGCTTGAACATCAGCACCGTCTTCAGCCACGCACAGACCGTTGTCTTGTGCTCGTCGTGCGGCACTGTTCTCTGCCAGCCCACCGGTGGTCGTGCTCGTTTGACTGAAGGTATATATAACTTTTTTATTCTCTCACATACATACATACATACATACATGACATGACATGGAAACTAATGATACTATGAATTATTATGATAGGTTCTTCCTTCCGCAGAAAGCACAACTAAGAGCAAACACAAAAAAGAACGGCAACACACCACATATATACGGGGATTTTATCTTAAAGCGATAGTTTCCACATGCAATAAGACAAGGTCAATGCGAGATTGCCAATAAAGACCATCTCGGTATCATCTAGTCTGGCAACATGGCGTCTTTGTTCCTTGCTACTAGCGGTAATGGTGATGCGTTTGGTATTGAGATCCAGCTCAAAGCGTACAAAGTAATTGAGCACAGCATTGGGGTTGAACAACAATAGCTGCTTGGACGTGGCCTTTTCAATGTATCCAGAGGTCATTGGGTAAAAGAGTCGCAGCATATCGAAAAGGTCGATCCATCGAAGATCCAATTGGGTAAATTGTTGGAATGGAGGCTCCGTTGCTATGACATCGAGATCATGGAATTGGGTTGCCAGGCGTATAAGGGTATCGGGTGGATCGGAGCGTTCGGTATTGTTGATGGCTTGATATAACGTGTTCCATGCAGCATCTTGATGTAATGCATAAATAACCTAAATACAACATGTATACATACATAAATGAGTGGGATGGGATGAGATGGGTTCTATGTGTGATACTTTACATGTTTGATAAGTCGATCAATACGAGTCTTGGCACGTTGAACAACATAGCCCAGAGTATACGATGCAGGTTGTAAAACTTCTTCCAACATGTCAGGGCGATAGCGTGGTGTCGTTGGCCATCCTCGATAAGTCACCAATACAAAGTACTGCAATCCAACGTAGCCATGAGGGTGATGGTGTTGTTGTTCGGAGGTCGTGGCACCACTACGATGAAGATGATGGCGTGACGATGATGGGTTGCTTTCTCGATCATTCATGGCGAGTGGTGTAACAATCAATGTGTGACGGAAGATAGCATTGTTGGTAGATGCTTGGTGAAACGATACATCGTCAGAGGAAACAAAGCATGCAATCGGCTTGCCATCAAAATAAAGGGGTCGAAATCCATACTTTGTAGCATCACGTAACATGGATGGCACCAGCTGGTCCACTTGTTCATCCAATGTGGCTTCATAGGTTCCTGTAACAACGCGATTACGTGCATAGCCTGGAGGTTTGTGGTACACGGAAAGAATATTCTTGATCACGTTCAATAAATGGAGTGTATCTGGAATAGCGTCGACGTCGTCCAAGCTTCGTTGTATGAATCGTAAATGAAAGTCATAGACAAACGAATTGACGTGGATCTTTTGCTTGAAACGATCACATTCCTCGGTAAACTCTTGGAAACTTGCTCGATGGACCTCATCATTCTTCTGTTCATATCCATAGGGTGCTCGTGTCAATCGCCCATAACGTCGATGGAGTGTATATAATGTCACAGAAACAAAATTATCTGTCAATTGGGCTTCACACATGATGGTCCCTCCAGGGAATACTTGCATAAGATACACAACCGGTGATGATACAAGGTAATCATCGGCGATGCGGAAGCTTGATAAATAGGTTTCAAGCTCTTCGGGATTCTCTTGACATGATACGCCATTCACGATAAGATGCATGCCTGCGCTCTCAAGATAGGATGCGTATTCGTTCATAAACGAGCGTGCAAGATGTTCGTACCATAAAGTCGTCTTTTCATTTCGCAAATCATGCTCACCGAAAATACTTGTAATATGCGACGCGGCATCAAAGCTGTTTGCTTCTGAAAAGATAAGAGGCGTGCGACAAAAGTGGAGGAGTCGGGATGCCTTGAGAATGAGTTTGAGCTCGGCCACAGTCATCATTTCAGTGTTTTGTGAAGAAGAAGTAATGGAACTGTATCGGGTTGCCCATTTGCTGTAGACTTTGAAGGCCTTTTCATGTGCAGCCTGGAGTTGTGTTCCACGCAAATAGCTTTCAAGGAATGGATCCCCGTGCCTGATAAGGTGATCCGGATGATGGACTGGTTCAGTGTACGCATCTCGTAATACATTGTTGTAGTTGGTAAGGCGAGCGGCTGTATATAATTCAGGTTTTTGTTGTTCAAGCTCTTTTTGCTCTGAATGATGGAAAAGACCCATTTTCTGATGCAAGATGTTGTTGAGCATTCGTATACGAGCATCCTGTTGTTCAATGGTGCGAGTGATCCTTTGCACAGCTTGTTCCAAGAATGGCTTGGTGTAATTGTAGGTGTACAACTTGAATCCATCCGCATCCAAAAACATGATTGAAAAGTAACGGCGATGGTGATTGTCTTGCGACTTTCCAATGCTGGAGGTGATTGAATCATGATGGCTGTGTATACTACGAGTGTCCATACGTGCAGCAGCAGGAGTCTCCAAATAGGAAGCAACATCATCCTCACGAGAAGAAGAAAATAGGTCGTTCAATCCACTGATAATTAAATAGTGTCGATTCTCTTGCAATGATGAGCTATGATGTGCCGTTGTTGTGCGTAATGAAGGTGGCGTATACGTTTGATATTTGTCGTCACGTGATACAAATGGCTTCAAATCGAGATTCAATTCTGCAAATTCGACATGCAATTGCTGGATAATGTTGATCACACACCATGGTTGGAGTTCAAGTTGCTGGGTCACCGTGTTCACCGAAGGATTATTCCATTCTTGTGCTTTTTGAAGTACTTGCATAAGCGTCGCCACAACGTCGTCTATGACTTCTTGGCCGACCGAATTAAACATGGCATCCACCAAGGATCGTTCAATAGCATAGTCGCAAATGCTTTGTCTGAAAATACCAAACAAGTGGTTCTGGAGTTGTTGTGCTTCAAGTTGGCCAATGGTCCAAATATCAACCGCTAGATATTGCTGTGTCTTGTTCATATCACCAAAAGAGCTCTCAACAAATATCTCCACATCGGAAGGCATAGGACTCTCGCTACTGCCACTACTCGTCGTCGCCTCTTGCACCATCTCCGCATCCACCAAAAGTAACGCAATACCGGCAGCACCTTGACCCACGCTCATTTCAAGATCAGAGCACACACCAGGACCTCGATTGATGCAATTATAGTAAAAGCAAAGATCACCAAGCGTCACGTCACTAGTAGGGTCCTCTTTTCTTTGTGTTGGTTAGTAAGACATGTCACTATTACGACGACAACTTTCAAGAATTACCTTGCATAATGCATCATGCGATGTCGCCTCAATGTAGATGGGACGCTGTTTCCACTCAATACACGCAATGTTCCTGCTGCTATAATATTCTCGCGCAACATGTGCAAAAATTCTGTGGTCCCGAGAACCGAATTTGACAATGGGAGCAGAGTACGAAGGGCGGGAGGCTTTTCCACTGGCAACATGAAATCGACATCCTATAATAATAAACCCTTCTATTTCAGTATACCCGCCCGCTGTTGTTGTTGTTGTAGCCAACACTTACTGCACGTGACAACTTCGAATTGGGATTACGCAACAAAAACTGCTGCACTTCTTTCAATGTGATATGAGCCGTCAGCCTGTTTTCGAGCAAATTCACCAACTCTTCCGATATCCATCCAGGCAAATCAACCCCATGCACCTCCAACACAAGCTCTCGTGCATCGGATGGTCTTGGTGCCTTTCTAGCATTAGGCGATTGGATAGGGCTACTTGTTGCTGCTGCTGCTTTTGGGCTTGTACGTTGACTGTTGTTGGAAGGATTGCCGTTTGAAGATTGACCACGTGTATGAGAGAATGCAATCGTATCATTGGGTGTAAATAATGATGACGATCCATAAGGTGAGCTGGCACGGGTGTCATCCAAAGTTTGTGTCTCGCTATCGGTGTATTGCGTATAGATGCTCTCGCGCAGTGTGAGATAAACAACACAATCATCTCGCATACACACAAATGTATTGGGTCGATTCTTCACAGCAAAATGACGAAGTACATCGGTGGCAAGCATGTTGAGAGCTGCATTCGGTTGTAGTCGCCAATGTAAAGGATATCTGTAAGTGTATAAAATCTCACATCCAAATTGCCCAGGGTGGAATTTCTTTGGTGGTGCATATGAAGTATCTTCGCCTGAAGTCGACAAAATCTCAACAAGGTTGTCTCCTGATGATGAATGGTGTTCATCTTCATCGTCGTCATCTGATGTATCGGACGAATATCGCATGGTCTCCTCATCAGCAGCAATAAGGTATTTGCTACATGCACAAAAAGATGTGTTAGGTTTGGCACATCATAAATAACAAATAAACGTACCTGCATATGCGTGTATCGTTCATGTGGTACAAGAGCACCAGCTTGTTTGTTCGCTCCATGATGTCATTGATCATGGTTTTGGTAACGCGAATGATCTCAGTGCGATTGACAGATTGCGGCATCTTTGAATAAAAATACACTTGCACCGTATGGGCTTGCGGGATAATGAGTAGCCAATAGAGTTGTTGACTTGTGGATTGTTCCTCGAGATCCTCCTCCTCCTTCTTCTTTTCCACCGTATCATCATCATCATCATCATCGTCATCTCCAAAGGCAGGCTCAAAGATGCTGATTCCCAAACCTTCGCAAAATTCATCATGGCCTGCTTTTTCTTCTTCAACATTTTCATCAGGGTTGTATGTCGATATACCAAGGCCTTCGTCATAACTGTCAATGACACCAATAGGGTCGTCGCCGCCCGTAATAGCATCGTAATTGGCACTGAAAAATCCATTGTCGCTTGCATAAAAGCAGTTGCCCACTCGCACAAGCCGATATAATGACGTTGTATTGTGTTCCAGTTGCTCCAAAAAGACGCGTCGACTTTGATTCTGATTCTTGACAAAGCTGAGTGGAATGGTGATTGTTGTAGGAAAGTCAACGAATGGGTTCTTTTTCATCAATTGTGATTCAATGTAGCGTACAACAGGCTCAGAGACTGGTCCAGCACGTAACAATCCATGCATGATTTCCTCTGTCAATAGCCACATGATCCTTGTCTTGGTTTCCAAAAGGGCGTTTCTCTTTTCTTCAGGTAGAGCTGAAAGTGCTTCACTATCTCGTTTTCCACTAGCAAGGAGTGATCTACAATTGAACATGAATGACGATTCTTCAAGAGTTGATATAAAACAAAAGAACTCACGTTTGATTGTGGACAGCCGTGTGTTCGGCGGGGCAACCTTTCAAATGGGAGGATAAAACGTTGACAGGATCATACATGGTTTCCGGCAATGTCATGCATATCAATCGCAGCGTTGCCGATGTACCATCCATGGAAGCCACAGGGGATGTCGTTGTACCAATCAAATCAGGTTCAAAGTTGAACTCTTGGTTGTTGCTGGGTGATACACCTTGGTACGAATAGGGGAGGTCAACAAGTGGAAAAGCCATTTCACGTCGTTTGCGATCACGTAGCACATATTCAAGTCGTAGCAATAAGGGTGAATGTGCACAAACGGCGATATCTGCAAGGTACATGGATCGTTTGCTGGCATCGTTCTTCGCATGGGGTGGTCGATAGCAGTATAAATTGCGCATGTTTTCGGTCATGACGGGCTCAAAGTAATGGGCAAGCACGGTGTTGAATCGCTGTCGTGCAAGTTGGATCTCTTCAAAACTATCATAAAGCATCCTATGAGTAATGCAAAATAAGCTTTTGTTTCATTAGACTTACTTTGATCGCCCCCTTCGCTTAAGCAAGGATTGAACATTCAAATAGCCAGTGAGATCTGTCTCCAATACTGTTTCCTCGCACACCTCAAGCACCTTTTCGAGATCATCATTCTTGACGGCATTGCCGTAGAGCAAGGACGTATAGACTGACTTTGTAAATGCTCGAGAGTAGATATCGCTGATGTTTTGGATAAGACGAAGACGATAATCTGAAACCAATCCTTCTTCATTCTCATTGCTTGCTCTACCACCACTTGATAACCAAGGTCGAATAGCTGATCCAACCCCATTCACCAATACGTCTTCATAGGATTTGGTAGTGATTGTAGGATGCTGCTGTTCCGTAGTGGTGGTGGTGTTGTTATCCATCGTCGTCGTCGTCGTCTCGCCACCGCCGCTTTCATCATCATGCATATGCAATCCTGCCAATGATCGATGACATTCAAACATGGCAAGACCCATTCTACGAAAAGTGCTTGATGATGTTGTATCCTGATCGCCTTTGAATCGATTGATAAATGTATCAAGGGAAGCCATGCATATGACAACAAATGTGCTTGGGCCAAATGTCTTGATGAAACATTGCGTGCCACGGATATCTCGTGAGAGATGTAATGTGCTCTCTTCAATCGCCTTTGAATCATGCCGCATCAATATTTGCATGACGTCCAATCCTTCCGAAGTCGTCTTTGATCCCACTGGCAATTCGTAATCGGCAAATACGGACATGATCTGCACAAAGAAATAATGCAGCAATGTCATATCCATATGTGCTGGTGACAGGGAAGCAATCACATCACGACAATCCAAGAAAAGCTTATCGGGTCGTGGGCAAACGCATACTGCTGCATTTCGATAATGATGATGATGATGCGAAGATTCTCCTCCTCCTCGTGTGTTGCTGATACGGGGTTCATGGGTTGATATCGCTTCTTTTGGTGTTGTTGTTGTTGTTGTAGTCACATCCTTGTCAGCTTCTAACCACGCCACCTGTTGAGTTGCATTATAATCTCCTCCATACGCAAATCCAGGAAATGGATAAAGAACCAGAGAAAAAGGTGCTGATTCCATGATGGATGAAATGTCATAGAGCATCGTATGCTTGATGTGATACTTTGTGAGGAGCGTATCATCCAATCCTTGTTCACGTATACTCTCAAAAGCCGAAGTGGCAGCTGCTGGTTCATGACTCAATGCAAATGTCCAGTCAAATGTCATCAACTTGGTTACAATATCCTTGTCGCCCGCATACAGGTCGATTTGCACATCGAGTCGATCATGTGTCACGGGTTCAGTCCAAAGCTCAGTCGTCAGCATGCCTTTGTGACCTTCACGCCAAACAAAATATTGCGAAGAAAAGACGGCACTTCCATGCTTGAATTCTTTGTAAAAGTGACATGCTCCATCCCTGGATGAGATAAGTGCGTAGCCCTTGATGATATAGAATAAGCCAAAACGTTTCCTCTTCATCTATCCAACCCCCCCCACACACATACCTGAGCAGCACGTGCATTGCACAGCTTATCAAATCCAATCTGACGTAGGCTCGTAAGACCATTGTTGGCAAGGTACTCGGTTCCTGGTAACGACGTATCCCAATAGCACGTGTGTCGACGCATGTAGTTGCCAACAATGAACTCTCCTCTTCCCCATCCAACGGGTCTGATAAATTCGGCAAGCTGATGATCCTTGTCTGTTGATGTGAAAAAGTAATGCTCGGGATCCCGCATCAATAGTATGGATAATGGACGCATCACAACCCTGATTTGCTCAAGGTACTCCCATGAAGCAGCACCGGCAGCATGTGGATCTTTGATAGCCAAGTCCGCTAAATACATATCGGCTGGATCGGGTTTGCATAGGATCTCTTTCAATTCATGGATGATCTTATGCCGTATGGAAGTCCGCAAATTGAAAAAGTGTAAACGAACATGAACAACGCGAGCATTTTCCTGGAGTAATCGCACTTCACAAAAACTGATACATTTGCTTCGTGCAGCAAAAGCCGTGACACCATCATCGTCCATCAGTCGGACATGGACACCACCATCGCCATCGCCACTAACAAAGTCGGCCCAATGTTGCAAAACGTCATTCATCTTTTGGAGGACATGATGTATGGGTTCCAAGGAAGATAAAGGATGTGGATGATGGGGGAATAGCACCAAATCGAATCCATGGACATCGTACCAACAGGAAGTCTGAAGACGGTAATCACTTTGGTCAAGCTTCTCCCATACAGTGCGGAAATCATCATGATCATCACCATTGTTGCGTCGTCGCGTCGTCAAAAGCGCATAAAGATGCTGATCAGTCTCAAAAATACGGGCGAGGAATTTCTTGAGTCTTCCAATCTTGAGAAATCCAGTGGATGATCCTGATACATCACCCACACCAATACCACCTGTAACAATCCCCATCACTTGACACCGCCTTTGAAATGCATCCCAATTTTGAAGCATATGCGAAAAGGTCGTTGTGGTGCGTATCAGGATCTCGGCACGTGGGTTGCTCACTGAATCAAGAAGGTCGTTTTCAGGACATTGGGCTGTAAGGTTGCTAAGATAGCTTGACCAATTCAATGAAAGACCTGAACGTATACGATACTCAATGGTGAAATCAGGTTGCCATTCAAGTGTCAGAGTGATCAAAAGTCGTTCCTTGGTATAAGAGAATCCTCCAAAGTCTGCTGCTGCTGCTGCTGTGTGGATGGCACGCCTTGCACGGCTGCGATCCAAGGCAACCGATGATATATAAAACCCTTGTCTTGTGCGTGCTGCTACCACTTGTCGAACAGAGGGAGGTAAAGAATACTCTTGATATCGCAATAAGTGGGTATCAATAGGTCGTGATTCTGCTCGTGGATCCCAAGGAAAAGGACCCACTTGTGGTGTAGCAAGACCATCCATAAATAAACGTCGTGTATCAATGTATTCAGCAGATGTGGGTGCTGTGGGTAAACTGGTATTGTTGATCCATGATCGAGGTCTCTCAACATTGGCAGGTCGATGCAACGTGATATGCTGTATTAGGAATCTCTTTTGATAGGTATTGGCAAGGATCGTCGTCGTCCCATTGTCGGTATCAGTCATAGTAGTAGTAGTCGTCGTCGTATTCATGGAATTAAGATCTGGGCAATCTTCAGCGTGCATATAATGGCCACCTGTAGCACTGGCAATAAAGCGTAATATCTCTGTGTCCGGGAAAAATCCAAAATTGGATGCTGGTGATAATCCATTGCCGAATCCTACTTGCACAATACTGCATTCCACTCCTTCATTCGATAATTGGCGGACAATGGATTCATCTTGCAAACTCGAATTGACAACACCATCCGTAACAATAATAAGTGATGAATGGCCAGAGGGTGGTAAAAGACTGAGTGCATACGATCCAGCGTGCAGTATATACGATAGACTACTTCCACTCTTGCCCACTCCCCATACGTCTTTTTTAATCGTGGATGTTCTTGATTTGACACGTTGTCGATATCGGCTGTTGTTGTTGTTGTCATTGTTGGGTGCTTTGTTGTTGTTGGATACTGCTGCTTTGGAAATAGGCTCGTTTTTGGTAGTAGAGGTGCGCTGCTTCTTTTTGTCATCCCCTTTCTCTTCATAGGCTGGTGGGCTGATATCCACAAATTCATCATCCACATCATGATCCATCATTCCCGAATGATCATTGCGCACATCAAGTTCATATCCAAGTCGTGATCGTCGTTTGCTGAGCCGTTGTCTGAAGCTTACTAAATCGCGTTGAAATTGATCAATCCCACTGTTGAGTGTCTCGAGCACTTGATTGATATTCTTTGAGCTGACAAATGCATCCTGCAACAACACCCGCATCGTTGGATATTCAGCGAGAATAGGGACCACGTTCATATTGGATCCAAATTGAGAGCACTCGACAATGACTGTAATGCGTATAGAAGGAAGGAACTAAATAAACATTGGTGTATGTGAGTATCCCAAAGTGATCTTGTATGAAATACATGTACACGTACGTGTTGGTGTTCCTTGACAGGCGTATCAATCTGCATTGGTTGCACAAGCCCTTGAATGATGTTTTTGATGCTATAGGTAGTATACATCATGTCAACAACAAATCATCTCCATCTATCTCTATGGCAACCGATACTTACATGGTATAATTGCTTCCCATCATGATTGCACCTTTGTCAACATCAATTGTAGCGAGACTTGAACTTAGATCGACCATAAACACAAAAGAATATTCTTCTGCCACCGTGACGATGCGTGAACGTGGGGTGAGAATACAAGCATTCGATGGCGGTGGTGGTGTCGTAGGCGAATCGATCGCGTCGTCAAGGTTGTAGTCATTCTCGTATAATGCTGGATCTTTGATAGTTGCTGGATTCTTCTCATGTAAGGATATACTTGACACCTTGTCGGATATATGCAAGAACCGGATGTCCTGAAGAAGCCGAGTCAACAAAGCGTTGCCTATATTTCGAGTTTTGTGTCCTCACCTCATGATCGTGTAGCGTGATCGGCAGGAACAATTGTTGGAGGAGCCATAAGCTGAAGGTAGTCGTCGTCCTGAATGTAGGATTCTTCACGAGCAATACAACCGATTGGGCTTCATTGAACTATATAACCTAGAGTCAACAAACAGAGCTCTCTCTCTCTCTCGCTCTCTCTTGGTGGAATGCGGCAAATACTCGACCTTCATGGGCGGCTTTGAAGAAGCAACGCGATCGTAGAGTGGTTGACTTCCGTCCCTTGAGTGAGAATGGGCGAATGAGAACAAGGTCTTTGATCGTCACTGGAGAGCCGAGCAATGCAAACCTGCTGAAATCGTGCATACAAAGAAGTGAAAGAGTGTAGTCCTTGTGCGTCTCAAGTCCCTTTACATGGAATCCTGTGTAACACTCAATGCCCTGGCGGGTGAACAGTAAGAAGAAAGAGGATACAACGCGATATTGATTTCTCCCCCTCCTCCCCTTTATTACTTTGATTCATTGTATATATGCATTGATGATTAAAGGAAACGTTTTGAACCATGAAATGGAAGGATAGAATGACAATGGCCCCCCCACGAGGCTGTAGCTTCTGGATGATCGGAATCTTTGTTTCAGTGACATTTGTCTTTATCACTCTAATGCCGCATTACTGCATAAATCCACCAATCGCTCTACTCTTTTTCATTAGTGAGCGCACATTCATCAATGTACACATTTTCATACAAAATCAGCTACGTCAAGAGTAAACGTATTTCATGACGAAGCTATGCTTACAATAAGTGCATCATTTGATGCATGAGGGCTTCAGCCATTGTTATACGAGTGTGCCATTGATGTACAAAGAGCTTGCAGTAAGCTTTGTTTGATAGACCACTGCTCATCCAGAGGCACAGCATGTGCTTTTAAATCTAAGGCAGTTCTTAAAAAGATACCCTCTCATCCAACTTTAACACCCACCAGCTATCAAGTCATCCAAGAGACTATATATGAGCTTTCACATCATTGAGCAAGTTTTTATTGTGCGCACATTGGGATACAGTATCATTGAATTTTCATCATAGCCATGTTGTTGGATTGAGATTGGAATTGGTCACAGTTTTACTTGCGCGAGTAGTAGGAGGAACAACCACCGCAGCCGCTTCGATAGGGCTTTGTGGCGCCATTGTTATCGTTTTTTGCAGCAGCAGATTGTACTCGCGACTTGAAGCCTTGGTCAGCCTTGGTAGCGTCGGAACCTTTTTGGTCGACTGAGGATTGAATACGCGAAGCGGCTTCTTGAGTCATGGGGGTGGGCTATAATACCATAAGCAATCACATACAATCCATCCGTTGGATAGAGAAACATACCTGAGGTTCGGGCGCCATGTTGAAAACTTGAGTAAAGATGTGGATTAAAAATGAAATCAGAGGAGCCTTCGAATGTAGACTTTTATACATTCACGTCGACGGTGGGAGAAAAAAAGGCAGTAACATGTCATGATGATGATTCTACATCCCCACATGCACAACATTATGCATCACTCCATTCCATCACACTTTTTTTTATCGTTGCTTTGGTGTATTTTTCTGGTTGCTATGCATCCAGAGCGGTGTACTAGATGTCGGACAGCGTATCAAGGCCGCCGAAACTAGGCACAGCGAAAAGGGATACGCTCATCCATAACGATCAGCTCGACGACAGTGACCATAGACAAAGGAAACGATGCATAAATTTCTTTGCAAGGGTGATGGTTAATGCATCACACAAGCCCATTGGAGCAGCAACCTATCACCGGCTATTCTTTTCTCTCTCTCTCTCTCTCTCTTGTTCTTTGGCACTGCGTTAGTATTATTGTACGCAAAGTGCTTCATATACACGTTGCTGCGTAAAGACGATGCATCAATGAGGATATGAAAGTTTTGTAAGCGTGATGCTACAGGGATAATACGATCTTCATCACCATTATTATGAGCCAAACGCGAGCCTGACAGTGATGGTTCTGGGAGCCGTATGACAAAATGCTTATCGAGAAAGATCCTTGTGCTCATATATCAGCTCTCATTAGAAGCTTCCATGCACATTTTTTTGTACTCCCCAAAAGTCCTTTCCATCATCATGATGTATGTAGCCACACACACGCACGCGTCCCATGTACATTTACAACCACTATATACTTTAATAAAGAATCCAAAAGCTATACTACTAGATAGCATTATCCGAGGGATGGAAATAAAAGGCCAAACCGATGATGGCATAGGCAGACTAGAACGACGTGTGTCAATATACGCTTGATCCATCCCATCCATAAACAACCAATACATACCAAAAGCAAAGCACCCTCCAACCAGTTGGAGCGGGCGTCTTGAATAAGGTAGTTGACAATCAACACGCTGGCAAACAAGACCACGGTCTCAAAGTTTTCAAAGAACAAGGTCATGGGTTGACCAATAGCCCAGCCAACTAGCACCAACACAGGTGTGACAAGCAAACCGATCTGCAACGAAGATGAGAGAGCAATACCAATACACAAGTTCATCTTGTTCTTCATGGCAAAGGTGACAGAGCTGACATGTTCAGCAGCGCTAATAATAGTAGAGGGGATATAGATTAGGTACCTGTATCCCATCCCACAACATTGTATCATAACTTACTTGCCCACCAAAGGAAGGAGGATAATACCAACAAATGTCTCATTGATGTGCCATTGTTCAACCACACCTTCGATGCTATATAGGTAGGTCATGTGAGTCTTGCTGCTACTGTTGTGCAATCAAAATAACTTACGCGCCCACCAAGAAATCGGCATGCAAGGATACCAATGCAGCAATACCAAGCAAGCTGCACATGAGACATGCATATGCATAAGTAACAAAATATGTACGACACGTTCTTCCTAAAAAAAGCATCACTTACAGGATCACCGAGAAGACCAAGGTGGTATGTGGAATTTCTTCTTCATCAGCTTCATCTTCAAACTAAGCAAAAAGGTAGAGTAAAGCGATCATCAATCAATCACTGGTTGGGGGGGTTGTGTGTGGATGTACACCAGCTATTTTTGTGTTACTTACGATGCCTGCATGAGTTCTCAGCTAAAGAAGGAAACGCGTACAAGGATTAAACCCCAGCCATTGACGATTGTTTGTGTCACCTTTCTTACCTGGAAAAACAAGAATAGGACGTAGATGATTAACAAGACGATGGCTGTGCCGTGGCTCAAAGCAAGGATGCCTTCCTTGACCTTATCGGCTGGGGTGGATGCAGCAAAAGCAGCAGGGACCAAGAGAGAGAGCACAGTAAGAGCAAGTAAGGAAGAGGATGTCTGTGCAGCTATAGATGTGCGTGTGTAGGTTAGCTTTTTTTTTTTCTTTCTTTGACTCGGAATGCAAGGATGTTTCTCACCGATATTGTTAAACGTCTGTTCCGATCGGGTGGCACCGCCAAGAAGGAAGCAAAATCCAAGAACCTGCATACATCCATAGAGTCAATCAAAAACAAGATCAAGACCAGTAGTAGCATACTAGTACACATACCAAGAGGATGTTTGACAGGATGGATCCCAAGATGGAGGCTGCAAAGAACAAAAAAAAAAAGAGTCAGCAGGAGTACAACCTTTTTGTCGATCTTTTTTTTCTCATTACCTTGCACAACACGAATGAGACCCTCCTTCAAGGCAATGATACCAAGGATCAACTCGACAGCATTACCAAATGTAGCATTGAGTAAACTACCAATTGTACTTCCTGTTCGCATAGCCAGTTCCTCCGTTGCTACATACAACACATCTTCATGTCAATGATCCATTTCTTCTTGCTTTTGTTCAAGTAGGATAGGATGAGCATACATACCAAAACCCAAGAGCTTTGCTAAAGGAATGATGGCAATAAAGTTGAGGGTAAAGACAACCGAATCCGAGGCACCGATAAAGGAGACGATAATAGCAACGGGAACAAAGATCAACAAGATATTAAAGTAAGAGTTGATGGTGGTAGTTTTGCATGACGACCAAAAAGTGGGATGGTGATGATGATGGTCATCTCCTTGAGACCCAAGCAACGGTTGACTCTCGTGATTCATGGCAAGTTAGTGAGAAAAGAGGAAAAAGAGAGAAACGAATACCTTTTTTCATCCCCGGAATTGGAAGCGTCTTATATGCGTGTGTGTGTGGTGTGTGTCTCTGATTAAGGTTACGATGCGTCGCGTTTGACTCGGTGTTCATGTCATTTTTGGCAACGTGCATGCGGGCCAATCCCTGGGCTTTGACGATGTTCGTGATGGGTCTTGGCAAGGTTGTAAGGTTCATTGTGATCGACACAACAATACGAATAAAAGGCAACTGTGTCAATTGCGTGCGGCACCTAACAACAACAAAACAACAACTGAGGTTGAGAACATCTTCATCTTCCGACACTTTTGTCATGCGGCGCACACGAGGAGTGTTTCGAATTTCCGGTCCTCTCTCTCTTTTTTTATCATACCACCACTACCACCATCACCACTAAACCCATACTTACCTCATGGTGAAAAAAGGAGAAGCGTCATCCAGCACTAGCAGCAAACCGCCATCGGCCATTGCCAAAGAGGTGCTCAAGCCTCAAGCACAACCAGCAGCATCAGCTATTACGACACCCACCGATGCAACATTACTCAACGTGCCAAAGACAAAGGCGACGCATCCCGGCATGCCACCACGATCCAAGAGCACACAGCCTGTACGAAGCACCAAATTGACACAAAAGCTTGTATTGTTTCCACCAAAGTCGGTCGATCCGTCAGTGGGTATGGAGCATGTGCTTGATGCGATGGCTCATGATGCAGAAGCAGCTGCCGAGTCACCTAGCGATGAGCAGCAACCGTTACATGCGCCTGCTGTTCCACGTACTGCAGCCGAGCATATGACACAAGACGAGCGCGATTTGGCGAATCTATCACGAGTAACAGCTTATTGCACGGGCGAAGGATACAATGTAACCAGCCTACGAGCATTTCTAAGACAACATCATCATGTCAGCCCACGCCTTTACGACGAATGTCTTTACGCAGCTTACCATTATCCACTTTGGACATTAAGACCCGGCAAAGAAAATCTACTCAATGTTCGTATACGCAGCGCATCACCCCATCCCGGCATGGATCATGAAGAAGACGATGAAGAAGAGATGAATTATGAAGAAGACTCTTATCAAGATGAGGATGATAATAGCAGCAACAAGACACGTCGAAAGAGTGGTGATAAGGATGCAGCATCATCATTATTCCTCGGTGGTGAGCTCTTTGTCTTTGATTATGGCGTCGTGGTCTTTTGGAACTTTCATCGTGCACAAGAATTGCTCATGCTTGAAGACTTGTCTCAATTCTCAATAAGACCCTTCCGTGATAACCCCAACGAGGACATGCAGATCGAGGAAATGCATTTTCAATACGACACGTCTCAGATCAAGCCACGCATCTTTAATGACATGATCACCCTCAAAAGCAGCAATCACATGATCAAGTTGACACTATCACATGGATTATCACAAAGTGCAGTCCTTGCTCGCTATGAGGACATTATGGATAAAACAATCGAGGTAGGGATAGGAGGGAAAAGGGTAATCAAGAGGATCATCATCATCATCACTCACACATGGAGACACTAGGATACCAAGCATTTACCAAAGGAAATGGCTCAAACAGGAAGACTCGTAAAGAATCGTACCGAGATTACGAAAATCAATGGTCATCTATTCCAGCTACGCATGAATGTCAACCTGGTTTCCAATGTATTAGGTGAGTGAGATAAGGCCCTTGGATACGCATGAAACAATGCTGATGGATGATGATGATGATGATGTTAGATACGCCGGAGATTTTTTGGTCCGAACCAGCATTACAACCCATGTACGTCGCAATTCGAGGCAAGTTACAACATTCTTCTTTTTTCAAAGGTAGCAATGATATGACATCTAATATACACGTGCTTAGATTACTTGGAGATACCACAACGAGCCAAGATTCTCAACGATCGATTAAAAGTGGTGTCCGATTTGCTATCAATGCTCCGAGATCATCTTACCAATTTTGGTGTCGAGTACCAAACACTCATTATTATTTATCTCATCATTGTCGCTGTTATTGTTGCTTGTGTAAGTATCTATGGATTGGTTTGGGTTGGATGGAAAAAGTGGCTCATCAACGTGTGCGTGTGTGTGTGTGTAGTTCGAGATTGGCGTCAAGGCATTACAATCCCTTCGCGTTATGTAGAAGACGTCTGCTGCTGTACATATATAAAAAGTTGCATTACACCACCACCTAGAAGCTGTTTATAGTTTTTTTTATTACAAGAAGTTTGTGTGTGAGAGATGATATAAGAATATATGCAGAAATAAGCGAATCGAAAACACGTTGATGAGGTGCATGAAATATATTAATGGCACAGACTAGCATCTACTAGTGAAGTGGGAGGAATATAGGTGTGTTTGTGTGTATAATGTAGGCGAATGAATAGCATTAGATTGGGAGTTTTCTTGGGTTGATCAGCTTCAAACTTGGACCAACAACAAGAGGGCCTGCAATAAGACCCGCGAAAAGGATAAACATGGCGAAAAAGAGTAGACCATAAGAGATGGCAATCCTCCTACGTTGACGTCGCTGCCTAAAGGTCCAAATGGGTGGGCGGATTTGCTTGCTGGGTCTCAGCCAAAAGAGCATCAATGAATGGGCCGTGTCAATGTACGGGATAAGGCAAAAGATGGAAAGAACAAAGAGGATAATGTGGCCCAGCACAAAATCGGCAGCAAACTCGCTCATTTCTACAATCTTGCAAAGGTATTCACGAAGCGGTTGTGAAATAGCTATTATACTTGTTAGCAAATCCATGCTTTCTTTAAAAGATTCCCGCCTTTTTCACTTACCATGCCATCCAAGCTAGAGTTGAAATGAAAAAAAAAAAAGAAAACAATGAGTACCTCATATACAACCACGTGATGAGTTACTTACCCCTCGACCATACCACTTGCCAGTCCACCAACCTCGGTTAGCTTCATCATGTTTGAATTCACGCGTCAAGAACAATACGGTGAGGACGCGAAGAACAAAGCGTTGTAATGCAATCATGGCGACAACACCCAAGACAACGGTGGGTATATGCCATTGTTCAAGTAGCATGAGTGCTTCAAACATGATCACCAGGCTAAACACGGCCCAAGCATGTGCAATGGCAGCGATCACGGATCCAAATTTGGCACAGCATAAGCTAAGCACGGAGCCAAGGAATAACGATACAAAGAAAAACATCATCAATGCACCAGCGTTCATGAGTACAGGGGCTAGTGACAAGACGCCGATACGCAAAAGACCACTTTGTCGTACATTGGGCTGGTTGCTGTCCTCGGGATCAAAGCTCTTGACAAAGAGGTAAGGGATGAGACAAAGAACAGCATACAAGAAGGGCAAAATGATTTCAGAGAAAAAAATGGTCCCAATACGAGCTCGTGGCAGATCACCGATGGTAGCCACATTTCCATTTTGCTTCTTGTGCCGACGTTTGTATCCCGTGATTCGTGAACGCGACATGCGACAGTAATTAATCCATGAATTCTTGTGGGTCTTGGAATTGCCTCGTGACATCCATCTCATAAACTCACGATAATCCAACAAAAAGTCCACCAATGCAAATTGATTTGGATTGAAGATAAAGGGCGAAATCAAGAGTGCAATCACCGTAAACCAAAAGTAGACCAAATGTGGAATCCATACAGCCATCGATGCAAACGTCATAATGAGGAAACAGCGTGCGCCAGAGTATATGCTTGAATTGGAAAATCTTGAATACAGCAATGAAAACGGCTGTCGTGATGTTGCAAATCCTCGACCGGTAGCAATGTATTGTGCGCCACCATACACCAAGTTTTGAAGCACCGAGTTCATGTAGATTTGTGTGACAAAGATCTCAAACAACGGTGATAGCGACATGAAATGACGGCCAAGACGCGTGATGCTACGCCAAAATCCACGCTCTGTCAACTCTTGCAAAAAGAGCGGCAAGAATGAAACAAAAAAGACCACAAAGATGGATAAAATGCAACGCTTGACCCATTCAAAAATTGGCACCAGGTTGTAACATCCCTCTGGTGTTAACGGAGCATCTTCTGGAGCACCGGCATCAAATTCACAGATCGTCAGCGTAGCACCCATGGCACCAATAAACAGTAGCACAAGCATAAACATTTGCACCGATAGCATGATGAAGATGTTGTTAATGTGGAACCCAGGATGTGCATAGTAGAATGTGAGGAACCGATCCAAGGGAAGCTGTGTACCAATGTAATAGTATTCTCGAGAAAGCATTTGTTCACCCATGCCAGTGCCGATCTTGGTGGTAAAATTGAGGATAGAACCAAAGCCCAAATCACGTCCTTTGCCACATTGAAAGTACTCGGTGTGCTTGATGCGACCTCCACGTGTAAATGCATTCATGCCAGCATAGATATCTTCATTCAAGTGCAATCCCTTTTGTGCTTTACTGACACCACCACGCGTTGTCATAAAGATGGCATTCAAGAAATCAGGATGGCCATAGTGCAGCTTGCCACCAATCTTGGCCATGATGCGTTGCGTGAGCGTACCAAAGGTTTGTTCCTTGCCAGCTGCCACATCACCTAGCACGCCAATATTTTCCGAAAAGATGTATTCACGTGCACCCACGATGGCTACAGGAGCACCCCCCTTTTCCTTGGCAGATCCAGAGTAAGGTGATACATTCGATGTACTCAAGTGCTCAAATTCACCCAAGATGTTGCGGATCTTTAAGCATTCCTCCAAGTAGTTGTCTTGGTTGGCATCAATCAATTGTAAAAACTCGCCACGGTAAAAGATCAAGGCATGGTTTTGATTGTCTGATTTGCCATCACCCAAAATGGGAGTACCAGGAAGTCGCACACGGTATTTGGGTTTACGCTTGCCGTTCTCCATCACTTCACATTGACCATCCACCAAGGCCGAGTAAAAAGTCACCTCGTCGCCTTCCTTTTCGGGTGGCACTTCTTCAACATAGGCAACTTGTAAATTGGGATAGGCCTTGAAAAGCAACTCGGCATCCTCAGCTTCCTCACGTGAAAATTTGGCATAGCGTTGCATGGCAACCAAAAACCTAAACTTGCGATGGGATAGGTTGTCAAGGTCACGCTCAAGCTTATCCGAATCGTTGTGGTAGCTATGCACAGTATCGGGGTTCTCCACACGATACAAGAGCTTGATGGCCTTTCGATAATTCATAAAGCCTGACACCGTACGATAAAGCGTTTGAGCTCGCAAAGATGCCCAAATACGAGTGCGCAATGTGTATTCAGGCTTGGCAGACTTGAACCCAATGCAATAAAATGGCAAATCATCGATCTTGCTCTTGTCAGAATCCTTCTCAGTCATGTCGGATAATACGGAGGCACTAGGATCATTCTCGTTCACACCAGCTTCATCAGCCATGATCTTGGTATCCTTGACAAAGTTCTCCCATTCCACTGGATGCAGCTGCTTCAAGTATTCCAACAGCGTCACTCGTGTGTTTTGGTCTTCCTCACGAATGATTTCACGCAAAGATAACAAGATCTTTTCACCATAATGGGGCTAAAAGTTGTGTGTGAGTGTTAGATGATCATGATAATGAATGAAAACGATCACTTACAGTAAGCACAGTAAATGTTGGCATACATTCCACGGGTCTTGATTGTGGCATTGGAGTGGTCAAGCTTTGAGCAAAGAAATGGAAACGCCTTTCAGCTTCACTGTGTTGTGGATAATACTCGGTCTTGAATGCTGTATCCTCCTGCGAGACGAAAAACGTGGGAGGCTTCAATGTACGACGGCCATCTTCAGGATTGGTTTCCTATCATAAAAAGATTGAGTCAATGTTATACTTTTTGAAAGTATTGATTAAAGCACACACACGCACACAACATACCTGTTGATACAACATGCGTTGGACATGATCGACCGTGATGAGATGTTCTCGGTACATGGTGATGACAATGGCATTCCAAATTTGAGAAACAAGGACCTTTGGCTTGTACTTGATCTGGATATCGGATGTGGCCAATAGCTTGACAAAGATACGCTTGGGCAATTGAGAAAAGATGTTCCTCCATGGAGACCAAATGGAGATGCCGAGATAAAACGAGCGTGCCACTGAAAAGATGGTGTTCCAGATAATGTACCAGAGATACGTATCCAAAAAGTACAAAAAGAGATCCATGAAAAACATGAGCGCCAAAGTGATATCGGGCATGGTTGAACACAGCTTGGATCCGATAATCTTGTCGCTGCAGTTTTCAATGTGCATCTTGCTCATGACCTTCATGGGATCCTTGAACGATAGAGCCAAGAAAAAGTAGGATTCAAGCATCTTGCAAGTGAAAACACACACCCAGAGTGATACTGACATGATACGATCAATCCGTTTGAGAGGAGGGAAGTTGGCCGTGAAGCTGCTTGTTGCCAATGTTGCACGTGACTTGTCTTTGCGACGCATGAATAATTGAGAAGTGGGTGTGATGGCGAGGTAGAGTGTTGTAGCGACGCTCAATAGCAATTGGATGACGGCCACCAACTTGGATATCTGGCTTGTTCGATCGATCATGACACAGTACACGGTAGGACCCGCATTGAGAATCAATAGCAGAATAAGGAACATGATGCGTCGTGTGATACCCTTGGCATTAGCCCAGGTCATTGGCAGATAGGAGTACTCTGCAAACGATCCTATCAGCATAAGCAAGGATGCTATAGCACCACCCAGAGCCACAATGGACCATTGAACGGACCCTTCTTGATCGGCAATTTCCTTGTCTTCGCTGAGATAGAGAGCAGGGGCGTTGGCACTAATGTAGTACCAAAACGAGACAATATGGATGATCCAAACACGAGCAAAGTTGATAGACGCATGCATCCATGTGCGCTTTTCCTTGTAAGTCTTTCGAAAGGTGCGTTTCCAATCGACGTCTTTGAGGGCAGGATATCGCTCATGAGGTTGCATGCTCTCGAGTGTCGTTTTGCTGTCGGCCAACACCGTACGACTGATGCAAGAAGGGCTCCAAAAGAATTGATTGACATCATCATAACCAATGATCTTGTCGTGATCCTTTTCTCGTTTGACCAGCTTGCCATTGATCACCTCGTAAATCTCGTCTCGAAAAAAGCGATACAAGGGTGTCACCACGTTATCCAAAAAGGCACCTTCTTCTGCATCGGGGCATTCGGCTTGCACATAGTAGTCGCTGCATATTTTGTACAAGAAGCATAATGTCTCAGGCGTGTAACGCACCACCGCACTCTCGCCCCAAATCATCAAATACAGAGCCAAATCTCGCACCTTTTCCTCGTTTGATAACGACCGCATTTGCTGCTTCCATCGCTCCATTGACTTTTCCAATCGCTTCGCTTCGTCGTCATCGTCGTCTTGATCGTCGACTTGATGCTCCTTTTTCTCTTTCATATCCATGACATCCATTTCAGCAGCGAAATACCAACGACGATAGTTGGCACCTTCACCCCCAATATAGTCAGCATGTAATGTGTCGAGGGCTTGCTGCGGCTTCATTCGCGAGGAACGAGAATCGAGCATGACCATGAGGTGGTCCAGCATGTTGCGTACATTGTCGCGTTGGAAACCAAATTTGGCGGCAAGGGCATAAAAGATGCGTTCAATTTCACCAAGAGAAGCGGGAAGGGCATCATCGGGACCCCAGGAAGAATAGGGTGCTTGATCAGTGTATCCAATCAGGGTATTCTTGGGTTGATGACTATTGCTTTGTGCAGATGCATCATGCATGGATTGATTGCTCTCACTTAGTAACTTGCTTTTGAATCGTTTGCTTTCCAACAATGCTAGCATCGAATCAGCTGATGTCGCATAACGCATGTATCTTCCTTCGTCACCACCACCCGACATTAAATGACTCAACACATCAATCGCATACGAATCATCCCGTTGTCCATTGGCAGCAGCAGTTGAAGTATCGCCTAAATTGGTACGTGATTCATACGCACTCTCGTATTCGGATTGTTGATCATCAAGATGGACATTGCTAAGTCGCTGCTGTCTCCGATCAGCTCGGCGTTTTCCACTAGCAACACCACTACTACCGTTGCCTAGATACCACCACCATCCCCATTTAGTCCTTTGTATATTCTTTTGATTTGTTGTCTCTCTCTTTACCATGATACGCCAAAGGTGATGATGGGACCGGTGATGCACTAACGGCCGACCGAGGACGTGACATGCTATTACAATCCATGGGGTTAATTCATGTATATATGGATACAATCGTAACAATAAAAGTAATATTTACTTTGCATAATAAGCTCTGATTTCTGGAAAGTCGCCTCGTTGTTGTTGTTGTTGTTGTGATGGATGATGATGGTGTTCATCTTCTCTTATTGCATCGTAAGGTGAAGAAGGTGCTGTAGGCCGTGACCGAGAACGGCCTGTTTCATTACTTGGCCGATCAGCTGCTGTTAATGATGCACGGCTCGGTCTAGGTGTGGGTTCATTATCTGTTGCGTCAACAGAAAAGGATGGGCGTGTTGATTGTGCCGTGGTTGGCTGATCAGAACCCTGCGAGTGGTGTCGATTATTATTAGACATGTAGCTCTAGAGGAGACGAACGAAGGGCGTAGGTTCGTGGTTCGTCTCGTTCTGCAAATGCTAATGTATCAAGAAATACAAAAAGGAATAATGAAAACAGACAATAGCAGCAGCAAGCAGGCAATGTAGCAAAAGCAGATTGCTGGAAGAAAGGTGTGTACGGCAATTATTCCATTGCTCAGTTTGCCCACGATTTTGCGTGTGTTTGTTGAATCATTCGCTGCTTGATCGTACAAGAGAGAAAACACTGGGTTGGGTACGTGGTTGTATTTAAAAGGAAGCAAAGCGATAAACTCCAAAAGCAAAGAAATACCATTGACCCATTGTTGTCATGTGGCGAATACCTTCAACACACACATCCAATGTTATCCTTTATAGAGGGTTGTAGCTTAAAAATGAAATCGCATGGTCGTACAATGATGTTCATGCATCCTACGTTGCAAGTAAAAGTTGTTGTCAGAATATACATATACACATCTCAGGATTGGGACCGGATGTCTGGTATTTGCTTGAGGGAAAAAAAGAGCCGAGGTGGAGATTGACAATGACGATAATGATTGGGGGAAAATGTATGTTGGGTTGTATCATCGATCGCATGGCTCGTGTGTTAAAGGGATATAGGGCGATCTGGATTGCAGTATAGGAGTAAACCACGAAACAGGGACGGAGAATGGGATCGGGGTAGAGAAAATGATTCGGCGGATATGCGGCACACACAACATCATCACCACCACGCTCGGACCAGTTTTTGGCTACTTTCAAGCAACAACAGCCTTTGAGTTTGGATCGGGTGAAATGGTGTGTGTGTATGTGTGCTGCTCTATTTTTATTTCAAAAGCACACGTGGAGCATACGCTTTGGTTTTTACCGGGGCATCAATGGGATAATGGGTTAATGCCGCGCGCAACAAATTGCAGCAAGGTTTAAGCTGGTTTTCTAGAGATGCGCATATGATGCATGAAGGGAAAAAGTGGTGGGCGATATGAATCCATAAGAGGCTTTGTTTATCTGTTTCAGATGTGGGAAGCCGTTTGATCAGGCGAAGTTTCTGTTTTCTCTCTTTGCCCTTCCCCCCACTCATTCACACACCCCCTCTTTCATCGTGTGCCATGCTAACTTATCGTCGGCTGCTGCTGCAATATGCTGATGAGTGGCGTAAGACGACAATAGTCAATACCTTGTGCCTTTTTACTTTTGCGTTTGCTACCGGTACTGCACTACAATAAGCCACCTGATACAATACCCCCTTGCATCCTTGCATAGGTTCTCCGTGTCGCTGCTTTATTGCCCTTTCTCTTTTCTCATTGCATTTAAAGCACCACACCACCTAGCATAGCTTCATTATTCTGCTTTCTTTTCCTATTTCTCTTTTCTTTACATGACTGACTTGCAAGCACATCCCACACCATCACCTGTAACTGGAATGGATTGGCTTAATCGTGCCACTAGTGTTGTTCGTACCTCGTCTGACAGCCTTGATGCCGACAAGCATTCTATCTCAGTTGCCAACGATTATTATTTGCAGCCTTTTTCATCTTCTTACAACTGCAACATGTCAACAGTGGCATCTGCCATGGATGATCCATCCACTATTACAAGCAACACGTCTACTACTACTACTACTACCACCACCATGACAACCCCGTCTCAACAACAACAAAAGCCATCCACTTCCACCACCTCATTGGATGATACTACTACCACTACTACTACATCAAGCACGACCAACTCTGATGGCAAGCCGCCCTACTCATATGCAACCTTGATCCGCTACGCAATTCAAAGCAGCCCTGATAAGAAGCTGACATTGAGCCAAATCTATCAATGGGTACTAGAGCGTTATCCTTACTACAATACAGCTGGTGCGGGATGGAAAGTATGTGTATCACAAAGAAGGAGATGATGGGTGGCCCATGACCACTGTACCCTTTTGTGTGCAAACCTTCTAACTTTCTTTTTTAGAACTCCATACGCCACAATCTTTCTCTCAACAAAAGCTTTGTTCGTGTGCCTCGGCCGGTTAATGAACCTGGAAAAGGATCTTATTGGACCGTTGATTATGCTGCCTCTGAAACAGAACGCCGTTCCACTCGTGGAAAGACTAGATCTTCACGCTCTGATAGTGATCCTACTCCTTATCCCCACCACAACCATCATCATTATCGTCCCCATTTACAAGTATCATCCGCATCTAGCATGAACATAGCAGCTGCAGCTGCAGCAGCTGCTGGAGCTTCGCCATCATGGATGTCATCTGCCACCAACACTGCTACCGATACTACTCGTTACCAGCGGTCACTTTCCACATCAGATGCCAGTTTATATTATCAACCCTTCAACTATTATGGTTATCAGCAGCAGCAGCAGCAACAACAATACATGCCACCTGCACCAAGCCAACAAAGACCCACATCCGCTTATGGCTTTGCACCTGCACGTAGTTACAGCTACCAATATCCTAACAAGGGATCCTTTTATGGCGTATACAATGACCACCACCACCACCACCATCAACAATCGGTTCCTTATCATCAAGCTGACATGAGCACATTAAACCATACTACTCCTACAACTACCATGTACCAACAACACCCTCTTCAAGGCATGTACAATAATGCTGCTGTTGCTACCACAAGCACCACCACCACCCCAACCACCCCAACGGCTACCGATCCAACTTCTTCCATGCCAGTGATTTCCACGCCACCCCTCTCGGATCGTTCATCGGTGACAACAAATGGTGTTCTTGATTATTCATCGGCTAACTTTTCATCCACGCCTTCCCTTGTAACAAGTCCACATTTATCGGTTCAAGAACCATCACAGCAGCCCATCGAATGTGGTACGGATGGAAGCAAACGCACTTTGGAAGATACTTGCTCTGATGATTTACCTGTAACACCAGTGCCTGCTAAACGTCATCGTCGGCCGTCATAAAATTGTAGACAAAGACAATATCAGAGAATGAAAAAGAGACCAAAAAAAGGAAAACCACCACCACCACCATTATCATTATCATTATCATCCTCATCATCTCATGTAATACCCCTTGTTCCCATCCCATAGTCATACTTGTTTCCTTACACTTAATCTTTTTCCCTCTGTCATCATTCCCACTTTTTTGTTGTTGTATCAATTGCTCGCTTCTTTTTGTTGTATGCGTATATAAATGGTTATAAAAATGTAAATCAATCACTCGTTTATTGACCAATTTACAACTGCATTGGCTTTTTTCGCCCAATCTTGCAAGAGACATACAAAACCCCATCCCTCTGCACTCTCCCGTTTCTCGAAAAGATCCAAAGCGTTATGTCCTTTGTTTTTGGGCAAGTTGAGCATGTAATCGGTGGTGACGATAATGACTTTTGATCTATAGAGAGAGATTGTGGAGGATGGATGAGTCATACATTTCATGCCATACATACATACATGCATCAAACGACTACTTACCGTGCTCTCGAAATGGCTACGTTCCATCGTTTGAAATCGAGGAGAAAATCAATCTTGTTGCCACCCACATCATTAAAGGCAAAGCAAGCAATCACCAACTCAGATTCCTGCCCTTGCATCTTTTCCACGGTATCCACGGTCACCTGGTCTTTTGATGCTATTGCCCATTGTTCAAGTTGATGCTCCACAGCGACGCGTTGACGATGATGGGGTGTGACAATCATCACGTGCGGCTTTTTGCTGGTGGCAGTTGACTCCACCCGTGTTGTAAGATGAGCATGAACAAGCTTGGCAATGACTTTTGCTTCCACTTCTTCTTCAGTTTCCTCCTCGTCATCATTGTCATCCATGCTGATTTTTACAAGCGAGATTGATTTCTTGGGATCCAATGCAGCCTGAAGTTGTGATACGTTGCCCATCTTTAACTTTTGCCAATCATGCTGCAAGATGCGTTTTGGATAATGTGCCGCTAAATCGTCGCCGTAGACTTGTTTGAAAAACGAATTCAATTCCTCGTTCTATATTTAACCACATCACAATCAGCCCCATCACATCATGATCACCCTATGCAAAAAAGTAGATTGCTTACCATACGCCAATTATCTTTGAGTTGGATGGTGTTACGACCAAAGTCATGGGTGGTGCCTTTTCTCAAGAGAAATTCTTGGGGTGGGATAGCCTTGTTATCCTCAGTACGCATAAGACATTGCTGAATGGATCCAAATAACAAAAGATCGGTGGCCGGTAATTTCGGGTACTTGTTGTGTAGGATCGGGCCGAGTTGCTAAAATGCAATAAAGAAGGGGGTGTGAGCCAAGAGAAAGAAATGCCATTCTGGGAATATTGAATATACCATGTGATCCCCGGCGATGATCAAACGCCCTTGCTTTTGGTTAAGACAGTCAACAGCGACTGCAGCATCTGATACAAGCAACTGCAATAAATGATGTCAGTACTTTTTTTTGTACCTGGATAATACTCACCCCCTTAAACAACCCCCTTCACACACACACACACACACACATGTAAAGGCCACCCCCTTTCAACAACCCAACCCAACCCACCACCACCCCCTGAACCTGGGTAAGTAGGGTGTCCTTTTCCTTTTTCGAGACACTAACCTGTGAGCTTTCATCAATGATCATCATGCTGCATCCGCGCCATGTTCTCCATTCGTTCTTGACCTTGTACCAATCCCATACGGTGCCGCCTACGACCAATGGGCCCTTTTGTGTGTTGTTGATGCACTTTTTCAATTCCTTCGCCTTGCATTGTATCATTTCATTGTCGTTGACCTCGTGAGAATCGTCAGACCCTTTCATGCTGATGATAGTAAATGAATCTGTACAAGAATGTCGTTGTCGTACGGTGGCTATCCGCTTCAATAGATTCATAATTGCATGTCGAGTGAATGCTGTAACACCAATGATGAACCGATCCTTGCTGGATGTTTCCTTGAAGAGATGCATAATGTACCAGTTGATGAACAATGCTAAGAATTCAGTCTTTCCAGATCCCTGGGATATACATACGTATGCATGAGATGTGTGTGTGTATGATTTTATCATTGGCACTTACGGGTGGACCCCAAACGATTTGAAGACGCTTCTGGATGATCTGTGCAGAGATATCTTTTTGTGATGGTGACATGGCGAAATCATCTCTAAGGCGTAAAGCAGTTGCTCGTGCATCCGAAGACACAGCATCCTCATTATCCAATAGTGTATCAGCCCATGCATTGGGATCCGTAACAAGTTGCTAATAATGCCCTACATAAGCCCTTCTTGTACATACATAATGTTTGATGAAACTAACCTCGAATGTGCTGTTCTCACGCTGATCAATTTCTGACATGGCTTCAAGGATTTTATCCGTATTGAAATCAACATAGCGCTTGTAGAGACGATAGTATTGAAGCTTTTCCAACTTGGGTGATCCGGTATAGCCTTCCAATACAACACTCAAGCCGTCGTCTGACACCGAATTCACATTCACAGAGTTGATGCCGTACTTGAAGAACATCTTGTCGCGGAATGCAAGATCCGGGAACTTTGCCGCTTGCATCATTCCCTAAAACATACACATACGTGCATAATAAAGTTAACTATTACCACCCTACACAACACTTGCCAATGTGAAAAAAAGTTACCTCACGATCATCACACACTAGAATGTATTCCCTCATGGTGTTTTTGGAAAGGCTGTCGGTCAATATCTTGATAGGCACACGTCCTTCAGGGATAGCCTTGAACCAGCATAAGAACTGCTTGTTGTCGGGCTTCTTTGGGGTAGGTTTGGGGATGATCTCATAATCCATAAACTGCAATTTGATCCCGTGATTGCCCGAAGAAGAGGTTTTGGCAAGATCCAAAAGTCGTGAAGAACGCACATTGTTGCAGCCTGAAAGACATTCCATAATCTTGAAAAATGCAAGGCGACCAAATGTGCTAGATCGAAAGTGCTGAGTCTTGGGCCATATGAAAGGTGCATTCTCGATGCAGTAGATCTCGTCTCCTGTAATATCCTCATAGTAATACGCAAGGTCTCGATACTTGGCGACAATGGCACGCAACATGTCAGCTTGCTCCATGAGAAGATCATCAATGACGGTGTCGCTTGTTGCTGTGTGCCATTCCTGATACAGGTCATCATCACTTTTTGGCTCATGATCCGGTGCCATCCAACGCGCCATACTCTTGAGTGAATAAAATCCAGGAACACCCAATGCCACATTTTCACGTACAAGCTGCTCAACGTCAACAAGGAGAGGTGCAAGTACTTTGTGCTCCAAACTTGCAGGGAAATCGGCAATACCAGGAATAGCAAGCATTTTGGAATCTTGGAAAAGAGCCAATAAGCAATCCATTGCTTTCTGAACAATATCCTGATCCACAACAGCATCCTCCTCATCAGTCGTATCCATTGTCGTTACGCGAAGGCAGCATTTTTGAATCTGATCCTTGGCTTGATTGGAGGAAACAAATATGGTGCAACGGGATTCCTTGGCTTCCATGAAAGAGAGCACCTTGGCAAGGTCTTGTACCATCTTTGCATCCAATTCAATGAATCGTGAATAGGAACGTGCGGCTGCTGGCACATGAAAAGATGCCTCGAGGTCCTCACACCAAGTGCTTGATTGGAAGTCGTATACGCAAATGACATAGGCACACACGCGAGAATACATTGGATCCACCATAAGACTCATGAAGATGTCATGATCGTTTGACTTGGCTAGTGTAACAATGGGGTTGCCACGAAACTAGAAAAATGCTTCCCTTGTCAACTCACTTGGTATCCCCGATGCTAAGAAATGCTTGCCTACCTGTGGTTTCTGGGTTTGATAAGCAAGTGCATAATCCGAATATTCTGTTTCAGATGCCATGAATGATGGAACAGCCCTTTCCCTCTTCTCTTGGATAGTCAATGATGAAAGCTGGCCAACAAGATCTTCAATGTCACTAATGTCGTCGGGTGGTGACAATGTCTTCAAGCGGTCTTCAGTAAGATAGGGCACGGCTCCAGGGGTCCCATAAGCATCTTCACGACAAATGTTGACAAACTCGCAATTCTTGCACTTGGAATTGAATAGCCAATGAAGTTGCTTATCCTGCACAATGTCGGGTAACTCTCGCGTGTAAAATAGCTCGATCTTGGGCAACAAGAGGTCCACACGAAACATTTCAGGTTCATTGCTGAATGGTAAAAGCACACCGCCGATAGCATCGATACGAATATTGCGGACGTCTTTGACAATGTAGCCGAGCAGATAAGCATAGGATGCAACTTGAAACTATATATAAAGATGAGTCTTCTTAAACACTCTTTATCATGTTCTTATAGTACCTGATGTGATGTATTCATGGCTTTTGATGATTTGGCATCCACAATACAAATCCGTTTGCCGGTGCTGGATGAAGTATCCTTGTGAACGAACAAGAAATCCGGTATGAAACGACCCAGATGATACGCGTTTCCTGCTTCCTCTTGATAAAACTTGGATGGCATCTCGAAGGTCAGCTGGTATAAGACTTGGCCAGGTTGTGCATCGCGTAAAGCTTGTTTGCTCATGCTGGGTGGTGTATGGGTATGATCCACAAGCTTTGCTCCAAAGCTCTCTGCCACTTGTTCCTCAAACTGATATCCACGCTGAAAGTGTGCTTCTTTCAATAGACCCACAGTCGTCGCCGTCGCACCTGATGCAGCACTCGATTTGGACGCGACAAGCTTGACATGCTTCTCACACCGATGGTGATAACTCTTGGCTAGCTTTGACACGGCAAGCTTGGGAATGGCTGCTACTCGATCGTTTGGCTCCTCCACCTGTGAGTAGTATACAAGATAGACAATACGATAAGAGAAGGACAATGACTCAATCAAGAACAGGCATGCTACACATTACTTTGTCAAGTGTCATTTCAAAGAAAGAGAGGCAAGAGCGGCGGTGCACAAAGAAGCTGCATATCGTTCCCAAGGAGATTGGTCTTTTGTGAAACAGCAAGCAAGCAGTGATAAAATGGGCACACAGATAGATGGATGATAAATAGCGAGTGTGTATGTATATTATTAACAAGGATACTATAAAGATGATTGCTTTATGATGGACCAGCCATTGTATGCTTCTTTTCTTCTTCCACGGGATGTACTGGGGGCACATAGTCTTCTTCAAAGACTGATAAATCAAGACCCTTTGACTCGGGAATCCAAAGAATAGTAACAACCAGGCCTAGGAACATGATACCAGCAAAGATGCCCAAGGTTTCAGGCAAAAAGGCATGCTTACCAGGTTCACCTCCATAGTCAACCAAGACATTGAATGCAAAGGACGCCAAGATGGCACCAGCCTTGCCAGAAGCAGCTGAAATGCCATGTGCGGATGCACGCACCTTGGTAGGAAATACCTCCCCTATTAGACAAAGAAACGCAAGATGAGCAAATAGAAAAAAAAGGACATCGTTAAAAGAAAAGGATGCTTACCAGGAATAATAAATGTGGTACTATTGGCACCAAAGTTCTGGAAGAGTTGTGCAAGTGTGAAGATAACGATAAAGGCAGGCATGGCATGATCACGCAAAGGATAATAAGCAGCAGCAAGGATGACAAAGAGGATGGTACACATGGCAAAGCCCATGATTTGGATAGGACGACGACCCCAACGTTCGATGAAAATGACTGTAAGATAATAACCAGGAACCGCACCTAGCACGGTGATGATGATTTGGCCAATGGTGTTGTACCATAAAGTTTCAAAGGGAGTGGCCTTTTTGGAGAATCCAATGGCTTCAAGGATATAAGAATTGTTGAGACCAAGACCATAAAATGCAATGTCGAGCAAGAACCATGAGAGCGATGTACCAAGGAGGACCTTGAAATGCTTCCATTGACCAAAGTAGGCTCTGAATTCAGCCCAATGGCTACGCTCCTTGAGATCCACCTTGGTATACTGTTGGGTAAGTTCTTCAGAGACGACTTGACCTTTGGCAGCAGCAGCAGCTTCCACATCACGCTGCACATCAAGAGCATAACGTGGTGACTCGGGCATCGTAAAACGTAAATACACAGTGGCAACAGCAGGGACAGCACCAAGACCCACACAAATACGCCATACGTAATCCAGGTTGAAGACATCAGCATTGACAGCTCCCTTAAAGGCTGCAAGCACAATGAGGGTCACAATGGCAGCTGCAAGCTGGCCAATACCTTGCATAGAAAAGATCAAGGCCATCATCATGCCACGACGTCCAGTGCTACTCCATTCGGAAACAACAGTGGCGCTCATGGGATAATCACCTATTTACAAAAGTGACTTTTTTAGTTTACATTCATCATGGTTGATCTTGTATACAATGTATACACGTACATACCTCCAATACCAATACCAAGAATAAGACGCCATAGACCAAGGAAACCAATCGCTGATACACCACGTACAGCAGAAGAGGACGTGGCACAGTTGATGGTACCAATGATAATAATCAACAACTCAAAACCATAGATCTTACGACCCACAATGTCACCAAGGAAACCGAAAAGAAGCTGGCCGATCAACACTATACATGATGAAAATGAGTGATCTTGTGGCTATCTTTGATGATGACTATCAGAGAAACTTACCTCCTACAGATGCCATGCCTTTGACAACGCCTTCGATATCGGAGGGCATCTTGTTGTTGGATTGGGAATAATAGACATAGCCCAACATGGGAGTGACCAAGTTGATAATAAAGATATCATAGGAATCGGTAAAGAAACCAGCACCCGAAGTCAAAATGGTGCGCACCGTAAACCAGTTGAACTTGCTACCAACACCATCATCGAGCGCTTCAAGGCTCTTGAGTTTCCTCTCCGCCGATGATACGGATTGTTGCTCCAAGTGAGACATAGGGTGGCCTTGTATGTGTGTGTGTGTGAAAAAGGGTTGACACTAAAAGGTACAAGATAAAGAAATGTACCTTTTTTATCCTTTTTTTTATATGGCCTTGAGCTGATGTCTCGTGCGGGAGGATGAGAGATTTCAGAGGAGCGAAGCTGGAATTGACGGTGTACAGACCATGTCGAACCGCCAATCACATTGCCCTTCATTGTCGCGTGTACTGCTTGTCCATTGTATTTCACTTTTACGGGTAAATTTGAGTTTTTGCAACACCGGTTTCACTGATTCGCTTACTTTATTTTACCTAATCTGAGTAAAATTCACCTTGAATCAAGCCCAACTATTTCTACACGTGTACTCCATTAGATCATAAAACAGTCAGATCTCTCTCTCCTCCTCCTCCTCCTACTACGTAGTAGCTTAGCTTGATGATCAGACGACATCACCTGGTTTGTGCAGCGTGTATGTATACATGAACGTTTCAAATGGGTATGATGAGGGTTCAAAGTTCAAAGAAGCATCATAAGCCGTTACTGCTGCAGCATGCAATCGGCAGGGACAACAAAAAAAGAAGCCGTTTTTCATTATTAAGTATCACTTTAAGCATGCAGCAGTAGCAAGGGGGAGCGAAGCGTAGGATGAGACCCCCTTCCCCGATCATGCATAGAAACATTTCACGTACATACGGCGAATGAAACACGATCCGTGCTTATCATTATTAAAGCATGCACAGCCCCACCCATTAGGAAGATCATTCTGTTCACGTGATTTTGGATCAAGACTTGGTCAAGTAGACATACATCATAAAGCATTGATTATCTTTTCGAGTCCCACACGATTTGCACTTGCGCCATATTGAATGTGAAATGGTCGAAGATGTATGCGAAAAGGAAAATGGGGGGATATTGTACTGAGATGCCCAACTTTCAGCCATGCTATAAGGAAGAGGAATGGTAAAGAAACTTCCTAGTAGCTATCTCCCAATCTCAAACCAGGGGAAGAGATGTACGTTTATAGGATAAGATACGAGATGATGAAGGAAGCAGGAGTAGTATGGGGAGCGATTGATCGAGTAGTAACCATGTCTACCACGACGTATTCATCAAGTGATAAAGACGCATCATGCGCAGGACTGACAATGAGGAATTTCCTTGTGCCACAACGACACCCTTTTCTTTTGCACAAAAATGGTCGCTTCAGCCAACGACATTACCATCCACCGCCTCCTTATCCAATGCGAGCACCAATTGAACAATGTGAACGAGTGGTCAGATGGCGATAAAAGCAAATATGCATTGGTCAGTCATTGGACTCTTGCTCTTACAACATACCTGTGTCTCTCATGCGTGTCGTTTTATTTATCCAGTACATTCGATACTTGCAACAATCCAATAGCAGGTACATTGAGCTCATCCATAGCAGCAAGGAGTGTTATTGTCATGCTCACAGTGTGTATTACTACATAGTCCTCGCTATGCAGAACGTATCCAAAGACTTACAGATCGCTTAAAGCAACAAGATATGGTATGTGATGGATGCGGGTGGGTGGGAGTTGGTCTGCCTATGATAATGACCTCTCTATGGAGCAGCATGTCGATACCAATAAGGGTGTGATGGAAATGCAAGCAACAAAACAACTCGTATTGGATGGTTTGAAACGACTTCAACAACCTGATGAACCTGAATGGTTACAACAACTTAAAGCAATGCCAGAGGAAGAGGAGGAGCCTATCAAGGTAAAACCAATCCATTGCCCGTGGTCTAGAATCCATCTAATGTGTCGATTTTAAAGCAGCAAAGTGAACGCGACAAGGGTCTAGGTATGTTGTCAGTTTATTCATCGGCATGATTTTTAACTCTGCAACTAGATACGCGTCGAGAAGAACAACAGGAGGATCATTTGCGAAGACGGCGACGGTAAGATGGGGGATAGGAATGGAATCTGTATAGGTATATACTCATGGCTACTACCTGGATTAGGTCCACAACCCGTGAACAAGAGACATCCAATATTGAGAACGTTTTACAGCATCATCGACAAATGCATGATGAACTTACTGGGGACTTAAGTCGCATGGCAGCACAACTCAAGCTCAATAGCCAATCATTTGGTGATACTTTGGCCAAAGATGACAAGGTAAGCAATGACATGACGGGGTATTCCCTAAATGCCCTATTGACGGGTCCTTTAGGTATTACAAGATGCTCAACAAGCTGTTGCCAACAACTTGGATCGGCTACGCAAGGAGAGAAAGAGATTGGATGAGCACTATTCAAAATCTTGGGGGACTAGTTTTATGACGATGGGTGTTGTACTCTTTGTTTGCATTGTATTCTTTTTAGTTTTCTTTACCATTAAATTCCTCCCAAAAGCTTAATATACAACATTTCAACACACACACACACGCACACAAAACGATATGGTTTGCTAAATTCGCTCATCACATTGATATCCCATTAAAAAGTGTGGTTGGTGGGGGGTTGGGGAAGAAGAAGAAGGGTGATGCAAGATGAGCTTCAGCGACAGTTTGGGGGAGAGAGAGAAAAAAGGGGGGTGGGGTGGGTTGTGTCGATTGGATTTGATGGGAGCTCAAACGAGAGATAGAGAGATAGCGAACGAGCAAGCAAGCAAGCGGTATATTGGGAAAAAAAAGAGCAAGGAGAGAAAGGGAACGTCCATTATCGAGCATCTTGGACATCATAAAAACTCTTGAGATATTCCTCTGCCTCCTTGTATTCATCCTTGACTTGTGGTAAGAGCTTCTTGATCCGGTCAAGGGCATCGGCTTCTTCCAGAGACGCACCAACCTCATCCTGTCGATTACCAATATTCTGAATCTTTTCACATGTGGCCTTGACCTTCTTTAAACCAATAGCAGCCGAACTTCCTTTGAGAAAATGTCCAAGGCGAGAAAGCTCTGAAAGATCATCCTTTTCTCTATAGACAATGCATTATTATCTCTCTTTCTCTCTCTCTCCTTTTTGTTCCCATCTTTAAGCCGTACTTACAATGCTGCATCCATATCTTTGAATGTTGCTTCAGCTTGTTCAAAATAGTTGAGGACAATGCTGTAAGAGAACTCGTGATCTTCCTCGTCATCCATATCCAGCAATTGTTCAAATGTGCTCATATCAATAAGCTCATCAGGATCCACAGCCTTGGGTTCAGTATCTTGTTCCTGTTCATGGGTAGTGGTAGTAGTCTTGTCTTGTGTGGTTGCCTTGGTTTCGGTGGACTATGGCTTTGTGTTCGTGGAAACGCGTGATGACCAGAAGATGGCAACGGGCCCTTCTCGAGACCCCAATGCTTACCTTTTCGTCCTTCAATTCCTGTTTCTCAACAGTCTTATCTTCAGCTTTAGGACTTGTCGACATTGTTGCAATGTAAAAAGGTCAAAGGGAGAAAGAAAAAAAGAAAACCACGAGGAAGGAGAGAAAAGTTGGAACAACTGCAGAAAAAAAAAGCTGCGTTTAGTATACGCGGAGGCAACCCAGACACAGCAAGCACGCACACACACACACACGCCAGTCAGAAACCGGCGTTTTAAAGTCTATGGTTATGACGCACTTTTGTAACATCCAACAACCATTCTTGTTCTTTTCCCTTTCTATAGCATTGATGATGATACCATACGATTCATTAAAAATGCACTTGATCTTATCCTTCGCTATATCATTCACAACAATTGTAGATGTTTTATGAACCCTTCATTATTGAAAGTAACCTACATATCGGATATTGGATAGGAATCCATCATCCGCCGTCAAGATAGTCTGTTTCTGATCCCAAAAAAATGAATGATGAGAACCTTATCCTTCTCGGCCATCTTGACCCCTTAATAAGCCCATCATGTTATCTGATGTACTCGACCCATTCATTGTGATTATCCATTATAAAGGTTTTCATATCTATAGTGTCGTCTTGGTGATGATGATACAAAGAAGGAAGGACAACAACAACAGCAACCACCCTCATCAGAAGGATTACAGGCTCTTTTGCCACGGGGTCTTCTAGTTCATTGTTTGGAATCACGTCACAAGTGATCAAGTGAGTACCCAGGGCAAAAAGGTCTTTGCCACGTTTGTATACCCACGCGATTGTTTTCCTTTAGTTTGCTTTAAATGACGTTTCACAGCTTCCTCTTGTCATGTTATTACTACTTTTGATGATTACTCTTCCTATGCATTGCACAAGGAACATTATGTAACTTTTTGGAATTGCCTCTTTGCTGAACAAGTACATGGATTGATAAGCTTATTTTGGATGATGATTGGATTTAAACTGCTGGTGGGGGATTTAGAGACTCACATTCAAGATAAGACAAAATGACAATGCATTGGCAAAAGTAGCGGGCATGGATGTGATTGGATGCAACCAATTAGCTTTCGTGCCGTGGCCGATATTCTTTGTGTGCCTTCCCCCACCAACTCCTTCTCAGCTTCCACTTAGTCTCCTACTCCTTTGTTCTCTACTATCTATATCTCTATCTCGTAATCGCTTCATTGTCGCTTATCAAACTTTTACCTTTCGAGCATCGACCAATCGACTTTGACAGTCAACCCAATCGCGGCCATGCCTTCTCCCATCGAGACGTGGTACACCGATATCCCTCCCATTACGCGCATCTATATCACTGCCTCATGCTTGACCAGCCTCGCCGTCGTAAGTATTTGGTAATCTTGGTCAAGTTTATTTTTCTGACAACAATTCTATAGCAACTGGGTCTTGTTCATCCTTTACAACTATGGCTCAACTTTGATAGCATTATCAATGGACATCAGGTAAAAAGAGACAGGGAATACGACATACATGGATGGATGGATATTTACCTTTGATTCGTATTAGTGGTGGCGACTCGTAACCAATTTCCTCTATTTCGGCCCATTATCCATTGATTTCCTTTTCCACATGTTCTTTCTGTAAGTAGCAAGAAGGAGGGATCTGATAGCGTGCAAGTGTGTGTAACCTATCCTTTCTTTCTCTCTCAGTGCACGGTATTCAAGGATGATGGAAGAAGGCTTCTTTCGAAATAAACCGGCAGACTATGCATGGTTATTAATATTCTCGGCAGCATCACTCATCTTTTACTCGGTAAGTAGATTGGGACTCCCTATCTCATACATCAACATCTTATTCATTGTCCAGCTTGATGAATTATCCTATAGACAATACTACCATTTGCATACATGCCATTTCTTGGATCTCCATTAGCATTCACCATGGTGTATATCTGGGCAAGGAGGAACCCCTATGTACGACTCAACTTTCTCGGTCTATTATCCTTCAATGCACCTCATTTGCCATGGGTGCTTTTATGTTTCTCGCTTCTTCTTGGTGGCCAATTACCAATGGGTGATCTTTTGGGTATTGCAGTCGGTCATGTATATTACTTTTTTGAGGATATTTGGCCAAGAGATCCAGCAAGTGGGGGTAGGCGATGGTTGGAAACTCCAAGGATTATGTAAGTCATGGATCAAGAGAGAGGTAACAACTGGGATAGTATCGTGCTCACACACACACACACACGCACATAGCCGTTGGCTTATTGAAGGAAATCGACAACAACCTGACAGCATTGATATTGCAAACGAAGAAGAAGAGGAGGAGGATACCACGGCGCATCATCAGGAACCTTCGGATGAACAACAACAACAACAACAACAACAACCAGTGGCAGGTCCAGCAGCCGAATAAACACCCACCCCATCAGCATCGAGGATCAAAATGACAAAACGTTGCAGTCATACACACAAAGATAGCACTTGTCGTCATGCACACACACTTTTACACATTTACAAACACGAGATACGCGAATTGGATGGCCATGGATGGCTTGGTTGAACGAGATACACACGTCGCGCACATGAATGGATCAGCACAGAAATACCAAAACAACAAAATAGACAATCAAATCAATCTTTTCTCCCCAACTCATTTATTCGTCTTATAAATCAAGGAGTTCTTTGAGATATGGATTGGAATTCACTTGCGACGTGTACTTGGCTGCCACACTTTGAATGTTATCTTGTAATGGTTCCTCTACGTTGGCAAGCTCTTGTGCCACATGTTGTAATAACTTTTCGCCATCCTGCAAACAAAAAGAAATAAATATCATATCATCATATCCAAGCCTTTCATGGCGGTCTTACCTCAACCTCTTGTTTTGGATGCTTTTTAGCCACCTCGTCTTCTATTAGATAGACATCTTGTTTGAATATCACAATCCTATATAAAAAAGAAACCTTGTGATACTTACCTGGTCGATCTTCAAGTTCAGATGCTTTACGCTTGGCTAAATTGACAACATTTTGCGGGAAATTGGCCATTTCAGCAACATGGATACCAAAGCTTTGATCACAAATGCCTACAAAAGGGGTGTCTTGTTACTCTTCCGTCATAGCCTTCATCACCATCCCATCTCTTTTTTTTACCTTCAGTCACTTTGTATAGCAATGTGATGCTGTTACCACCTGTTGGGTTTTGTCGAATATCCACCGCTACATTAAGATTCTTGACATGGGGTACGGTCTTTCCAAGATCAGTCAACTCGTGGAAATGTGTTGCAAAAAGCGTGAATGCCCGAATTCGAGTAGCAATATACCTAAATCATCTTTGAGCAAAAGGCACTCACTCTGCTTTTAATTGACCAACACTACAACTTACTCTGAAATGGCCCATGCCAAACCAAAGCCATCGTATGTACTTGTTCCTCGACCCAATTCATCAATAATAATAAGCGAGTTGGAAGTTGCAGTCTATAGCGATGGATGAGTTGTATGTATCTTTTTATCAAAAGCGATCACAACTTGCCTTCAAAATGGTGGCTGTTTCAAGCATTTCCGCCATGAATGTCGAGACACCTCTCAATTGGCTATCACCCGCTCCAACACGTGCCAGGATGCAATCGAATATACGAAGATGTGCCTCGCTGCACGGGACGAAGCAGCCGATTTGTGCCATCAATGCAATCACACCAATCTACCATCATAGTTGCTGCGTCTTTAGCCATGTTGTTCCCTTATGGTATCCACCTCCCTTCCTTTACCTGTCTAATATACGTTGATTTGCCACCCATGTTTGGACCTGTGATGATCTGGAATTCTGAGTTTCCTATGAGGGGTATAATGCAATATGAGTTATTTGATACACAACTTCATAATTTGCTGTTGTTACCTTTTTGCATGGATACGTCGTTGGCAATAAACTCAACGTCATCTTGCATCTCAAGACATGGGTGTCGAGCATCTTGTAATACAACATCACCTACAAGGAAAATGGATGAGTTGTGCATGTCCAAAAAGAACGTGTCAATATCAACTCTACCTGACATTTGCATTTGAGGTCGGATATAAGGTGCAGGCGCCATGATCGATACAAAAGCAAAGCTGTGTATAAAGGTCAACCAATGCATCGTACATAAGCCATGAACCTTGTTCTTTCTTACCTGAGAAGCACATCCATATGAGCCAAGACACCACCCAACAATTCAAATGTGGTATGATAGTGTGCTATGTAGGCATGTTGTCAATGAGAGTGTCGAGGTAAAAGGGGGTGGATGATGATACTCACCAACTTTTTCGATCACATCCTTTACCAACCTTGCTTGGCATCGATCGTATTCTGAAGAAGCATCGCTCCATTGTGTATTGAGATTCTGTAGTGCGTTTGTGGTGAAAAAGGTGCCTGACTTTTGTGTGCTGAGTTCCATATATCGACTCTTATTTCGCAACTTGGATGCATCCGTCCTGCTCACACGAAGGCAGTAGCCGTAGGTGCTGTGCTTCTCAAGCTTGAGCTTTTTCTCAATGTCGAGGCCGAGTTCATGACCCACTTCCATGTGGACATTATCCATGCCATCACGCACACGATCCATGTCACTTCGAAGCCCTATCAAAGGTTTGCGTGTCAATCAAGGAAGCCAACAATGATGGAAAAGAATTACTTTGTAGCTGAGGATCAGAGGCTGGGTTGATGCGGAATTCATGATTGTCGACGGCATCCAAATCAATATGATCCTCAATGAATTGTCCAAGATCTGTCAAATTCTCGGCATATTGCTGTGATTGCAATTTGTAATGAGCATCATCGTAAAAAACGTCATAGCTTTACATACTCTAATGTTGACAGTGTACGTCTCGTATAACAGACTCGCTTGTTCCTCGTTTTCAGGCTTGTTTGATTCCAGGCACAATATGATAGCAGGCAAGCGAAGGATCACTTGATGGATTCGGACGACATCCTTTCATCAACAGAGAGAATGAGACATGGTGAAATGATAATAAAAGAGATAAAAGAAAACGCTACCTGCAATGTGGCAATGCCTCGTTGAAAACGTTTGGATAGTCGGTGCAAATCAGGAACGTATTTCAGGTGATCATTGTGAAGGGATTGGCGTAGCTCTGTGCCTCCATAAAACATCTCCACAAGGTCGTGTCGTTTTCCTATGCTTGATGTCAATGCATTTTGACGTAGTACAATAGGCACATCCAAGTTTACCAATTTCTCCAAGGCTGAGAAGAGGTTGTTTCAACCATTGCATAAGTAATCGGCTTCCTTGTGCTGTTTTACACTTGTTGAGTAGCCCATAGAGACTCATTGTCTTGTTGGATCCTTCTCTTGGGCTTGGCATAAGATTGAGGGCTGTAAGAGCTGATGCATCGAGTCGCATATACTGAGAGAGATCATGATGTTGAAGCTGGTATTGTTTGAAATTGGTTTCATCTGACAGGAGCTAAAGGATGGATTTGGTAAGTAAACATTATCCTAGTAAGATCTCCCCCACCCATCCACGTCGTGGTCTTACAGAGAGATATCGAATAAGGCATGCACAAGATGCCATTGCGCTCTTCATGTCGAATTCAGCTATGAAAAGAAAGATTAGCGTATGCCAAGCCATCATGTATTGTGTTGTGTGACATACGGCGTGCAGCAATAGAGATATCGCCTTGCAGTAATCGATTAAGATCTTGCTCAATGTCCTTGGTATGAAAGTCAGCTATGTGGGAAAAAAATACGTTGAGATGGGCCATGCATGATTGAGAAGTTGACACCAAGGTTACCTCGTTTCCTCTCCGTTACCACAACACCACATCGTTCGAGGACACTCGTAGCCTTTGTTACATCGTAGTCCTTTCTTCCAGGATTTTCAACCATGATACACTCTTTGACACCAAGCTGGATCACAAGGGACTATCATCAAAGAAACATATTAGCATGATCCTCCGGCAGGGTAATATATATAAAACATCATCCTACCTCAAAGTTGGAATAAATCTCGTTATCAATGAACTGGCACACACCAATCTCCTTGCTACTGGCATCGGCAAAGGACACACCTACAGTCTACATCTCGTCAATAACAGCAGCGTTGTTTCCTTGAGTCCTTCGCTATTACCTTACTGTCACCGCTTGCTGCTATCCATGCCGCCATCACGACTGGCGAAACCGTCATGTTGGTATCAACGAATAAAAAATCTTCCACATCTTGCAAGTTTCCAGGTGATGCTTTGCGCTCCAATTCCCATTGTCCTCCTCTTTTGGGTATCCAAACTTCAATACGTTGTTGCTTGTTGAGTAATGCATCTCTCAGAAATCCCTCGGCAGCGTTGCTGGATAGTGTCGTCGTTGGAAGCCCATCTAGCCCAAAGGATAGATATACGTTTATAACTCATAAAGAAAGACTTGTCGCTCTAAAGCTTACCACCCCAATACTTCACCACTGTTCGTGTCTTGAAGACGTGCTCGGCAACATACTGGGCGCTGTCACCATGTACTGTATAATACTTTCGTTGATTGGCTTCACGCTCGAAAAGTCGAATGGTGCCCTCTCCAGCCTATTGGAAACCATATAATTAGCGTCGTGCATGCTGATACCAATGTCAATGCAGGATAACGACTGTACCTCGTCGAGCTTTCGAAAGAATGCCACAAAGTTTTGCTGTTCAGGCTTGGCTATTCGTCAATGAGCATGAGTGGGTGGAACATTGCAATGTCTTTATCCTTCATTACCGAGTTCCTCGATAGGAGAAGCGTCAGTCATAGTAGTTGTTCAAGCGTGCAATAGTAGTAGTAGGAGTAGTTGCAGAAGAATGAAAAGCAGAACGCGTTTTTTATACAGCGCGCTTTCTACGCGCCTCCTTCTTTTGGAAGTCCACTCAAATTGACAGCTTATCATCACATGATGCTACTACATAAACTTGGGTTCATTCAATATGATTTTTTTAATCTTTAGTTTATATACAATGAGGAGAAGGGTGTGTAAAGATGCATGATGTGTACAGGATATGAGACGTGGATGAAGTCAAAGGGTGTCGAAATGAGAGAGAGTGAGATGAGGAAAAGGAATGAAAGTGTGTGTGTGTGTGTGTTTAAACATCTCGTCAATTGGCAGGACTTGTTCCAAGATAGCTCCAGAAGCCACGTGATGAAACCCTCATCATATCGTGGATACTCACGATATTCCTCAACATTTCACGCAAACTCCAGTAGCCAATCCTTTTCAATCTCTTGTTGTGTGCTTGCTGATCCATGGTCAAATCCACAAATCCTTTGCCAAGTTGCTCGCTGACATGATCAATAAGCGTCGAGTCATAGCCGGTCCATGAGCCATCGAAGTTGCTAAGGTCAAGCACCACACGACATTTGATAGGAACAATGGTCTTGTTGCGGTTGATGTATGCCACCACTGGACGCACCATAGCATTGTTGATATAGCTCAAATCAGGTGTCGTTAATGGAACAGAGGCTTTGGTATCTTTGAAACGAAAATCGATATCCATCACAAACTTTTTGGGTTCTTCTTTTTTGAGGTGTTGTTGATCTTCTTCCTTGTTGGAATTGCCCCCACCCACAACCAAAAGATCGTCACTGTTGCCAGCTCCAAGCATGACGGGTTGTGGTAATTCAATGCTGTCCGTGAGCTCATAGACAAGCTTGCGTAAAAGCTCCGTTGAATCCGCTTCAGATGCCTCTTGAGGAATATAAATATCAGCGCATGTATCAACGATACCAGACGTGATCCATCCAGGAGGTCCTTCCAAACCACGGTTGATATGATCAATGTTGACACCATCAATGCGTATACGAGACTAGAGTCATGCTCATGTTAATAAACAGCCTATACAAGATCATCCAACTTCCAACTTACTTTGCGTTTATAACCTTGTTTTCGCATACCCTGATCCGTCAATACACCAAATTGAGCTGTTTCACCACCAACGACGACACCGTTTGGATCGGGTTTAGCAAAGGGATAATAGTGGTATATATCATGACTACGAAAGCCGACTTTTTTGGAATCGATGTGTCCTGATTGCTCCAAGATACTCTTTTCAAGTTGTGGTGTATGTACGCTGAAAAGACACTTGTCAAATGCACCCACGATGGAAGTTGCACAAAGGATGTCATAAAAGAGCCTATATACATTACCCATGTTAGAGATGTTGTTGGTGCGTTGCTATCAAGAGTGCTTACCATTGTTTACGGAATTGATCTAATTGCGCTTGGAATATGGAGATTGGATAAGGTCGAAAGCCATTAGGTTGATACACCGTAATGAGAAGATCTTCTAGTGTGAACTTTGCCAATTCAAAATCACCAGGCGTGTATTTGTGTCGTGCAGCTACTGGATCGTATTCTCCGGTCCATCGTACATGACGTCTATCCACTACACCACGCACGCCTTTGACATCGGCACTTTGCACCAATCCTTTGCCATCCATCCATCGTAATAAACTCAAAGACACCTCGACACGTTCAAAGGTCAAATCGAACCACATATAAGTGCGCAAGACTTCATTGTCCTTTTCATCATCATCGAGATGGATTCCCGCCAAAGGATCATCAGCATCGTTGTCGTTGTTGTTGTTTTGGACCACTACGGCTTGATCATCTGAGGTTTGTTGTATCATGGCAGCATGTCGTTGAAACTTTTCACGCTCGGAACGAGGCATCCGATAAATGTGCACGTGATTGAACCGAATCTTGCCATCTTTCCAATTAGGCATGATAGCTGATTCAAATACCACTGTAGCGCCTGTTGCTGATGTAAGATACTGTCCTATACGATAGGCGATCCATTCTAGAATAAAAAAAAGTGTTATAGACCTATACGTATCCAAGGATATCCCCCCATCAATACCACACTTACCTTGAAATTGACGCGAGTTGCCACCCAACCAAAGCACCAAACTGAAAAAACTAGTGGTTCCCACCAACAGCCAAAGACTTTGTCCAAGAAAGAGCCACGAAAACATGGCCGTGATATCGTTCAGTGTCCACGGTCGCATTTGCCGCATAAGAGGGTACTTGATTCGAATCTTGCATCGCTCAAGGAATCCACGTGCTTCTGCTAATAACTCGTCCTTTGTTGGCCTGTTGTTGACGGCTGTTTTGTGTACTTGGCGAAGCTGTATGCAGACTGTATCAGGGTTGTATGCAAAGAATCCACCGGGTGCAAGCGATTTGTATAGAAAACGACGTCGAGTATGTATGGATTGGGTAAAAAGAGGCCGAGCACGTTGAAAGAAACGACCTGCTTTAAGTGCATTCATTCTTTGTGTCGTTGGGCGCGTGTTGCTCTCCCCGGTTTGGTCTTTGGCGACAGTTGAATGTCTATGTTGTTGTTGTTTTCTTTGTAGTGAAACGAACAGAGACAAACCATGGTGGCTCAGCCTGGCCCTTTGGTGAAATTGTGCAAGCGGCAAATCGCTTATCCTGGCTAGCATGTGATTATACAAATAAAGATGCTCTCTCTTTCTACCTATCTATCTATCTTTCAAACAAACATCATTCTAGCTTGTATTATCCTTTCTCTCTAAATTCATTGGGTCGTATGTTGCGAGACTCGCACATGCGCTATTACAATAAACACTTTTCAACAGCACCACGCATGGCTGATGATACTATTATTGAAAGAGGAGTATTGAATGGATAGCTAAGCTAGTTAAAAGATACTTTTCTAAAGTCATTGGGAGTGAATGAGATCCATCCACGGCCCATGAACAGGCATAGTCTCCTCATGTGATACACTTGACCCAAATCCTAACACTCTGCAAGATCGGGGTATGATTTGCATAGCCGATTTGAAAGCACGGGCCATGTGTGATATGATGGGACGAGGTGGGTGTGCAGCTCGCTTATAGTGAAAGTGGAGCATTGTGAGGAATACCAATCATAGAAGGATCAGTGATATCGATTTAGGCGTTTAGGCAGGGTTAAAAGAGAGATAATGCATACATTCATCCACCTAAACGGGGATCCATCATTACTGCGTACATCACACAGGCGCTACTAACTTTGATCATGTCAATTCTCGCACTTGCTGGTCGATGTGTGTAAGTACATTCGTTGTATCTCATTATCCCCTCCTATGTATATCCTGTGCATCCCACATTAGATACTTTTCTATCCCATATATGCCGCCCATTCAATAAACAAGGTGCCCACATTATTAGAAAGCGTGTTAAGAATGTTTGTTATTGCATAAGGTATAACAGAAAACAAATTATCTGGTACTACTATTAACCTCCTCCACTGCTGCCAGCAGCTGCGCTTCGTTGTTGCCTTGCAAGGCTCTCTTGCTGAGCGCTTGGAAATTGATTGAAAGCTGTATAGGCCTCTGCAGCCAATCGAGAACTCCAAGGTGTGGCGAGTGTCATGTAACCTTGTCCCATCTTTGCATTCGAGATTTTTGTGCTCCACTTTAGATCGCCTCCTTGTGCGTCCAAGCAATAAATCATTTTACCACATCCAACGTAGACATTGTGTTGCCGATGGTATTCGGTGGATGGATCAACAAGCGCTGTTGGGATCTTGTAGCCTCCTTTGGGACATTTGAATCGCCATAATTCTAGAAGAAAAAAGAAGGAGGGGGTCAACATCATGAACATGGCTTGCAATGTTGCTATGGTTACCTTCTCCTGTATCTGCATCGAGACCCATACATTTGCCATTGGTACATGCGACAATCACTGGCTTTCCGGAGTTTGATCTTGTTTCTTCTTGATATTCAGGGAGGGCATCATCTTGATCACTATTTCGTTGGCTGCCTTGATGAGGGTCAAGGATACGACTAGGTGTACTGATAGTCCCTACTTCCTCATATCCACATCCCTACTCTCTCATTGTATGAGCCTCTTTTATCCTTCACCTCCTCACGTGTTATTCTTACCTTCATTTTGTTGATCCAAAGCTGGTGTCCAGTGTAGAGATCCAAACAAGTTGTTTTGCCGTTGCCAGCAGCTATCACTCGATCATAGTCTGTGATGAAAAGAGAAACGACACCACCTGCAGCACCGAATTCAGCTCGCCATAACCTGCTGCCATTACGCTTGTGGACGGCATACACCTTGCCATAGGTAGCACACACCAAAATGTCATTGCGTTGGAATGAGGGGGTTTCAGTAATCTCAACAGACTCGCTGTCAGAATCAGAGAAGCCGGCTTCTTTTTTCTTTGAAAGTGAAAACATGTTTTGTGGAATGGTGAATGTGATAGCTGAGAGCTTATCAAGAACAAGAACCCTTTTATATCTGTTACGTCGATCTGCATGCTCAGCCCGAAACGGAACTGCTCAGCAGATTAGGCTGTGTCACCTCATCCTCATTTCATCATCAATGCTCGATCATCAAATCAAGCTTTCAAGTAACACAAGCGTGGCTTTTGTATTCTTCCTTTCGTCATAATCCATAAATGAGCTAGTCAATCATGATCGTGTTATCAGTGGATGCAAATATAGATGTGTTGGAAAAGAGATTGGTTCTGCTAAGGATAGGGTCAAGTGATGAAACATTTGGATCAACAAGGACCATCCCTTCTTCTGATCCATGGATGATACGGGAAGAATAGAAATCATGATCAACAATGGGATCCTCCATCTCATGCACCAAAGCAATACGTATTCAGATTACATCCATATGCATAAGAAGTTGTATGTATTGAAGCAAGATGCTACGCGTAAATAAAGCTACTTTTATAAATGGCTCTCTGTTGTTGCAAGACAAGTTGCTGCAGGATACTAGAGACAATGGCGTGTATGCTTTGTTAAATGGCAACTGCTGGAATGAACGCTGTTACGCTTGGTCATGGTATAGGAGTGCACAAGAGAAGGTGTTGTAGTGGGAGTGTATACACCATGGAGTTGCCATTCAGTCAAAGACTTTCAGATCGAGTCACCTGTAGGATTGACATGATGGGTTGAAGCAAGGCAATCGTTGACAGGTGCTGATTGTATTTGAATGGGGCAACAGTTGAGAATGGAAGGAAGAGACAAACAAGGTGGGAGAGTGGAAGAGCTGGAAATTAAGTAGGTTGATCCGATGTTGAATGGCATTTCTTTGTTTGAACGTTGATCAGCCAAATCACCTCGAATCAAGAAGGTTCAATGATAGGAATGCTGGGCTGGAGCAAGACAATCGTTCGTATGCATTGAATTAGGAAACAAAGATGATTGGGAGGAATGGGCTATCAAGTGGCAGTTTACGTATCCATACGCTCTGGAACTTTCCTTTTTCCCTTTTTTCTTTTCTTGCTTCCTTCACCAAATGGTTGACTTTTCTCCTCATCGAGGTTTTTAATGCACCATTCATACATCATAATCTCTCTTTTATGTATACATTTCGTTTTGTCAATGGGTCGACCGCGTGCCTAAAGGACTATGGTCATTTAGTACCCAAATAAAAATATAACTTTTCACCTGGCAGTTTACGTATAACTAACCAGATAAATTTTGCTCATTTTGGATGATACTTCTGTGTTTGAGCATTTTTCAGTCAAATCCTCTCGGATCAAGAAACTTGAATGATGGGCATACTGGGCTGGAGCAGGACAATCGTTCACATGCATTGGGTTGGGCAACAAAGGTGAATGGGAGTAATGGGCTGCTAGCTGGTGTTTTGAACAATTCCTAAATAGTGTACAAGTATCATGCATCGCCTGTGCTTAATGACTCAAGTTACACAAACACGCCCTCTGCATCTTTTGCTCTATTATAGTCATACTACTTGGACATTAAACAAAGACCACTTCTCATATAGCATCACGCTTACAGCATATGTAAAACATAAAGGTGCCTGTATCTCCAAACTTTACAATCAAACGTGGGCTCTTTAATAGATCAACGTGCTCGGCGGGGTGAAAGCGATCTTGTGTCAAACTATGAAGTCCATCGTGGCCAATCCCAGATTTCGCAATGTCGCCACCAGCCAAACTGGATCTCGGGGTCGACCTCTTCGACGACGACGACCAAAAATATTTTTTGGGCTGTTTGCGACATTGAACGTGAAACTTTCACACAAGGTGCTGTTGGCCAAGCCGAGCACATTGCTCTATTTAAAACCCCACGTTCGATTGTAAAGTTTGGAGATACAGGCACCCTTTATGTTTGTGTGCGTGATGCTATATGAAGAGTGGTCTTTGTTCATTGTGAAGTAGCTGGATTCTGACAGAGCAAAAGATGCAGAGGGTCGTGTTGTGTAACACAGCTACGTTTGCATGAATGAAAGGGTCTGTATAATTACTTTATGGACGATCTAGGAACAGGCATGTATTGGTAGCTAACGGCCACTTTTATCCAATCATCATTGATGCGAGATCCACTGCATGGGAACGATGCCCCTGCTCCAGACATTCATTTCCATGATTAAAGTAGGTTGATCCGAGCTGATTTGGCTGAGCTACGGTCAAAGAGAGATTACTCAATCCATACATCAGCATACGTGCGAATGTCTCAGCTGATTAATCCTTGTTCGACCTTAACTCAACCAAATTTTTTTTTATAATAGAGAAATATACACATATATATGGCACAATCAACACACACACACAATAAATATATATATATATATATCCAATTATATATTTTTTTCACACATTCTTTGGATCTTTTTTTTTTTTTTTTTTTTGTTTAGTTACACGCCGCTTCAAATTTTCGATATTTCATTTCTTCTTCTCGGTCATGTTCATGCCACCGTCAATAAGCCATATCATTTCGCTTCTTTTACTATTATTTCCGCATGCCACAAACCCCCCAGGGGAATTTTCTCTTTTTCACATCTTCCGCCACGCCCACCGGGGGGGGGGGGGGGCCGTTAGCTACCAAATACATGCCTTGTTCCTAGATCGTCCATAAAGTAATTATCCATTGACCCTTTCATTCATGCAAACGTAGCTGTGTTACACAACACGACCCTCTGCATCTTTTGCTCTGCCAGGGTCCAGCTACTTCACAATGAACAAAGACCACTCTTCATATAGCATCACGCACACAAACATAAAGGTGCCTGTATCTCCAAACTTTACAATCGAACGTGGGATTTTGAATAGAGCAATGTGCTCGGCTTGGCCGACAGCACCTTGTGTGAAAGTTTTACGTACAATGTCGCAAACAGCTCAAAAAATAATTTTTGGTCGTCGTCGTCGAAGAGGTCGACCCCGAGATCCAGTTTGGCTGGTGGCGACATTGCGAAATCTGGGATTGGCCACGATGGACTTCATAGTTTGACACAAGATCGCTTTCACCCCGCCGAGCACGTTGATCTATTAAAGAGCCCACGTTTGATTGTAAAGTTTGGAGATACAGGCACCTTTATGTTTTACATATGCTGTAAGCGTGATGCTATATGAGAAGTGGTCTTCGTTGATTGTGAAGTAGATTGACCCTGATAAAGCGAACGATCCGCAGGACGTGTTTGTGTAACGCAGCCCGTTTTGCATGGTTGGAAGGATCAGTGGATAATACTTTATACAACATTCTGTAAAAATGTGCAAATGGCAGCCAATATCCTCTTCCTCCCATTCACTTACGCTGACCGATCCATTGCATACGAATGATTCTCCTGCTCCAGTCCAGCATGTTCATCACTAAACTCTTACTTGATTCGAGCTGATTTGGCTGAGCTACGGTCAAACAAAGAATACGTCAGTTGAGATAGCTAGCCCATACATGTATGTATACGGATTGATGTAATCTTGTGTGAGCGTAACTCAGTCAAATCACCTCGAATCAAGAAAGTTCAATGATGGGAATGATGGGCTAGAGCAGGAGAATCGTTCGTATGCAATGAATCGGTCAACATAAGTGAATGGGAGGAAGTGGCTGTTAGCTCGCAATTCATGAACACCAGGACTATATAAAGGATGATATTGGGATGGCCAAACTCGGATTTAATACTTAGCCGGATGATGCTCTCGGGCATGTTGATCAACTCTGCTCTAATAGAGACCTCATGCTTCGTTATCAAATTAGGTTTATTTGAGTGTGAGCGTGAACATGTATGAGAGACTATGTAGAGTTCTTTTTCGCATCGTTGGGAGATATTGCTAGTTTCATGCAGCTTAAGGTAAGGGACAATATTGGCTTTCTACTAAACATACTCATCGACAAATCTAGGACGTCATACAAATAGCGTTGATGACAAGTTGAAAGGCAAACCAGCAATATAGAACCCAGCGCTTGAATGGCTCCGGCATGCAACATGATGTATCACAGGACATTGACCGACAGCAACAAGCGTACAAGGGCGTCGGATTAGCAAGTTTCCTCAGCTGTCATGATTCTTTGCTACAAGCCTTTATCTCGTCACTGTGTCTTGCTACCACAAATGGTTGCAGCATCAAAATTGATATAGCTTGTAGAATGTAAATGAGAAAACAAAGCTGCACGTGAGGAAAGGAGGGACGACATTGTTACAATTTCATATGCACTGCAAGGAGACACTTTGTGATGTCCGTCCTACAATTCCCGCTCGCAGGTTGCCCCTTATTGATAGCCAGGTTTTTCCTCTTTCATTTACTTTTGGGTGTGGGTGGCGTATTCTTTAACGCAATCAGCACCTTTCTCTATACTATTCACTCTCAACGCTTCCATCGTATTACATCAACTTCCTTTTATTCATTGCTTGTCAACTTTGTATCCAACAACAACAACAACTACCACTGCTTTATATAACCATCGCCAACGCATCGTTCATCAGCAACAAAAGAGTACAACACAACCTACAGTTAAGCAACACACCTCGCCCAACCCTTTCAATTGAACGCCATGAGCGGAGGAGGCAACATTAAAGTGGTCGTACGATGCCGACCATTGAATTCCCGAGGTTGGTATTCTGTGTGAGGAGAATCGCAAGGGGTTGGTTGCTAACCTAAAGAAAACACCTATACACATCATAGAGCTTGCACGCGGTGCCAGTTGTCTTGTGCGTATGGATGGCAACCAAACCATATTGAAAAAGCCAGAGGAACTCAAGGCGTCGCCTAAGGATACGGATGACACCAAGGCATTTACATTCGATCATTCTTACTGGTCGGCCGATAAAAACGACCCAACCTATGCCGATCAGGAACGCGTATTCCAAGACCTGGGTGTGGATTTATTAGACCATGCCTTCGATGGCTATAATTGCTGCATCTTTGCATGTAAATATCAACATTGGCATGCATTGTACTATCAACTCACATCATATCATTCTCGATCTTTTAGATGGTCAAACGGGTTCTGGAAAGTCGTATTCCATGGTAAGGAGGAAGGAGGGTGGTAGTATTGCATGCAGCAGCAGCAGGACTCATACTATATACGTTAGATGGGATATGGTGAAGACAAGGGTATCACTCCTCGTACATGCTGTGAGCTTTTCGAACGCATCAACAAGTTGAACGACGACAATTTGACATGCCGCGTGGAGGTGTCGTACATTGAGATCTACAATGAAAAAGTGCGTGACCTTTTGAACCCCAAGAACAAGGGCAATCTCAAAGTGCGTGAGCATCCTAGCATGGGTCCTTATGTTGAAGATCTTTCCAAAATGGCCGTCAATTCGTTTGATGAAATCAATCATCTGATGGATGAAGGCAACAAGGTATGTTTAACAACAATAAGCTCAAGGATAACAAGGTCATTGATGATTGCTTTATTATAGGCAAGAACGGTTGCTGCTACCAACATGAATGCGACTTCATCACGATCCCATGGCGTGTTTACATTGATTCTCACTCAAAAGCGCAAAGACGAGGCAACCAAACTTGAGACTGAAAAGGTGGCCCGCATCAGGTAATACCAACAATAGCAATATTGAAAACTGTAACACAAATGGTATTAATGCTTTAATGGTTAGTCTTGTGGATTTGGCGGGAAGCGAACGTGCCAACAGCACTGGTGCCACTGGTGATCGTTTGAAGGAAGGTGCCAACATCAATCGTTCGCTTACCACCTTGGGCAAAGTCATTGCTGGTCTCGCTGAACAATCCATGCAAGAGTCAGGTGCCAAGAAAGGTCGCAAAAAGGAGGTCTTCATTCCTTATCGTGATTCGGTAAGTGAACTATCACCCAAAATAGATGAGCAATGATACTTACATACAATACCATGATATAGGTGTTGACTTGGCTTCTTAAAGATTCGTTGGGAGGCAATTCCAAAACGGCCATGATTGCTGCCATTTCTCCAGCTGACTACGACGAGACATTGAGTACGCTTCGATACGCTGATCAGGCCAAGAAGATCAAGAACAAGGCTGTTGTGAACGAGGATCCCAATGCCAAAATCATTCGTGAGCTTAAGGAGGAGCTTGACTTGTTGCGTAATCGACTTCATGTTTATGCACCTGATGTGGCCGAGCAGCTTATTGCACAGAGCACCTACAAAGGGGCCAATCATAGCACCAGTCGCAGCAGTGATGGAAAATCAAAAGCTTCACCAGCAGCACCTATCACCATGTCCAATGCTGAGCAGGAAATTGAAGTGGCGGACGCCAATGGTCAAGTACGCAAGATGACCAAGAAAGCCATTGTTGAGCAGCTTCAGACTTCTGAGAAACTTTTGGCCAATCTCAATGAGAGCTGGGAAGACAAGCTCAAAAAGACCGAGGAGATCCATACCGAACGTGAAAAGGCCTTGGAGGAACTTGGCATTGCTGTGCATAAGAACAATGTTGGTGTCTATACGCCAAAAAAGATACCTCATTTGGTGAACCTTAGCGAAGATCCACTCATGTCCGAATGCCTTGTTTATCAGCTCAAGCCTGGTAAAACCCACGTGGGCAATGAGAGCAGTGAATCAACAGCCGAGATACGATTATCAGGACCCAACATTCAAGATATGCATTGTATCTTTGAGAATGACAATGGCAATGTGACCTTAATTCCCAATGATGGTTCTTTGATTATGGTCAATGGCATGCGCATCGATGAACCTCGTCGCTTGAAAAGTGGTTTCCGCATTATTCTCGGTGATCGGCATTATTTCCGTTTCAATCATCCAGATGAAGTCCGACGTGAACGGGATCGCCAAAAATCAATGATCTTGTCTTGTGGTACCAATAGCAATGGCCCTCCCACGCCTGGTATCGCTATAGAAGAACCATGGCCTGGTTCACCCATTGGTGACAATTATACGCTGTATTCAGAGCCCAATGAGATCAATTACAAGTTTGATTCGCCTGCTACTATCAGTGGATTAACGGATGATGAGCTTGATCGACTTTATGGCGGCATTTCCAAGGAGCGTAATTCACGGCGATCGAGGCCGGTAAGCCGGGCTACGATTGCGTGCGACGACGATGATGGATCATCTAAGGATTCTATTCGTAATTCTATGGCGACCACTACTATTGTCGATTTGGAGAGTGTTTGCACGGATGCCACTGCCATTAATAGCGCTGAGGTTGAAGAACGCATGAAAGCCGAACGTGAGAAATTGCAAAAGGTCTTGGAAGAACAAAAGCAATTTTATGAAACAAGGATCAATCGTATGTCGATGCAGCTTACACAACCATCATCGGATCAGCCTTATTTCGAATACACGGATGCTGAACGTGCTTGGGCAATGAAAGCATTCACCAATTGGAAAGGATTACGACGTGTAGCCATGGCTGAAGCGATCTTGACACATGCTGTGGAGCTTAAGGAAGCCAACATTATCTCGAAGCAATTTGGCAAAGACACCGTATACCAGTTCACAGTGATTGAAAATGGCCAATTTGCTACACCATCCTCTTGCTGGGAAACGACTTCATCTGCTTTGCATGACATTCAAGAAGACGACGATCCAGAATTGATGGAATGCCCCAAGCCTTGTATTGGTGTACGCGTGATCGATCGAAAGCATCAAACTCTTCATGTTTGGTCACTTGGCAAACTCAAAGCTCGTCTCAAAAAGATGCGTGATTTGCAAAATGTCATGGATCGCCCAATGTATCGGAAGCATCTCAATTGGGAAGATCCTTTCTATCAAACCGACCCCAAGAAATACCATCTTATTGGTAGTGCGGCTGCTTCGGTTCGCAACCTTGTACATCAACAATCATACGAGAGCTGCATTAGCATTGTGTGTCGCTACACGGGCCAAATCAAGGGCAAATTGCGCGTGTTGATTTCACCCATGATCCGTGCATCACAAACGCACAATGAAGATATGAGCACTTTGGAACCCGGTCAGCAAATGGTGTTTGAAGTGCGATTATTGGAGCTCACCGGCATGAATGAAGAAGAATTCACTCAAGTTCACGTGCAATTCCGATTATCGTCATTTGGCAGCATTCCAGCTCATTCGACGGCTGATAAGGTTTTCGCCACTGATCCACAAAGTAACTTTGCTACAGCACCCATTCAGCTCGACTATAGCCAAACGCTTTCAGTCACCGTCACCGAAAATATGCTCAACGTGTTGACCAATGACATGGTGTCATTCGAGATTTATGGAAAGATTCAACCACGTGCATTACGACAATATGAACGATGGGATGAACAGCGTGAAGGAGGTACCATGACTCGATTACCCTCTCGGAGCAATAGCCGGTGCACAGACCACCTTGTGTACGACCCTAGCGGTGGTTTTGAGCGGCGACCCGAAGAGGAATTACTTGCAGCTGAACGCCATGATGTCGTTGCACGTGTTCAAGTATGCGAATTGATGGCCAATGGAAAATACGTTCCTGTTCAAATATCAGCACAAAACGAATTGGATCGTGGTGTCTTTGTTTTACGACAAGGTTTGCAACGTCGTATTCAAATCACGCTGAGCCATACTTCGGGTCGTCAATTGCAATGGACATCTATGACCAATGCCACTTTGGGTCGCCCTCGCTTTTTGGATGGTAAAGGCCGCATCATTGATCCTCCCAATGGTGGTGATGTATCCATCAAGCTTGGTCATCAATCCGTTGTGTATCATCAAGATGGCACCAGCGAATTATCTGCCTATGCTTCATGGGATAGCTCACAACACGAATGCCCCTTTTTGAATTGCATCACAACCACAAATTGCCGCATCATCCTTGAGCTCTCTTGGCAAGTCGAAGCTGAAAAATGTGATAAACCCATGCAATTCAAGACCGACATTGCCGTGCAAATCCAAGGACGCACATCGTCTGCTTTCCGTAAACTTCTTGGGCAATCAAAAAGCTCACGTGTGCTTGCCAATTACAACTCCATCTTCATGGTACATTTGCGTCCACCTATGACTCGACGTGTAAGCCAATTATGGAGACTCAATACAGCTGGCAAATACGTGCGTGGTGAGGAATTGCTTGTGAATGATCCTTGGAGACCACGTGGCGTATCACTTGTCAACGACTTTGTTGCCACGCAACGCAAGATTCATCGATTGGAAGAAGTTGCTAGAACAGCTCAAGTATTGACACTCAAGGCAGCTCGATCCCAAACAAGTAATCGGTCCATGAGCCTTGTTAGCAACAATGAAGACGAGAACAAAGAAAAGCTTTTGCGCAAGACGCTTGATCTTTGGATGCTCAAAGATAAGCAAGATCTCGTTATTAGCCAAGAACCTCCTGCACAGCAACAGCAATTGCCTGAGCAACATCAACAACAGCAGCAGACCCAACAATCTGATGCGAAGTTAATTGCTGAAGTGACCTTGATGGCCAAGACGTAAGTAATTTCAAAAGGTCTATATACCATTGTTGCCTTACACGTTCCATTTTGTTAGTGGTAATATCACCAAGAAAGGCTATATGACTTTCCAAGAAAGTGCTCTCGATAACAAGTGGGTCAAACGTTGGTTTGTCATCCGAAGGTAAGGATCACATTTTAAGAGTCATAGTGGAGGTACTTATTAGACATACCCTTAGGCCCTATATTTATATTTATACCAATCGGTCTGAAACCGATGAACAAGGCGTCATCAACGTATCCTCGGTGCGCATCGATTATAACCGTAACTTGGAAAAGATGCTCAATGTAAGTGATCTCCATAAGCAAGGATTGAATCATTGTCAAGAAATACTAATTACGCCCCCTCCCTTGTAGCGAAACAACGTCTTTTCATTATATACCACCAACAATGCATACACCCTTCAAGCCAATTCCAAGAGCGACCTCGCAGATTGGATCACCAAGATTGATCAGCTCTTTCCTTTGGCCAAGCTCCACTCTGATGAATCAATATGATCTTAACATCCACCTCATGCATCCTTTTTGTTTTCTTTTTTCCTATCCCGTCATGATATCTTTTTGTCTTTCCTTTCATTCATTTGACACAATTGTTAACTATTTATGTACCTTCATTCTTCTCCTCCTTTTGTATTCTATGCTGTATATAATACTTCCCCCAACAACCCTCTATGTAGCATCTTGTACCTATGGTCCATTTCTTAGAACTTGTAACACATTGCTTTGCTTTTCCCTTTGTTTACATGCTCACTCATTCTCTATGCTGATTAAACCGATGATATTATTCCTATACCTCTATGCAGTCTTTTGGTGGCGGATTCATGATGGATTAAAATGGAAAGCTTGCAATCTCCTGCATACTTGAGCAGCATCATGTAAACAATGGTGCATGCTTTGATGGTTGTACGCTTTCTCTTCCCATCATTTTGATTTTCATCAGCACCAATGCATCCTAAAGCTGACACTGATTCATACGCTTGTACACATGATACACGCAGTGCTGAATGTCATACCGTAACGTAATTTGCAGAGTAATTGGATGCAGCATAAAGGCGTATTTTAAAAGCAAAGCGGTGCTATTTAGTAATCAGGACCATCATGAAGACATTGATCAAAAGGCTGAAGAATCGGTTAATGATGGAGAAGCCTATTGGACTGAAGGGATACGTAATCCAGGATGGCTTACGGTAGCAGGGACATGGCTCACCTACTTTGTGTGTGGAGGCACTACCAGCTCTTGGGGCGTATTTCAGGCAGAGTATGTCGCACCTGGTGTGTGAAATGTAACATGTCAAATTCAACAAGCAGCATCGTCCTTATTACTAGGTACACCAAAATGTTTTCCAACGAGGTTGCTGTATCATTTATTGGTAGCACCTCTCTCTCAATAGAATTGCTCGGCATCTTAACAACGCCATTAATACGCCGCATTGGTGTGCGTTACACGATGCTGATAGGTGCCTTGATTTCCACGGTTGCATTGGTCATGGCAACCTTTGCCAAGGAACTATGGCAACTCTTTTCAACGCAGGGGCTTATGTATGGTATTGGGTTATGTTTGGTATTCAGTGCTCCAGCCACATTGCCTTCCCAGTGGTTTGTGAAGAATCGTGCATTGGTAAATGGTAAATTCTTGAAGCATAAACGCCTTTATGAATCTGATTAATAATACTTTCGCTCAAAGGCATTGCATGGAGCGGAGCAACTGTGGGTCCAATGGTATGCGCCAACACCTTTCAAGCATTGTTAACGACGCTTGGACGACAAATAACACTTGCAATCATGGCCGGCATTGTATCTGTTCTGTTTTTGGTGGCTTCAATCTTATCAAAACCACGCTATCCTATGCATTCTAATAAGAAGGTAACAAAGGATGGTCAAACTTGTTCAAAAAAGGGCTCAAAAGAGTCGCTTTGGAGTATCCCTTACATGGTGGTCCTCTTTTTCTCTTTCACGTATCCTTTCCATTGGCAAGCAGTTTTCCTTCTTGCGCCATCTTATGCTCAGTATGTGGGTGCTTCACCAACATTGGCTGCATCCACTGTTACCATCATTTTCTGCATATGTGCCATCTCGCGTATTGTGTTTGGTTTCCTGGCTGATCGTTATGGGAGGCTCAATGTGCTCTCAATGGCATTGTCCATTAATGGTATGCAGTCTTTGTGTGATATGCACTCAACTATCCAAAGCCTCACATGTTGCTGCCTTTTTATTACTGTAGTTACATTGATCATGACCTTATGGCGATATGCCGACACCATCCCGATGTTTATAGCCTTTTGTGCATTACTCGGTATTTGGGGAGGTCTCTGCCCAAGTATGCGACCAGTGATTGTCAGCGATCTCGTGGGCGTGAAAAAAGCACAAAAGGCAGTTTGTTTGTCGTATCTGTTTTCTGTACCTAGCACCCTCGTGGGGGACCCTTTCATTTCTTATATTCATTCACGTTACGGGTGGACTGCTGCCATCCAAACGATTGGCCTATTTGGATCACTTTCAGCAATATCAATCCTAACTGTACGATTCTTGACTGATAAACGACTACTTGCCATTGTGTGAATATGATGACAGCCTACCACTATTATTACTATAGAAACCTAATTACTACATACTACGAGTATCCTCAGCTTGAGATTTCATCATGCGAAATAAAATGTCTTTTTAATGGGAGATGATATTGCAAGGTATGGTCATTCAAAGAGCTGAGAGGAATGGTATCTTATGAGCTATCTTCATCCGATTGTGAGGAATTGCTGCCCGTTGACACACTCGTGCTGCTGCCGGCATTGAAGTTGAAAAGGCTACGATCATGCTTGAGCCATTCCTGCAACACCGATGGTGCCATGTCGAATAAGCCAGTTTCGGTTCGCGGCGACTCATTATTGTCATATTTATGCACATCAAAGTCTTCCAAGGCTGAAGGTCCATTCTCATTGACAAAGGCGGTAATATCATCGGATAGACGTTCACGCATTGTACGCAATTGAGCTGCTGCATCAGGGTTACACACCGCAAGGACCAACGGCTGAAGTGAGCTGCGTAACACAATCACACATAATCAATGCCTAAAATCGCTTATCTCCAATGCTTATTACTTACTTGTACAAATCCATGCCCGTCTCCATAAGCTTGACACCAACAAGATGTAAAAGTGGTTGTGCCAACCAGCTCAATGCTGACCATGATGTGATTTGCAGCAACGAATTCTCGGGGTAGCGATAATAAAACATGTACACAAACAAAAGCCACGAGTAAAAGCCATACACGATGGGAGCAAAGACAAGAACGACCAACACCTTCCAAGTGGCGAGAACATCACGTGCAGCAATCTTGACATTAGAGCCAGCAAGTGCATCTATTGTAATCCTTCTTATCAGTATACAGCTCCAATACCTCCTTTGCATCATCGCTTTCTACTTACCGCGCTGTTTACGACGACTAATCAAAGCAGTGACAAGGATCACAGGTGCATTCAACAATAATCTATAAAAGAGAGAGAGGGCCATTTAGCAATGGTTTTGTTATCAATGAAAACTATCACTTACGATGGGAATCCCAAAGCGGATAAGCAGATCAATTTGACCAATCTGTAAAGCAGCAATTTGGCAGCTGACATGCGCGTTGTACCGGTTCGTTCCACTTGATGATCCCGAATACCAAAGTACTTTAACATGTTGTTGTATGCTTGTACCTTGCGAGCAAGTTCAATCAATCGAGGATCATTTTCAAAATGCTTGTAGCCAAGAAGGAAACGGCGATTAAGCTCCACCACCTGATCAAGACGTAGCTTATGGGATGATGTGGGTCGGTATAATCGGCGGGCAGCTGCAATGATCTATAATGCAAAAAGATGTGTGGTGGATCGATGTAAGCAAATAAGCATTTTCACATGTCAATGACTGAGTTCAGTCCTTTGCATCAATTTACCATCAGCGTATCGTAACTGGGAGCATTCAATGTAACTCCTTTCAACCCTTCATAGCCAGCATCCATTAACGCAGCAATCGCTTCACGCTTGGCAGGTCCTCCTTGCTTGTACTTTTCGACCCATTCGCGTTCGACAGTGATTGGAGCACCATATGAAATGACAGCACGTGATCGGAAGCGATGCGGGTGGAAATAGTTGAGACCTATATGAGGATTGTGTTACAAATTGCTATCCATGAGCCTATTGTCCATATATGGTTACTTACCCACTGGTACGATTTTGACATTAATGTCAGAATGCTCGGCCATTGCACCCAATGCCATAATAGCAAAACCAGCTGATGCAAGAATAATAGAGTGTGTGTGTGTGTGTAAGTGTATCGATCGTGAAAAGATGATGGAGGGTGGTTTTACCTTTGAGAGGGAGCATTTGTGATTGATCATGGCTACCGCCTTCAGGGAAAATTTCGATACATCCCGACTCTGCCAAACATGCATGGACCTTGTCATACAACACATGCTGATCCACATGCGGAATAACCTTGAAAGCATCATCTTCAAGTGGCTGATCAAGAGGCTTCTTGAGAATAAGCTCGGTATCAGATACTACTTGCTCCACCTCCACTTTGAACGTCTTGCTAATGCCGAGAAGATCACGCGATCCCACTTGTTCACGAAAATTGGTATCTGTGCCGATCACGCGTGTTTCTCCTTGTGCTGCACGTAGCGTGCCTTTTCCCTTGGACGCCAAATCTTGCGGTCGAATAACAGGAACTAGGCATCATGATCAGATAAGCATCCATCACACGGCACACATTGTGTGTACTTACTGGCCTTGAGCATTCGAGCAGCATCACCAATAACCTTCTTCTTGAAGGACGACTGGGCCATAAGAGGAACACTTTCTCGAGGATTCGAAATGAGAACCATTCCCTAGCGATCGATAGAGTCCTTGTTAGCACACATGTATGCAGCAGCAATGCGCAAAAGACATACCGCATCAACAAACTGGTTCGCATGGGGTCCCACAATGAAAATGCATGGATCCTCCTTTGGGACTTGGGATGTGCCGACGATTTGGACTTCTCTGAAAAAGATGTTGGCGACGCATTTGAAAGCAGAGCGTACTGCCGAATAAGCAAAAGAGGAAGAAGAAGAGTGCTCTGGGTTGGGCATAGGAAGGGAGAAAATACAGGATAAAGAAGAGCAACCATGCTGCCATGCTGATCAAATCACTTTATCTGGCAGCAAATGATTCACGTGAAATTGGTTAACAACATTCTCGAGAGCTTAAAAAAGTACTTGAACACCATGATGGATAAGAAACATGTGAGGCTGACGCTTGTATTATCTTACTATTACCCCTCACTCATATTCAAATGACTCAATAAATGCCTGTGTTCCCTTCAAAGCATCCCATTTTTCTGTTGAAAGTATTATCCAAAGTCGTCATGCCACTGTTGTTTCTCGCAAGATTCATATAGCAGCAATTGCTATGGATACAGATCACATGACTTCAAGCACCTAGTACTATACCTAGTAGCTTAACCAACCTACTTTCCTTTCCTTTGAATTACCATGACCCTTTCCTTCATCAATGACCAGAAATTCATCGAAAACATGGCTTTTCTTCATTTACAACATAGAAGAAGGACGATAATGGGGAATAATAAGAATTGTCTACGTAGGTTTGATGGGTGCTGCGGCTGCTGATGCTGCTGCTGCTGCTTCCTCTTCTAGCTTTTTCTTTTGCTTGTATTCATCGGTCATGCGGTAGCTATGCATTAAAGCAATAATGAGTTGTCGTTGAATCTTCCATGATGAACCCACTTACTTGATGATCCTGCCAACTTGCATTAATCCCGTACTAGCCACAAAAACGTTGACAGTAGCTAAAGTCCAATTCTTGGGTATGATCACCATGGAATAACGAGTCCAAATCACACCCGTGGCAACGAGAGCTGGTGTATAGTGAGAAGCTTAGTTTGACATGTATATGACAAGATAGCAAGTGTGTGGTGCGTGCTTACAAAGGTTTTGTGCCAAGCTCAAGTTTTCAGCCGGTCGTTTAAGGTCGCTAATACCTGCAATAACAAGAGCCTAAGAAAAAGAGTGTCAGCTCATCCGCTCATGAGGTGAATCGAGTAGTCTCTTTTTTTTACCCATTTCATGGCAGGAGCCCAAAAGTGGATCGTCTTTGGGCCAGCAGGCGAGTTGAGGAACTTTTGAAAGGCACTTTGTGAAGCAACAGCGGTCATAGCAAAGGGAAAACAGAGAGAGCGTAAGAGTAAAAGAAAAAGATAAAGGAAAAAAGAAGAGGGTATTGAGCTGCTACATAACACACACGTACACCGGATATAAGATCTGCATCCACACACACAACAAATGCGCATGGTAAGGTTTTACACTTCCCCCAGCTTCATCATCTAAATGCCGCTGCGGGATCAATTCCGTATACTACGCTCTTTTCCTTCCGCTTTCCCATTCCCTGGTGTCCCCATGTTGAACGCGCCCATCGACTCCATTCTACCATTGGACCCTGTTCTTATCTCTGATGCTTCGACATGAAGTTGGTGCTCTGCTCTCTCCAACTTGACACACGAACCACTTGATACCAATACATCGCTCTCAAAAGGCACGCTCGATCGATTGACTATTGTAAGACGTCTCTTTATTGATATTGGATAGTTCTGTTCAGCTAATTGCATTCATGTTGGCAGTGGATTTGCCAAGGCAACGACGAGTGGACATGATCGCGAAGGGTGGATTATCATCATCAACTAGGATGACGATCAAAGACATGTTTACAACGCGACATTCCTTCTTCTTGACGCGTATCATACAACAATGATGAATTCAGTGGGCAGATGTTTTTGGAAACAAGGGGACTGAGGCTGATACATGAGACGACCCAGTTGACCAGTATGCTATGTCTACCTTCGCACCGTTCTCGCATCTACAATCTGAGTCTACTTGGGTTGGTGAAATTCCTCATGCAGAGGTCGTTCGGATCAGAGACTTGCGTTGGAGTTGTGGTTGCCAGGAACATTCACCATCTTTATCGATGAAGATGCCAACGACTTGTCGACTCTTCTGAAAGAAACATCCACACAAACAACATGCCTTATTTCATGAAATTTGACGCCATTGCTTGATGATGGCTACAGTATTGCCACCTTGTTTATCTTGGATCCTGGTTTATGCAATCTTCAAAACCCAAGTTGATGTGAGTATCCTGGTGGATGGATGACCCTTTTCATGAGCAATCCATGTACTCATATTCATTATGATCTTTAGCAATTCATTGTTATCCTACTTTCATTGTCGTTGTTGTCATTGTGATGCTTGGCTGCTTTATTAAGGTAAATCCTAATCACTTTGCTGGATGAAGCAACTACTCATATTCCTTTGGATGTAGCTATCTCTCGAGATCCATTTGCAAGGTTGGATTGGGCGACACAGTGTGCGACAGTCTGCATGATGATGATAAAACGGCATCCAAGGTCACGTTTTTGATGAATTAAGGTGCTTACTCTTCGATTACGATACAACATGGATCCAACTGTCAAGTTACATGTCGCCCAAGATCATCAAGCGATGGCGGATCGGCTGGTCGATATTGGCGGTAGAAGCACAATACCATTTCAAAAGTATAGATGGGACGATGGAAGATGATTCTTTGGGGAAAGGTCGAAAGCTAGTGGTATGCTTCTTGTGTTGTAAAGAATAAAGCCCGATCCAATTCTCACGTATATCCTCAATGTTTGTAACCCCCGCTGCTACGCAACGTGACAAGCACTTGTTGTTCATTGTTCTCTCCTTCCTCCCCCGAAAAGACGCACGCACCTCCTTTTTTTAAAAACGCTCGGACAATGACAATTGGATAATGATTTTTGGAACGGCAAAACGTTTGTTGTTGTTTATGGAAAATGAGTATTGTAGGTTTCAGAACAACGCGGTGCAGGAGTACCACGTCCCCTGCTTGTGGTGGTGGATCGTCGAAGCAAAGTACTGGCTCTTTTGGTGGCGACGGAGGGTGCTCTTTGTAATGCTTTGAGCTTATTACCAGCTTGCTCACTCGGTAAAGGTGGCACGTTATCTGTTGCTGCGTAGTAAACGCCATCTCGATAATATCTTTCATAGTACTCCTTATCTATTTCATATCCATCAGCATAAACAAATATCGTGAAAACAATATAAAAAAACTTGCCTTTTGAGTCGTACTCGGGAAGGAAAGCTCGTCGTTTGGTATACTTTTCGATTTTCCAAATTTCTAACTGCTGCTTCAACTTGTCAATGAAACCGACCATGGTGTGTTTGTGTGTATTTGGTATAAGGAATGGAGATGGGGGCTGGTTGCTAAGGGGAGGGAAGCCGTTGTTGTGGAGAGGGAGGCTGTTGTGTATGTGCGAAAGCGGAAGTAAAAGATGTGTACGTAAAGGAAAAAGAAAACGAGTGCAAAGGATCGTCTAGAACTCACCCGAATAAGATTATCGGAGTCCCACAGGCAATATTGACTTGCACACTCACTCTTTTCGACCGCAAAAAGATGAATGATGGTAGTCGCTTGACAACCACTTTAAAAAGAAACACACGGCCAATGACAGCGCAACAAAAAGTGTCCTCTTGGTGGGTGACAAGTCAATTGTGAATGGCTTGCAAATGCTAAAAATGATTTTTGCGCTAGGATGTTTTTGGCCAGCTGCTGCTTTTGTTTACATTGAGCGCTTTGTGTTCGAGGTAACCCTTCATTGTGTACCAATGCAGCACCCATAAAAGGCTCTTCCTGGTCGTACGAATTTTAACAATCAATTCAAAAGGTACAACCATGATAGTGTCATTGTATCATTGAAAGGCTTGAATCCTATCCTCTTCTTCTTTGATGGAGGAGATCATGGCCGATATCCTTTTCGATCGGAGCACAACTTCGCGTATACAGATCTTCCATAAGCCGACCCTTTCAAGATAAAGTCATGATAGCCGTTGAGCCATGTCATCATCATCATCATGGCTTGAGAAGAGCAACGATAATCCAACTAAAAGCATGAGCTCCCATTGAACTATAGAATGATGGCACCTTTCATTATACGTATATCGTTCAGTGCTTGTAAGCTCAATCTAAAACCGCCGCTGTGTCAAGAATAGCATGAAACTAATTGCAAGCATAATAGCATACCAATGCGTACATAAATTTTTTGCCCCTGCCCCAGGTTCTTGGATTAGATTAGATCTACATTTGTGTATAATACATGTGCATACGCTTACGGCTTTGATGCTGTGCAACAAAGCGTATCCCGAGATCTTGGGTTACAAACATGAGGCATTATAGTCATTTGGATAAGCAAAAAGAATCCTTGTATTCTAGACCAGCTTAGCATACGGTGCAGAAAAATGATGACGATGATAAAAAGTGACGGCAAACGAAAGCATAATGCATACTGCAAAGAAGAAAAGAAAAAATGTACAAGTGAAAGAGGAAACAGGAACATCATAATACTAGAGAAACGAATGCGAGGTAGTGGTAATTGGTGGGTGGATCGATATATAAAAAGGGGGTTTACATGGCCCATTGGCTCGTGTGCATAAGCTTGTTGTAGTATGTGGTGTGTATGTGTGAGTGGTGTGAATAGATGAGACAACGACGACAAAGAGTGTGATGCAATGATGATGGAAGAAAGGAGATGCACACACAAGCTGAATAGGATGTCAAATATAGGGCAGTGATAATTAAAAGGGATGTGATTGCAAAAGGTGGTGGATAGGGACACGGCCTGTCCCGAATGCTGGTGTTGAAGGTATCGGGGCTGGGAGATGCCGGCTTGTGTTTGGTAAACTATCGGCAATGATAGCACTTAATGATGGTAATCGATCGTTGCTGGTGCTAATGCTATGTCGAGGACTCATATCACCAAGCGTAGAGGGTGGTGTTAATGGTGGAGCATCACTATGGTTGCTGCTGTTATGATGATAAGCAAACATGGAATTTTGCTGTGGTGGTGGATGTTGCTGAGTATAATGGTAATCTGCAAGTCCTGGTGGCGGGGTAGACACCGGATGTTCAAAATGGGATGATGCTGGTGTTGGCAATGTGTGTCGTTGTGGTGCCATTGATGGTGTGCAAGGAGGAGGAGATGGCATGGATGGATGTTGATGATGATGGTGGTGATGATGATGCTGTTGTACAAAAACAGGCTCACGTGCATGCATCACCTCCTTGGTTAAAGAAGGAGCCGCAGCCGTAGTAGGTGTAGATGCATACCAACGCCCCATATGGATACCATGCTGCTGTTGCTGTGGAGATGGTTGTCGGGGAGATTGCAATGACGGTGATGGTCGCCGAGAGGTAGCACCATCATCGGATGAAGGCGATGTTGTATGATCGAGTTTACGTTTTCTACCACCACTATTATGATAAATTCGGTTAACAATGCATGATCCTAGATTGGTAGTACTTGTTTTTAGCTTACGAAGTGAGGCGATGTTCCTTGCGAATACGCATCTTGACGCCCTGGTCACAAAATGTGCGCGATAAGAATGTTGCTTCATGCGGCCCAGGGAAGCGTTTTGGCAAGTAAACGGTGAATGCATCTGATAGCAGTGTCTTGCGATTTTGCACCGTGCCTCTAAACAACGAAACAATGTAACGTGAGCAAGGTATAAACATGATGCGAGATAATAACAACATACTCTGTGATTTCGAATAAGCTAAAGTGCAATCGGTATCTCCCTTCTTTCTTTACAGCGAGATCTCCAAACACAAAAAAGCCGCCATCCGAATTGTCAATGTCTCGGAGTCGATATAAAGATGATACGGTGGAGCCGGAAAGGTATTCTTGGGAGGGAAGCAATAGCTGAGATGGGTCATCATCTCGCACAATGTTGGCTACCAAATAGTAAAATGGGCTTTGGAGACTTTTCCTAAAGTCATGCAACACGTTAATGATTATGCACATGATAGGAGAGAACAAGGTAGACTTACTTGATGTCATCCTCTGAGCAGTTAAGCCATTGCATCTGTAGAATTGGGGGAGGATCGATCGGCCGTCGGTCTTTTGGTGGGGGGGAGAATGACACGGGTAAAACTTGAGTAAAAGCGGGCATCATGTATGTATGTCTTTTTGCTTAATTACCTCGTTCATTGGGAACGCTCATCTTGGCCCTTTCAGGTTGTTGACGAATAATGACATCGTATTCTCTATCATAGCATCGTCATTGCAATTAGCGAGATGTATCATTATGGGATAAATTAAGTTGTATGTACCTCCTGTCAGGGAGATCTGCCAATGAACTGGAGATAAAACGATAGGTACAGCTGCTAGCGGCACTCATGATTTTGTATCAGCCGTATGTGGATGGTTGTTCTTGTCAAGTATAACACGTTGGGTGATGTTGGATCTTTGGGGATATGAAAAGCTTCGAGCAAGAGAAAGCGTTGAGCTTTTAAAAGAAGGCAAAAAGAGAGGAAAGGAAAAAAGATGAGAGAAAGAGAGAGGTTGGACGTGCACCAAACAATTACAAAAAACAATACATGATTCGGGAAAGCACTTCCCCGTCGATTCAACACCGGTTCTGGGTAAAAAAAGGATGATGGCAATGATGCAGATGTCGGAAGACCTAAAAATTGACCTTAATTTGAATAAATTTACCCTAAAGGGTATGCCAAGACCTTCCCGGGAGATTTCAATCATCCACAAAAGGCTTGGTTCCATTTACTTGTGTATCTCCCTGCTCCCCGCGTCCGCCACTGATTGCTTCAAAAGCAGCGAATTACATTCATGACACCTCAAGATACATAAAGAATCGATACATAGAATAGCTGAAACATGATTTTTGTTGTTGAGTAGTTACGAATGCCATGGGTCTGTAATAGAATCAGCGACTTGAAACGTTGATGAATATCAAGTTGAGTTTTCTTTGTTGGTGTTGAAGCGATTCATAGTAATGAAGCTTGTGATACACAAACACCCTTTGTGTTCATGAGCGACAAGCAGATCAAATGCCAGGTTTGGTGAATATATTTTTAAACTGGGTCTATTTTCTTCAAGGGGGTAACCATGGCACATGTCTCTTATACGTTTGCACACGCTCTCGCACGCCATCATTATGATCATTGTATCTAACGCATACTATGATAGGGTTTTTTTTTTATCTTGCAGCGATTCCAACAGCAGTCTCCTTTTCTTGGCTGACACCGCGGCAATACCCGATGTGAAATTTCTGTTGCAGATTCATACCCACTGAGACGCAAGTGAGAAAATTCCAGGGCGAAACACTACCGGATCTACATGGCCATGATGGCAAAGCCTGATAACGTGGGGCCGTTGTTGTTGTTGTTTACTCCTGATGACCATTTTTCTTCATCCGATTTTTTATCGTGAGCGTCATCCATGTGGCTTCCTTGGTCGTTTTACATGTGGTGTGTGTTTTAAGCTTACGTGTGGTTTATCACCAGCCAAAGCAAAAGCCTTTACCCTGCTGCTGCCGGGGCCTCATTGACCCACGTGTACTATTATCATCCTTTGCAAAATGTTGGTTTGTGCGGAGTCGGTGAGCACACACATGTCCGTTACATACCACGTTCAGCTCTTGCCCTGACACTTGCCGTAAAAGGAGATGATCGCTATTTGATGATATAACCTAGTGCATCACATTCGATCAAACACATGTATGGATTAGCTATATGAAAATGCTCGCCATTGAATATGACACCGAAACAATAATAGCATCTCTATCATTCGTATAGCTTCTTCGATATCATTTACTTAACGTATCCATGTCTTTGAATTGTGAGAGGAGGCTGTTGCTAGGCAAACGAAATTGGTGGTTGCCATGGGTACCAAACACAAATGGACGTACAAGTGGTAACCAAGGCAACACCCTCTTGCCTTTGTGCTATAGAGGCTATGCTCATGATGCGGGGAAGTTTTGCTGTGATGTTGGTTGCTGCAGCACTTGACCAATCAGATTCATTTCGACCCCATGCATTATAATGAGCCAGGAGTTCACGGCTTGATTTGATACGAGGGACGTCCCTTCAAAGCACAATTGAGATTGAGTATACGACCTTCAACCATGGTTACCTGCTTGAACGTCAATGCGCAATATCCAAACACCAAAGTAATGAGCAATCTCAATGCATTCCACGTTCTAGGATGTGCTACCAAAGATAAAAATGCGATCATAATAAGCGTTCTTGCATAAAGGCCATTGATCACATTACGGCATGATCTTGTTTATTGAGCAGTAATTCTTGGTCACACATGTAATAGATATCCACTCGCCCAGTGTGAAATAGAGAAAATGTATTAAGGTTTGAATTGTTCGTCGACATGATGTACTCTTTATTAGAACGCGTATTACTATGAGTTGATGGAAAACCACTGCTAATGCTTAGCCCATTGCTGTATGATAACAACAATGGTTGCCCAGATGTGACCACGAGGAGGTGATTAGCTATACACATCCAAAAGGAAAATGGGCACCACGAAGGTGACAAAGAGGACACCATAAAGGTGATAGAGAGAGTTATCACGAAAGTGAAAGAGAGAGTCATCACGAAAGTGACAAAGAGGGCACCATAAAGGTGATAGAGAGAGTTATCACGAAAGTGAAAGAGAGAGTCATCACGAAAGTGACAAAGAGGACACCATAAAGGCGACAAAGAGGACACCATAAAGGTGACAAAGAGGACACCATAAAGGTGACAAAGAGGACACCATAAAGGTGACAAAGAGGACACCATAAAGGTGACAAAGAGGGACACCACAAAGATGCCAAAGGGGACACCAAAAAGATGCCAAAGGGGACACCACAAAAGGTGACAAAGGAGACACCACAAAAGGTGACAAAGGGGACACCACAAAAGGTGACAAAGAGAAAAAAAAGCGTCATCCTGTACCGAACGCGTAGTCTTATACCAAACAAAAACGAAGTTCCGATTTTCAAGGCGGCATATTAGTGGATGGATGTTGTCTTCCTCAAACACCGCTAAAAATGCAGATTTGAAATGCGCCAAAACTTGGCTTGATCATTGCGCTGGTGATGAAGTGGCGTGCATGGAGAGATCAATGCGATACCTTTTGATCTCGAAAGGCGATTACATTATGCTCTTGTTCCACTCACAATTAGTCACTCATTTCAGCTTCGTCTATCATCCATTGCTAATGTATACACGTCGTTAATTGTCGTCGTTGTCGTCATCATCGTCTTTGCTACATTGTCTTTCGGTTGGTAGCCGACGTTATGATCGAAGCGTATTGTAATCCCACATTGCATCAACTTTTGGGACCAGCCTTACGGTAAGCCCTCAGATTGACGTATGTTAAAACGGCCATTGGTCACTTTAATGCTCATAATGAGCAAAGAAAGCAAACATGGATCGTGCTGACGCCCGTGTAACGGCTTCTTGCAGCTTCAACAAGCATAGTTGATATTCGATGATCGGTCATGATACCACAGCAAGCATACAAGTCACTATCAACCATATGTAACTGCATGCTTATGATCATGGGGTCCATAACAACATTACGGAACGTAAAAAATGTCATATGCAAATGAACGGCACTTGTATGCTTATGAAGATTGGATACTTTGGTAGATGTAAGGTCGATCAAAAAGAATGATTTGAATAGTAGTACTTACATTATCACGGGAACGTTTTGTTGTTTGGATGCGCGATGACCATGCGGCACTGCAGCTTGTTGAGATACGACACAATAGTCATGCACATTTCACGTGTGCCTTACTTGCCGACAGCAGCACAATGGAACGACCGATTTTATTTCCCGCCGTGTCTGTGCCCTGCCCATAATGGATCATGCACCCGCGTTTTCGCCATTATTACGTACTAGGCATCTTTATTCATTGCTTTTGATCAAATCATGGATCGTTACGAGTGAAAAGCTTATACAACATTATACACGAATATGGATAAATGGCAACCTGGAAATGGGATATGCATTACATACGCTGATGTCCGACACACCATGTTGACATGTCGTTCTATCGACCCAAATGACAAAGCAGAAGCACCACATGCCCCCTGCTGGGCCTCATCTGCATTGCATTGCTTGAACCCTTCTTCATCGCATATTCACATTATCACATATTACGCGGGTTCCACTTTGGTAATCAGTAGAGCATCGCCATTCTTCTTATTCTGCTCGTTTATGTTTATTCTTTTTTGCTATGGTCATGATCACCCATTACGGCGATTGTAAAGATAGGCATGATAACGTTTTTTATACGTGTACATCTTGATTGTATTATAAACTAAAGTTTAACTATATTACAATGACTGCTGCTGCGGGAGATTGAATGAAGATTAATAGTGGTGGGTGTCAGCCGGTAAGCGAGATCTTTCTCACACTCCTACTCGCATCACGAAACAATACCAGTATATGCATGGCTGATCAGTAAAGTCATTACGACACAACTTGAATGCATTCATCCTATCCACTTGCTGGCTACTTACTTGAAAAAATAGGGCTATAATGAAAAGAAAGGCCACCTGTCATTATCATGACATAAAAGGCACAGCCAATTTGACTATGCAAACAGACGCCCTGTATTAGAAATGCATGCTGACATCAAGCAGTTGCCCGTTTACTATCATTTGCTCCGGAGTAGTGTTCCAGACAAAAGCTGCTTGCCAAGCTCACGTGGTTACAGCATTGGCAGCGTCACACAAAATGGTCATCCCACCCTGCTCACAACGCCCATTTATGTCTTTCATTCTTCTTTTGGGGAATTTACTGCGAGAGATGATAAGACAACAATATCATACACGCCATAGCAAAGAAATCTCTTTTCTACCCCTATTGTGCAGCTTTTGTTTTTATTCAAGGGATCATGTTGGATCATTAAAAGGGTCAAGGGGCTAGTACTACTACTGCTGCTGCGAGGAGACGACATAATGAGCGCTATTGTGTACCCCGTTACCTAACATTACAGGAGGGTCATGTTTACCAAAATGTGCCCATTTTGTATGCAGCGATGTTGATTATTGCATAAGCAAGGAATGGATTGTGTAGTTTGGGGGTAAGCGATAAACGTTAATAATGGGAATACCCAAAAGGAATATGCGAAAGAGAAGTGGAGAAGCATACCTTTTTTATCAAGAGACCGAACATCGCTCATTCATTCTTCTACTATGGTGGTTACAGTTGCTGAAGATTTTCTCTCCCCTTGGGCAAACGATGAATGAGGGGGGTCAATAACGGGTTGATTGTAGCTAAAAAATTAGAATGAGACCCAATGTTTCTTCTGTGGTCCGCGCACATACGATTTTTGACTATTCTTGGGCAGTAGTTTTTGTACCCTGAAAGCTGTTTCGCGCGACACGGCATTCTTTGCCCATCTCATCTGCCCCTGAATTGACCATTGGGCCTTTGTATTTTATTAACCTTTGATCAGTTACCATGGATACGTATATACACACAATGAAATGTTACATGATCGCTGGTATGTGTGACAGATCGGCAGAGCAGTGCAACAGCATGGGTAGTGCAAAAAGGCAATGCACTCCCCACACCCCCAAATTTTCCACACCAAGCTATCCCCGCATATAATCCACTTTCCACTATCCTCCCCCCAATGTCACAAATGTGATGGGTACTTGGATGTCAAATGAGCGTCAAATAATACAACAGGCACTGATGCATTAGAAAGGCGTGGGTAAAAGGAGATACTTGATGTTGTTGCATTGTATGTATGCGCCGTAGTATAAGCCTGTCTGCTGCAGCAATCGGGCATCAATCACCAAAAAGGGGGAAGCATCAATGAGTGTAAAGTGGAAATCGACGATTTTCCGATCGCGAGACTTAATCCAGCCAACTTTTTTCATGTACATGTGCTGACCCTATAAAGTAATCAGCGGGCAGGTCCAACTAAAAAAGTCACTGCACAGACGCTGCTCAAAGTCGACGAATCACTATAAAAGTAATGCACGTCCACCAGTATGACCATGCTCTCTCTCACACACACGTCTTTTTTCTTTTTCGCTATTCACTGACACCCCTTATTCACTTGCCATACTACATCTTGTTGCTTTTACATTTACACGCAAACTCGATCTTTTCATCTTAAACATGCCATCCGAGAAATGCAAAATGATGCGCCAAGTTTTCTTTGGCTCCTTCAGCGCTGTAGCGCCTTATCGTATGTATACCCTGTCCCACATAAACAAAAACTCTAGTTGCAAGGAACGCACATGTTGTGTCCCAACGTGATCTAACCAGCTGTATCTCTCTTTTTCTCATAGCCACAGACGACCGGATGTGTCGAATGGTCCATCATCATCAAAACAATCAATTACCGTGCACCCGATGTGATCATGATGCGGCTTTGGCGGATCGACGATCAGCTCACAATGCTCTGGAACGTCAACGACGCGAACATCTTAACACGAAATTCCAAGAACTTGCTCATGCCTTACCATCTTTACAAAATATTCGTCGCCCAAGCAAAACAATGATCGTATCCAAATCACTCGATTTTGGTAAGGTGTCAACATCTTGGTCATTTTGAGCTATCAATCGGTTGACATGGTTACGCCTTTTGTCATATAGTTGCTGCAAGCATCCATCGCGAAACAAGCTATATGGCCGAGATCCTTCAGCTACGACGACAAAACGAACGACTACGTAAGCAAGCATCCACGCTTTCACAATTTCTGATCCTCGATGATCCACTTGCACCACCCTCTTACACAACCATGCCCGATGTTTGCTATCCTTTGACATCCCCAACATCAACAGCAATGACTGAAAAGAACAGCAGCGCACAATACATGTGCTAAATCATCACGCAGGGCATGCCCTGTTCGAATACCTTTCGCTCTTTCTCTCTTTTACATGCCCCAACCCCGCACATAATTCATGTTAAGCCCACACCTCCATCTTCTTTTTTTGTATAGTCCGCCTCCCACATGCATCACACTTTTCGCTTTTCTTTGTAACTTTTTTTTCTTCTTCCTATAACGTTTCTTCCATATATTGATTATTGGAATTTACAATGCATTTGTTATTAATACATGCCACGTATGTGAGCTCGTACAAAATACACACAGACATCATCGTGCAACCTTAGCCAATGTCCCGAAATTGCACGTTCTTTAATATGCCGATCATTGACTTTATTGTTACCACAAGGTTGCACATCATGCTGGGTAAGTCGCGCGCGCGGGTGCTTGTCCACTTTTAAAAAACGATCCTACGTATTCATTATGCAATGCTGTTGCTCAAGAATGACCCCATGATAGACTTGCAAGCCAAAAAATTATCAGGTCAGGCTGCTGATCCTTGCCATGTCCGGTATCTTGTGTCCGAAACAAAGATAATGATGATGACACGTCCCTCCGCCGAAGAATGGTCTCTTGTTGGTTCTATATTCGTCGTGCATTGTATCCACGTAATCAGAATGCTGGTCTTCTCGATTGATTAGACTTTTTACCCCCATTCGTCCAAGTAACCCTTTTCCCCCCTCTTCTACCCTCATTCAACATATCACGTGGCCCATTGTGTGGTTGTAGTCATAGGATGTTTATGATGCTTTTGTGGATCTCCACACCATACTATTGCATACAGTGTTTGACGTTGTACAGCAGCTATGTGGGTGGGTGGGGTTGGATCAATGACAGCTGGATATATAGGTGCATGCATATTGGTTTACTGGAATGTCTAGTGTGAAACATGTTTCTACAGGCTCAATGATGTGCACAATGTTGCTGATTTTGTCCAAGAGACCAAAGCCCCATGTCGTCATCGTATTCCTCGTGTTCTTCATCTTCCTTGATCCCTTCTTGAGCTTCCTCTCACCAGCGCCAATGACACTCAACAGCAATAATGGTAATGGCACCCTAGTAGGAATAGCACCACAAGCTTGCTCAAGAACCTATAAATAACAATCAACTATTCCGATCCAAAGAATCATAATAAAAGCCTTTTCTTTACCTCTTCAAAGTGTTTGCCATCGAGGGTCTGGAATAGTAAAAAGATAATACGATCATTCTCAAGAACCCAACAAGTTCCCTTGACGTCTTCAAGAATGGGAGCGGCTTTGTCACCAGGAATGAACAAAAGGGCAACAACGAGGTACTCGATTCACCAATGGCAATAAAAGGCAACTTCCAAGTGATCTGCTCTTCAATTCCAAAGCGTCTGTTGTTGTGCGCACCACCTTGTTGTCAAATCGGCATCCTTTGCTTAAGATCAACGCATCTGCTCCACCAGTCCTTTTGACAGCTCCATCCAAGCTTGATAGGTCGTTTGTCCAATGACGGCTTTAGCTTGCATAAATCAGGATGCTTGGTCGAAAGTCTTAATGATCCTGCCACTGTGCTCTTGCTGTACGGAAACACAACTGCAAGGGGACGGGGATTCCACAATGAATCCTGTTGCACCTTCTTGCCATGGATATTGCCTATCTCCACCAGTATCCTCGTTGGATCTCGTTGTGTCATAATAATGTAGCCGAGCCCATTCTATTCCTTTCGTAAGTTCACTTGAAGATGACGTATCCTGGAATGACACCTTACCATGAGGTATTTCTCAATAGCATCTTTGCATCGAACAACTCTATCTCCATGCCATCCATATTGTGCTGCTGCTGTCTCATTGTAAGCAACAGGTCTTGCTTTGTAAATCCAATGCTATGCGTACCAATGAAGCAATGTCCAGCATTCTTTGCGTTGAGACAGTCTCTTGTTACAGCCACAGGTACCACCATCCAACGTGCATAAACTACCATAAACTCAATGTAAGATAACAAGGACAGTCTTCGCCTTCGTGCCAACATACCCAACAGCGGTTCTGTAAAGACGTATTCCTTGCGCGAGCCATGGAGCGAATACACACGATATCCCTTTGGAGTTTGTACGAGCAACAGAATAGTACCCTACATGCGAACTTTAGTCCCTCAATGTCCAACTTGGATAATAAAGTAATGAAGCGATTGAACGTACATGTCGTATAGGAATGGAAGCTTGAGCCATGGGTAGATCGCGTGCGTACTTGCTGCAACTGGAAAGTTGACCACCACCTGTTCACGCGTTGACGCTGTGGAATGAAGGCAATGGCTATAATAGTTAAAGGATTGTATGTTGCAAGTGGAGTTAACCTTAACTTACGTTGTGAAGCGGGAGTGGAGAAGAAGGGGTTCCTTTTCTTCCTTCTCGTTGTTCTCAATTTGTGCACGCGCTCCCATCCCCACCCCGCCTGTTACAGTTACAGCTGTAAATGTGTACCTCAACAACATCCTATACATTCAAATCAATATCATCTCGATCCACTACTTGAGAATTCAATTGAGCATAGTCCCCGTAATCAAGCTATCCATGATTTTACTGTGCGGGATTGGCGTCTATTAGGTCCGTGCACCTCAATGCAGCTCCACCACTCACCTTGTACAACCACCATCCTCTGACACCCCCTATCAATCATATAAAAAAGGTCATGTAAATCCATTGTCATTCTCATTGTCATAATGGACACCTGCTTCATTGTTGAATCCTTGCGCATAAAGAGTCCACACTGCCCAAACAATCAACATCATCCTATTTATGCAGCAACCTGTCAAGGACGCGTGTGTAACCACTACGTGTCATTCCACTCAGCTCTTCACCTTGCTGATAAAGCGCGCTCGGCACCATCCATCAAGAGGAAGTAAGTCCATCACGCTTACAGAATAGGTAAAACATATAGGTGTCCGTATCTCTAAACTTTACAATCAAACGTGGGGGACTTTAATAGAACAAAGCTGCTCGTCTGGGTCAAAGGAATCATGTGTCTTGGCTGGTAGCGACATTGGGTGATTCTAGGATTGGCCACCACGATCGTGAAAGCTGCACACAGGATTCCTTTGACCCTGACGAGCAGCTTTGTTCTATTAAAGTCCCCCACGTTTGATTGTGAATTTAGAGATACAAGTACCTTTATGTTTTACATATGCTGTAAGCGTGATGCTATATGAAAAGAGTTCGTTGTTCATTGTAAAGTAGAAAGATTAAGATGCAGCAAAAGATGCAGATGGACGTCTTTGTGTAACCCAGCCGATTTGCATGAATGGAAGGGTTGATGGATGATACTTTATACACTATTCAATAAGCTCATCATTGGCAGCTAATAGCCAATTCCTCCCAGTCACCATTGTTTCCCAAACCAATACATGTGAACGATTCTCCTGCTCCAGCCCATCATTCCCATCATTGAAGTTTCTTGATCCGAGGGGATTTGATTGAGCTACGCCCAAACAAAGAATACGTCAATTCTTGAAAGACAGACCCTGCGAATGTCTCCGTCTTTCAAACTTTTGGACGCTCCCATTCCAAATTTTCAAATGAAGCGTGAAGTTTTTATTAGAAAAAGTTTATCAGCATGCTCGAGAGCACCCTTCTGACCAATTTTCAAGTTGGAAGCAGGCAACTTCGGGGCGGTGGGCCGTCCGCTCTTTATTTCCCTTCATCCACCATTTGGATCGCCCCGCATTTTAAATCTTTACAGTGAAGCCTGCAGGTTTGAATTGAATGAAGTTGATCAGCATGTCGCAGCGAACCTTCTGACAAAGTTTCAAGTTCGAAATGGCGAATCCCAAGGTAATACATAGTATTTCGGTAAATCATGAATCAGGCGCTGACCTCCATTTCCAACTTACATAGTAAACCCACATTGCACCCTCCCCTTCCAAATTTTCAAATGAACATAAGATCTTTTTTAGATCAACGTGATCAGCATGTCCAAGAGCATCTTGTGTGAAAGTTTCAGGTTCGAGAGGGGTAATCTCATAATCAAGGTTTGATGTATAGTGTACATGGATTTATACAAGAGGTGTCCGCCTATTTAATTTCCACTTCTTCCACTCCCACTTTATCTTCTCTTCCTCCCAATCTCAATTGTTGGCCCATTCGAGTATACAACTACCGCCTGCGAACGATTGCCCTGCTTCAACCCATCATGTCAATCCTACAACTCTCTTGATATGAATGTCTTTGACTGAATGGCAAGTCCATGGCGTGTACACAGCCTTTTGTCACTCTACTACAACACACGCTCTGACGCGCTTCCCTGCCGCAATCCAATGTAACAGCATTCAATGCACCAGTTGCTATTAACAAGCTCTTTACTCCATCATATCCCACAGCGTTCTTTACTTGCAGCAACGCGCCTTACAGCCTTTTCGCGTGAACAGCAGATAGCCATTGTATAGAAACAACTTTATTTATATGTAGCAACTTGCTTCAATACATACGAATTACAATGGATATGGATCTGAATGATGCAATGCTTTGGTACATGTGATGGAAGGAAGTGGATTCATTGACAGGTTTGGTTCGCTTGACCCATTTAGAACGTGATGTCTAGTTTGAATGACGCACTATCAGCCATCAACTACGCCACAATACAAGCAGTCTTCAACTGGTTGAGCTGCGATGGAAAGTGACTCAAGAAGAGAGGGACCAAGGATCGATGGGAAAGGGAGCGCATCAGCAGCGATATTAGTTTGCAATGGTTATGGATGGAAGGATGCGATCAAGTGCAGTGATGAGAAGTCGTGGAATGTTGCTTTGGTTACTTGGCGCGTCATCAGCAGGAACGATCGATCGTTTCACGTGAATACGGCTGAGGATGGTGATGGATTGGATGGAATTGAGAAAAGGCTTATATCTTTATTACGATATTATCAAATAGTGCACAGAAAAAGAACGCAAACGAAAGGAGGTGCTTCACAGCAATGGATGAAGATATTGGGATACTGGAGCCAAAGCATACAGCACCTCATTGCAACCATGTATAAAGGTGATCATGGCGACAGCAATCAAGAAAGGATGACGCAATTATCCCTGGTGACTATATACAATGTGCTTCGCCCATAGCCTATTCAATTTGGATATATTTTTCCCTATGTATCTTGTATCTACTTGATAAACATCCACAATACCGTGTCTACGTGTTCTTCGACTTTTTATTAAATGAAAATTGGATCCAACATAATACTTGGGTATCCTACTATTAGCTCTGATGTGCAAGGGGTAGATCACTTGGTTGTTTTCTGCATTGAAAGGGGGACAGCAAATTGAAGGGTGGAAAGCGAGATATCATATTTGGTAAGGGGGTTACATAATAGGTTACACAAGTTGGTTCAGGAGTGGAGTTGCATAACCCATTGACGGATTCATGTAATGCGCACAGACCTAATAGCTTAATTACGAGGGCTGTTCTCAATCGAAGACTTGGAGCAGTGGTCATTCTATGGAGCTAAGAGCATAGGATATTGTTGAGGGTACGTATAAACAGTGATAGCTGCAAGCGGGGTGGCATGGAGTGCACGAATTGGAGCGAACAGGAGGAACAAAGAGACCACTCTTCTTCACTTCCACTTTACAAAAAGGTAAGCTCGTCTCCATTTTACAAACTACAACGCGTTAATTGCTGGCATCTCTACACAAACAGCGTCCATTGGGTTGAACATAGGTCAATGGCGACACTTTCCAGTTGCAGACATTCAACAGCAAGTACGCGCGCGATCTGCCCATATGACTCAAGCTTCCATTGCAATACAAACATGTACGTTCCATCGCTGCATTACTTTATTATTCAAGTTGGACATTCAGGTTCTAAAGTTCACGTGTAGTTTGCTGTCCTCGCGTTCATACGAGATTCCAAAGGGGCGTCGTGTGTCGTGTATGCTTTCCATGGTTGTCATCAAGGAGGGTCGCAACCTATTGTTACTATGGGTATGTCGACATGAAAAGCGAATGCTATTGTTACCTTACACTTCATTTACTGTAGCTTGGACACGTTGGTTTATGGTACTCTCTGGCAGCAAATACAATTGATATCAAAGCAAGAACGCTGTACGCTGGCTCAATGGTATGCGTGGTATTGGATCTACAAAGCGAAACCGTTAATTAACGACACTTACAGTGAAATGCGGCAAGACAATATGGATGACATGGAGATACGGTTTTATTTGAGGCATTGATGCTATTGAGAAATACCACAAGGTAAGAGGTTCATTGTGGGATTCATTGGATTCAAGTGGACTTACTAAACGCCATACAGTGGCAGAGCCTCTTTCGGCGATACTATTATTGGTCACTGCTGCACGTCAAGGATGTCATTGTATAGTACTATGCTCTCTGGGGAATTTTGGCCCGGAAACAGTGTGACTCAAGATGCGATGGCAAGGCCAATTTGAAAAGGCATCCGTGCACACGGCCTCCATCCAAGTACGGCTATTGATTTCCTTGCCTACAGAGAGAAGGTGTGATATCTCTCTTATGATGCCAATTTCAGGATCCAATGAGAGTGTAGTACATATGGTGGCACTTGGCGCTGCAGGTTGATTATTGTATTGCCTTGGAATGGTGTATTTGGCTGCAATTCCTTGTGATCACCACGGCTCAGGTATGTATGACTCTCATGCTTTTTGGGGACCTTTGCTGAAACGCCTACCATTATTATTTAGAGGGACCATTGCAGAGAGCTACTTGTCTTTTGGTGCTTTGGAGTTTACAAGATCACAGCTATGAATTGCTAAGTATTGTTGGATGAGTTTGGACAATTGTTTATGGTGCATCTTCTTTGGCAGGTGAATCATGTCAGCCATGGGGGAAGTGTTTATGTCTTTTGGTGGTGTCAACCTTTATTGCGTCTCGGGTGGTTGGTTACCAAGCAACGGGCGATTTCTCTGGAAGAGGTCCGCCAATGCAAGACTTTAGGAGTGGATTGTATCAGCAACAACAACAGCATCCATATCGTTGGTTCCATATCAAGCCTTATCCCATCATCTGGTTCTTCTCGTTATCGGCAATTTGGGGAACCCTCCTGAAACAAAGGTCCCTTATCGATCGATCATGTCAGCAACAAGGAGCAGGTTTATACCTTTGGCGTCAGCAAGCTTTCGATCATCTCGTGGTTCTGATTATCAGCAATTCCTTTGATGGATCTCTACAAATTATACGCGTCTTATGGATGGATAATGCCATCACTAAGC